CAAAGTACGTCCTCGAGTTACATGCTGCAAGCAAAAACTCGCAGACTTAGGAAAATCCCTCGAACTCAGGTAGCGTTGAAAGGTGATGCTAGTGGCTGGCTCTTCGTTCTCCAGAAACTGCTTGATGAGGCTCCTCGAAAGGCAGAGGAACACTAATCCTCGCTGCGGTTGCCGTCAGAGCCCCCAACAATTTGCCCATGAACACACTGGGTCACCAGTTGTTTCGCAGCTGGACGGCCAGCCCATTGACATTCCTGAACTCACACAAACAGAATCAATCGACAACAACGGCGGTAAGGCCACTTCAGGCCGTAACTAGCAGACGAAGTCTGCCAGGAGGCATATGTCTTGAGTTCGGGCTAAGATGGAAAGATCGGAACAAAGTTGCTGGGAGAGCGTCGCTAAGCTGGGTCGAGAAAAGAACGGAGAAAGGATCACGCACTGCAGCAGCTTTTGCAGATTCGCGAAACTGTAGAATAGAGGTGCAAGGCAAGTACGCAAGGCCTGTTGGCCGGACGCAATGCAGCGAACGGAAAGGCCAAACTACCATAGCCATAGCCTGTACAACAGATGAACCTCGCCTTCAGAATTGTTCAGAAGCTCCAAGTTAGCGAAGCCGAGCTGCTTTCCAGCCAAACTCGTGAAATATTCAACAGAAATGTTGCACAAACAGTTTTTGTTGGAAAGTCGACCTTCTGAAATGAAGCCAACCACAGCGAAACTGCAGAATTGAAAGTCAACTGCCAAGCCGCCAGGAAATGATCTTCTGAGGGTCGCCAGAAGCCTCCACCCCCGATGCAGGATCATCTTGGGCACCTGCACTCCGGAAGTTTACAGGATGCAAAGAGACAGGACCTGACCCGTACTCCAGTTTCTGAGGGTAGCGCTGCTTGTCCGCTGTCTCTTGGGACTGGCCTTCGCTACAGTGCTTCCATCAGCTGATCTGCTATCACTGCATCTTGTCTTATGCGAAATCGGGCGTCGACCCTCGCGATAGGTTGTGAGAATCGCTTTCTTCTTCTCAGTTCAGTCTGCCTCGTCTGCTGTGAAAGATACGTGCCATGCATCGAGTGTTTACTTTGCGAAACCATGAAACCAAGGTCGTCTCTGAGTATGCCCTATCGATCAATGAATGCCAAAGCTCGTCCTTTGTTATGACTCGTGTTGCGGTTGCTGCTACGAGTGCTGCTGTACTGCAGCTGCCAAATCTTCGTGGGTACGGTCGCTGGATTGGGGGCTTGGGGAGCTGCACTTGGTGACAGACTGGCGCGGCTGGTTATAGTCGACACGGCCCAGCCTCCGCATCCTGGGATACACCTGTCAGCATCGATGCATGACGTGTGCTAACTCCAACGTCAATGCAGCTCGCCTGTGCACCCATCTGGCTTGGGGCGTCGCACGAGGAAGCGATCCATGGCACACCATGTGCACCAGTGTGCAGTTCAGCATGTAGCGAGATGCTCTTCTTGCTGCATCTTGCTGCAAGCTGAAGGACTACTGGTCCAGCAGCCAAAGCATGCAGAATATGCTGGATTACATCGTGCTACGTTTATGCGGTATGACATTGAAGCCGACGTCTGCATCCGACGTCATCAGCGACCCACGAAGTGCCGACATGAGGAGGGAGCGTGTCGTCATGGCTCGTCGAGGTAGATGACCTACAGAATGGTTTCACATGTTCCGACGTCCTCAGTCCTCAACAGGTGAAAGCCGACAGCTGTACGGGGTGCCTTTTCGACAGAGGCAGGCCAGGAAGGTCACGACAGGTAGGCCCAAAATAGAGCCCCGCGTCGTGTCTCTGTGTCGTGGAACAAAAACCGGAGTATGCCTGAAGGCTTCCGCGGCTTTTGGAAGCTGTCCGCACGTCTCAAATCGCGGGGCCTGAAGCCTGGCCCTGGAGTCCAACTCCTGCAAAAAGGCCGAGTCTTCCCACCCACTGAGTACGGGGAGCACACATGACTGCCATAGGAAGATCTTGCGACCGATTGGTGCACGACATGCATCACATTCCAGAATTTCATGAGCGGTCATGCTTGTGAATCAATCAAGCAGTTTCACGTGAGCCCGCGCCTGATCAAAGGCTGACCAGCGAACACGCAGAGGGGGATCGCCCTCCTGATGCCAACATGGGGCTTCCGACTGCCCACTCTCTGGTTTGGCCCGGTGCCCAATGGGGTCAGGATGCAGGCAAAGAAAGCGAGCACGTCAGCTCGAACTCTCTGCACATCTTGAAACATGAAATGGGTCTTGCACTGCATCCGTTCAGGTTCTGGCACAAGACAGCGTGGATCGTCCCTTTCCCTATCCGTGCCGCCATGGTACCAGCTTCGCGCGAACCGCAGGATTGCCACTATGTCCCGCAGTGATTGACATTACGACCTCTTGCCGATTGCCAATACAAGCACATGCGCCTGACCGTCCACTGCAGGTCGGTACTCAATTCCACCGCTACGATGATCAGATTATCAGTGGAGGATGGGCTCTCCTTAGACTTTTCCCACCTGACCATCAACCTCGACTGGTATCACGCTTTCCAACAAATTATTCTGGAGGTTTTATGTGGGTCTGAATGTCATCCCGCACTCTATTTCCAGACCGATGTGGGAGTGGTGTGCTTCCCTACGTTTGTTCCACTTGACCCGACTTGACCCTGCCGCTTTTTGCCTACGTGTTTTGCCAAGCATGGGAGACCGGTGGCTCCCAATGACGCAACCGGAAACCTCTGGAACATCCCATCAGACTGTCAGGTCTGCAGGTGCATGTCTACACCGTACGACGGGACACACTTCTGGATGACCATACTTTTGATCTGTCAAAGCTTGCACAGCGACTTCCCACTGGATGACATTGACTCCAACTTAGCAGTTGCCCCGTCTGAAGTATTCCACAAAGCTGTCTAGGGGAGCCGACATGAGGCGAACCGGGGGACCACGGCCTTCCCACGCTTTACACCAACGTCAACTGACTTATCAGGTGATCCATCTTTTATCGGCGAGTGGTCACGAATTCCCCTTGTGCGTCGGGTGAGCTTTACCAGCGACTCTAGAAGCGTCCTTTCTGACTAAGCTTTTCCCCACGGTGGCCGGAAAATTTACCCTAGTCCTGCCATCGTCTCACCCGAAAAGGGTAGCGAAGAGCCCTGTATAGACATGTCCATCGTGTATGTAGTTTTTCCGGAACTTGTTCCCCAAGCTGTATGCTTCCGCCGACTCTATGTTTTCCCCGCACATTAGTCCCATTGACAGGGCTGCTGACGAGCGGTCTCACCTGTGGACACGCTCTGCGCGACTGAGAGAGAGACTGCATCCGTTCACAGCAAACGGTTCTGCTGCGAAGCGATGCACAAGGCTCTGGTTCTCCGCTGTTGCAGATGCATTCAATGCAGCAGGACCCGCGAGGAGAAAGACGGCCTAGGAGTGGCAGCATGTGTTGGTCGTAGTGTTCGCTTCGCCTGAATATGTGCTGTTGTTCGAGCTACAAGTATCTCCATGATCTTGTCGATCGGGTGTCTCAGCCGACACCTTCCCGAAGGTGGGCTATCGTCTCGGAAGAGGCCAAACACTCTCATCAACGACCAAGACTTCGGCTGCGGTGGGCAACTTGATCGGGGGAAACCGGGCATTCCAAGAAGAAGCTTCTTCTAAAAGCGCGTCCAGTGTTTTGGGAGCTAGAGGTAGACCTTTACAAGAAGTCGGGACCGATGTTTCGACTGGAATCCTGCGTTTCCTCCTTTGTCATCGACCGTGATGTCAAAACTTCAGCAGCTGAAATGTCTGAAGTCATGCAGGCGCCCGTCCAAAGTTCTCCACCGCCTTTTACAATGACGGAGTTACCTGGTATGGGCGATTCACGGACTTCGTTCCGTACCACGCACTGCCGGCAAGAGCGCAACGAAGATTCGTTCAGAACATTCGGAGTCGTTTCAAACTTGACTGTCACCCGAGGAAGCCTATGAATGGAAAAGTGTCGAGAATGTGAACTTGGAAACAAAGGAATCACCCTGCGTAAAAGGCTCTCTCTCGCTGCGACGCTCTTCCACGTAGTCCTCATCCACCGGCGTGCTTGGGCGCCCTAAGCGAGACCTAAGGCAGAGATCGTGCACGAAGTCATGGAGACGGATGGAACACACTGAGACTTGATGCCGCGCTGCGCAGCATTGGCAAACAGCGCACCCGCCAGAGCCCAAAGCTTGCGCAATACCGGCTTCGGAGTCGAACTCGAACAGATGTCTCAGGGGCACTCATGCTAACGCGAATGCATTTTGCATAATGGGCACATGCCGTATTCCGGGTGAAACACTGGGAGTGAAACTGGCATCGGCAACAGAAATAGTTGCCAGCATTCCTACCTGATGGCTAATCACGATCGACCTCCAATCCTAGCGAATTGGGTCACTCTTGGGACACTGTGTGCAGCTGTGATGCCTCAGCATATCGGGGAACAATTGATTTTAAATCTTTAATTTTTAAATTTTTTTTTTAAAAATAAAATAAATTTCAATTTAGATCAAAAAATTTAAAAAAAAATTATATTTTTTTAAATTTCTAAGTTTTTAATTAACAAAAAAAAAAAAACTAATTTAAAAGTTTAGATAGATCCGATGGGGGGGGGGGGGTTGATGCTGAGGCATCACAGCTGCACACAGTGTCCCAAGAGTGACCCAATTCGCTAGGATTGGAGGTCGATCGTGATTAGCCATCAGGTAGGAATGCTGGCAACTATTTCTGTTGCCGATGCCAGTTTCACTCCCAGTGTTTCACCCGGAATACGGCATGTGCCCATTATGCAAAATGCATTCGCGTTAGCATGAGTGCCCCTGAGACATCTGTTCGAGTTCGACTCCGAAGCCGGTATTGCGCAAGCTTTGGGCTCTGGCGGGTGCGCTGTTTGCCAATGCTGCGCAGCGCGGCATCAAGTCTCAGTGTGTTCCATCCGTCTCCATGACTTCGTGCACGATCTCTGCCTTAGGTCTCGCTTAGGGCGCCCAAGCACGCCGGTGGATGAGGACTACGTGGAAGAGCGTCGCAGCGAGAGAGAGCCTTTTACGCAGGGTGATTCCTTTGTTTCCAAGTTCACATTCTCGACACTTTTCCATTCATAGGCTTCCTCGGGTGACAGTCAAGTTTGAAACGACTCCGAATGTTCTGAACGAATCTTCGTTGCGCTCTTGCCGGCAGTGCGTGGTACGGAACGAAGTCCGTGAATCGCCCATACCAGGTAACTCCGTCATTGTAAAAGGCGGTGGAGAACTTTGGACGGGCGCCTGCATGACTTCAGACATTTCAGCTGCTGAAGTTTTGACATCACGGTCGATGACAAAGGAGGAAACGCAGGATTCCAGTCGAAACATCGGTCCCGACTTCTTGTAAAGGTCTACCTCTAGCTCCCAAAACACTGGACGCGCTTTTAGAAGAAGCTTCTTCTTGGAATGCCCGGTTTCCCCCGATCAAGTTGCCCACCGCAGCCGAAGTCTTGGTCGTTGATGAGAGTGTTTGGCCTCTTCCGAGACGATAGCCCACCTTCGGGAAGGTGTCGGCTGAGACACCCGATCGACAAGATCATGGAGATACTTGTAGCTCGAACAACAGCACATATTCAGGCGAAGCGAACACTACGACCAACACATGCTGCCACTCCTAGGCCGTCTTTCTCCTCGCGGGTCCTGCTGCATTGAATGCATCTGCAACAGCGGAGAACCAGAGCCTTGTGCATCGCTTCGCAGCAGAACCGTTTGCTGTGAACGGATGCAGTCTCTCTCTCAGTCGCGCAGAGCGTGTCCACAGGTGAGACCGCTCGTCAGCAGCCCTGTCAATGGGACTAATGTGCGGGGAAAACATAGAGTCGGCGGAAGCATACAGCTTGGGGAACAAGTTCCGGAAAAACTACATACACGATGGACATGTCTATACAGGGCTCTTCGCTACCCTTTTCGGGTGAGACGATGGCAGGACTAGGGTAAATTTTCCGGCCACCGTGGGGAAAAGCTTAGTCAGAAAGGACGCTTCTAGAGTCGCTGGTAAAGCTCACCCGAGGCACAAGGGGAATTCGTGACCACTCGCCGATAAAAGATGGATCACCTGATAAGTCAGTTGACGTTGGTGTAAAGCGTGGGAAGGCCGTGGTCCCCCGGTTCGCCTCATGTCGGCTCCCCTAGACAGCTTTGTGGAATACTTCAAACGGGGCAACTGCTAAGTTGGAGTCAATGTCATCCAGTGGGAAGTTGCTGTGCAAGCTTTGACAGATCAAAAGTATGGTCATCCAGAAGTGTGTCCCGTCGTACGGTGTAGACATGCACCTGCAGACCTGACAGTCTGATGGGATGTTCCAGAGGTTTCCAGTTGCGTCATTGGGAGCCACCGGTCTCCCATGCTTGGCAAAACACGTAGGCAAAAAGCGGCAGGGTCAAGTGGAACAAACGTAGGGAGGCACACCACTCCCACATCGGTCTGGAAATAGAGTGCGGGATGACATTCAGACCCACATAAAACCTCCAGAATAATTTGTTGGAAAGCGTGATACCAGTCGAGGTTGATGGTCAGGTGGGAAAAGTCTAAGGAGAGCCCATCCTCCACTGATAATCTGATCATCGTAGCGGTGGAATTGAGTACCGACCTGCAGTGGACGGGGCGCATGTGCTTGTATTGGCAATCGGCAAGAAGTCGTAATGTCAATCACTGCGGGACATAGTGGCAATCCTGCGGTTCGCGCGAAGCTGGTACCATGGCGGCACGGATAGGGAAAGGGACGATCCACGCTGTCTTGTGCCAGAACCTGAACGGATGCAGTGCAAGACCCATTTCATGTTTCAAGATGTGCAGAGAGTTCGAGCTGACGTGCTCGCTTTCTTTGCCTGCATCCTGACCCCATTGGGCACCGGGCCAAACCAGAGAGTGGGCAGTCGGAAGCCCCATGTTGGCATCAGGAGGGCGATCCCCCTCTGCGTGTTCGCTGGTCAGCCTTTGATCAGGCGCGGGCTCACGTGAAACTGCTTGATTGATTCACAAGCATGACCGCTCATGAAATTCTGGAATGTGATGCATGTCGTGCACCAATCGGTCGCAAGATCTTCCTATGGCAGTCATGTGTGCTCCCCGTACTCAGTGGGTGGGAAGACTCGGCCTTTTTGCAGGAGTTGGACTCCAGGGCCAGGCTTCAGGCCCCGCGATTTGAGACGTGCGGACAGCTTCCAAAAGCCGCGGAAGCCTTCAGGCATACTCCGGTTTTTGTTCCACGACACAGAGACACGACGCGGGGCTCTATTTTGGGCCTACCTGTCGTGACCTTCCTGGCCTGCCTCTGTCGAAAAGGCACCCCGTACAGCTGTCGGCTTTCACCTGTTGAGGACTGAGGACGTCGGAACATGTGAAACCATTCTGTAGGTCATCTACCTCGACGAGCCATGACGACACGCTCCCTCCTCATGTCGGCACTTCGTGGGTCGCTGATGACGTCGGATGCAGACGTCGGCTTCAATGTCATACCGCATAAACGTAGCACGATGTAATCCAGCATATTCTGCATGCTTTGGCTGCTGGACCAGTAGTCCTTCAGCTTGCAGCAAGATGCAGCAAGAAGAGCATCTCGCTACATGCTGAACTGCACACTGGTGCACATGGTGTGCCATGGATCGCTTCCTCGTGCGACGCCCCAAGCCAGATGGGTGCACAGGCGAGCTGCATTGACGTTGGAGTTAGCACACGTCATGCATCGATGCTGACAGGTGTATCCCAGGATGCGGAGGCTGGGCCGTGTCGACTATAACCAGCCGCGCCAGTCTGTCACCAAGTGCAGCTCCCCAAGCCCCCAATCCAGCGACCGTACCCACGAAGATTTGGCAGCTGCAGTACAGCAGCACTCGTAGCAGCAACCGCAACACGAGTCATAACAAAGGACGAGCTTTGGCATTCATTGATCGATAGGGCATACTCAGAGACGACCTTGGTTTCATGGTTTCGCAAAGTAAACACTCGATGCATGGCACGTATCTTTCACAGCAGACGAGGCAGACTGAACTGAGAAGAAGAAAGCGATTCTCACAACCTATCGCGAGGGTCGACGCCCGATTTCGCATAAGACAAGATGCAGTGATAGCAGATCAGCTGATGGAAGCACTGTAGCGAAGGCCAGTCCCAAGAGACAGCGGACAAGCAGCGCTACCCTCAGAAACTGGAGTACGGGTCAGGTCCTGTCTCTTTGCATCCTGTAAACTTCCGGAGTGCAGGTGCCCAAGATGATCCTGCATCGGGGGTGGAGGCTTCTGGCGACCCTCAGAAGATCATTTCCTGGCGGCTTGGCAGTTGACTTTCAATTCTGCAGTTTCGCTGTGGTTGGCTTCATTTCAGAAGGTCGACTTTCCAACAAAAACTGTTTGTGCAACATTTCTGTTGAATATTTCACGAGTTTGGCTGGAAAGCAGCTCGGCTTCGCTAACTTGGAGCTTCTGAACAATTCTGAAGGCGAGGTTCATCTGTTGTACAGGCTATGGCTATGGTAGTTTGGCCTTTCCGTTCGCTGCATTGCGTCCGGCCAACAGGCCTTGCGTACTTGCCTTGCACCTCTATTCTACAGTTTCGCGAATCTGCAAAAGCTGCTGCAGTGCGTGATCCTTTCTCCGTTCTTTTCTCGACCCAGCTTAGCGACGCTCTCCCAGCAACTTTGTTCCGATCTTTCCATCTTAGCCCGAACTCAAGACATATGCCTCCTGGCAGACTTCGTCTGCTAGTTACGGCCTGAAGTGGCCTTACCGCCGTTGTTGTCGATTGATTCTGTTTGTGTGAGTTCAGGAATGTCAATGGGCTGGCCGTCCAGCTGCGAAACAACTGGTGACCCAGTGTGTTCATGGGCAAATTGTTGGGGGCTCTGACGGCAACCGCAGCGAGGATTAGTGTTCCTCTGCCTTTCGAGGAGCCTCATCAAGCAGTTTCTGGAGAACGAAGAGCCAGCCACTAGCATCACCTTTCAACGCTACCTGAGTTCGAGGGATTTTCCTAAGTCTGCGAGTTTTTGCTTGCAGCATGTAACTCGAGGACGTACTTTGTCTTCAAGAAGTACGGCTTCCCGCGGCCGGTCCGAAAGGCCAAAGCTTTTCCAGTCTCAGACTGTTTCATCGACATGAGACATGACGAGTGAAGTTCTGTGTGCAGTTTGCCTAAGGCCTGAAACCTGTAGACTGGAATGTGCAAGCAAGATGTGCCGCAATCGATCTTTCTGTCTCATCTGTCTCTCTCTGTTCGAACCCCGTGCAGGCTGCAAGCGTGGTGATGGGCAGAAGCGTAGCCGGGGTGAGGCCCATGAGGGTTGTGTGGAATGCGGCAGCCCTTGCTCGCAATATGCTTTGGTGCGAAGGCGAAGTACGACTCAGCCCAGGAGAAGGCTCAGCATGCGGAGGTTGGCTCATGGCAGACGTGCGAGTCATGGTCGCCCGAAGGCGGACTGGGACCTGGTTCAGCGGACCCTCGTTGCCACATATGCGAAGACGTATAGCTTTCACTGGTCTCTGGCTGACTGGAAATATTCAGGAGCTCGGCTTCTACTTTCATCTCACCCCCTCTCTCTCTCTGCCTGCCTGCCTGCTTGTGACGACAGCCTCGTTCGATTGCAGGCACTTTGATGATGATCAGGAGAAGTCTTCGGCCTTCGTGCATCACCTACACATGCTCTACGTTCGGCGTGGATCATCCGGCTCACTTCGACCCAGCAAATCGCAAATGGCATCCGGAGGTTGGCAGCTGCATCTTGTCGTCATTGCCCTTGACATTCCCACAGCTCTCCGCAGCAAGTGTTGCAGGGACGAATCATCTGCGTCTCCTCCTGAGGATCAGGGAGTTAGTCAGTTAGTCGCTCATGATCCTGGCTGTGCTGTGCTGTTACTTTCGCAGAAATCTGCTCAGATGTCGAGGCTAGTTTTGCAACCTTTGACCTGCTTGCGCCGTCACCTCAGTTCAGATGCTGGGCGACCGAGACGAAGATTGCGAGGGCATTGTTCCCATACAAGGGGCATTATGCAGACCCCAGATTCCCCAAGAGGAAGAACGTCCGCCACTAGGCCAGCGGAGTCGAGCTAGCTAAGACCTACAGGCAATAGCAGCCTCGAGCCCCGCGCATCCATGCCGCAGGTGGGGAGGGAGAATTTGCGAAACGCGTTTGGGGTGAAAGCGGTGGGGGCACATCAGTGACGGTGGAGCGTGGTCGGAGGCACATTTGGTGTTAGCACAGTCCTGAGTCGGGCCTCTTAAACAATGTCTTGATGATGACTGTAAGCAAGCCCACAGAGAGCGAGCTCATCTTCTGCACGAACTTGCTGTCGTCCAGTCCAGCAGCTACCGAACAGAAAGGCTCGTTACTCGACGTGACGGGCACTCAAGCTACATGACGGGTTGGAGGCGGATACTTTTTGGATCTTGTTGGCAAATGCTGGAGTCTCACAGCGCTCGCTGCTGAAACATGCCGCGATTGAAGTGCAAGCGGAAGGGGCAATTTTGTTGAATTTCGTTCGAGCTTCACATGTGCAAGTGCTCGTCTTCTACTCCACGAGGCTAGTGTATATTGTACAACACCTTGTGGACCTTGTCGGCACTGCATGGCCGTGGCATAATGTTGCGGGAATCGACCACCAGGATTCGCCAGGAGGAGAGATGGCAGCGTGCTGGGGAGCATCAGGCAATCTCCTCGCACGGAAACCGCTTGTTGGGTACATTTGGAACATACCAATCGCAAATCGAGACGTGTGTGGGAGGATTAAACTCCACTGTCATCGAAGTAACTTCCAGTCGGATTGGTGGAGTGGGCCGATCAGTGGCGGACGCATTCTTGTGCTCGAAATGTGCCGCAAAAGAAAGACTCTGGCACGCCATGTCTGCCGGCTTTGCGCAGTGGACTGCAGCATCCGACAGCTGAGGACATATTCTCCCAACAACGGCAGTGACCCGGAATCCTTCGCAAGACGTGCTGCGTGGGACAAAGCATTGAACGAGGAGCCAATCCTAAATTGTGTTGCAGTGGTACCTATCAGTTTATGGTGCCAAGGTTTTTGTTTGCTCATGTTCATTACACAAACTATACGGAGCTTTATCAGATGTTGGCCGGTGGGAAAAGTTGTTGTCAGGCCGTGGTGCAAAGGAATCGGCCGCTGCTTTGGATTGGCGATCTGAATGTTGCCGCGGAACGCATTGAGCCTTGGCCACATTGCAGTTTGCTTCATAAGAACTGTGTAGACAGCACATCGGGCTAGAACCCAGCAAATGTGATTGAACTTCGGCGGAGAACGCAAATTTCCTTGAACAAATTGGTGCGAGGATGTCACGCATCCAGATTGGTTCGCACAGCAGTGCTACCAGGAGTGCTTCGGCAGCCTGCAATCTATTGAAAGTGCGAATGGCACGCGGGGGGCTGGTTGCAAGCTGCTCAGCCTTAGTTCTGCCTCAGGGTGAACCAGCAGACATGCGGGGCCAGCCTGGCTTCACTGAAGGCCTCGTTTCGTGTTTAAGTGAGAGGTCTCGTGGCATTGGCCGATCTTGATAAACTTGGCTAATCGGATCATTGGCGATGCCTCTGCTTCCGGGCTCAAGGATTGCAATGCAAGCACCATGCGATACGGGCTCCTCAAAGCGTGCAGGTGAGCGACGACGCTTCAAAGAACTTCTCGTGACGGGAAAACTAGTGGATGCTTACAGGCATGGCTCTGCTGGTCAGACTGAGATGAGATGAGGTCTGACGGAGTCTCGTGTTTCGGGAAGGCGGTTGCACCCCAGTGACGATGTCCCATCAGCGTCGTGCGCTGAGCTGGCTTCTCTCCGATGGGCACGTTTCTTTTTGAAATGCTGCAGTTCCGAGGGCCGGACCCTATTTCACTTGGCGAGGGCATCCTCCTGTTCATCAGGTTGTGGGGATGTTCCGGGCAAGAGCACGTGTGTGTTTCTCTAGACTTGACTCCTGCTAGCTGAATGGCAGACTGTGGCGAAATATCACGGGAAAGGATCCTTGGTCGGCAAGAGCGTGATGCAGTGTGGGCATTTGGGCACTGCAAAGCCGGGAACCAGGCATGCGCATCGACTATGCACTCGTGGCCGAGGACAGTCAGATGGGCTTGTCGGAAGTCCGCAGTCTATCGAGAGTTGGTGGCTGCAGTCCTTGTTCTGGAGTTGATTATTGTTCAGCTTCGCTTTGAATGTGTCGGCTTGCAGGTCTCTGTCCGTGTCCACAGTGAGTCGGTGCTCCATTAGAGGGGTGAACTTCGAAGAATTCTTCCAGTGCACCACAACCACTAGTCTTTTCCATGTTGAACGTATCGCTGCACGTGCTGCTTGTGTGCCATTTTAGCGTAGTTCCGTTTGCCAATGACCAGCTTGCTTTCGAAAAGATGGGTTCTCCTTGTTTTCTTCTCCCTCCCTCCTTTTCTGTAGATTGTTCTGTGCTTGTGGTTAGGAGATGTTGACCCGCTTGGAGGCGTGTGACATTCTAGGCCAGGGCGCGGACAGGAACGGCTTCCTCGGAGCCTCGGTGGAAGAATGAACTGACGTACGCAAGGCGAGCTTACGAAGACCCGGTAGAGCAGTCTAGAAGCTTACGGGTAAGCTCTTCCCATGCAGGACAGCATGGAACAGTACTGCAGAACAGGGCCATGATGATCGTCTGCAGCTGTCTCTGGGCCCTGTCGGGTCTGCAAGGGGCAGTCCAGCCTTGGGATCTTCGCCCATGGCACGCACCGAGGAGCTACGATTGTTTGAGGCGTTGGGGCTTGAGGTTCCCAGCCTGCGTGGAGAGCTGATGGATCGCACACTTCTGCAGGGACCTGGTGGCAACCAACAGAGACTTGTCGCACAGACACCTGCAGCAAACAGGGACGCACCTGTGGCAGCTCCGACCCGGATGGCCAGTGCCATTACTCAGACCGCTGTCGGTGAGACCACTGCATCCAACCCGGCGGCCGCCGGCTCAAAAGCAGAAGCTTGACACCTCAGAAGCATCTTCGCCGAGCTGCCTTTGAAGGCAAGGCAGAGGCAGAAACAAGTTTGAGCCAGGAGACTTCGACATATCATCCAAGTCAGCTTGGGCTTGGTTGATGAGGCCAGGCCACGCCCGTTTCTTATACGAACTTGGACTGCTCGCGACATGAGTTTCACAGTCGCATGAGAGGGATGACTTCGTCAACCTGTGGACAGGCACACGAATATCTAGCGTAACTGGCGACTTCTTGCCTCGTGTCGCTGAGCCGTTTTAAGTCTCTTGCTTTTCGTCTTCTCTTCCCCGAGCCAACTCCAGACTTATTGGTTTGGCAGACGGGATTGCGAGAAGACTCGATTCCTGCAATGCTGCAAGATCCTGCAAGTCTCACCCCGAACACTTCAGAAGCGGGCTTGCTGGTGCGCCAATGTCTCGCAACCTGCAACTTACGGATCACTCTTTCAAGTGCAGAGCTGGAAGAGACAGCTTGCAGATCCAGCAGACCCGACCGGTTGCACGCTTTTCAGAGATGCATCAGGTATGGTAACAGTATAGTATAGTTGTTTGACCGGCGTCGGTCACGTGGAGTCTAGCGGCTTAGCCTGAAGACGAGCACGATCCCGACGCCATTCTCTCGAGGGTGTCCTCTTGCCCACATGGCTCGAAGGGCCCAACGCCTCATCAGATCTGTTGTTCTGGGGCGGTGTTCTACCGGCAGTCAGCAGGCAGTCGGAAAAGGTTGTGGCATGCCAGGCCAGTGTTCCACTCACAGCCAGATTGTCACCTGTACTGCCAGCAGTGAGTTTTGCTCCAGCCGCATAGTACACCACAAGTTCAAACTACTGGCCGCTCAATCCGTGCCAAGGAAGCGATCATTGCCCACTCCGTTGCACTCTGCAAAAGGAGTCATCGGCTGGATCCGCTCCGATCATCGCAGCAGTCGAACAACCTTCCACTTTATCGAGCCAGGAAGCTCGACTGTAAACGGGCCGCAGGGGTGTGTGTGTGTGTGTCTGTGTGTCTGTGTGTCTGTGTGTGTCTGTGTGTGTTTCCACAGTGAAGTCTCGCCCTGCTGATAAGATGACTGGATCCCCTTGAACGTCATCGCATGAAGCCATCTCTCGAAGCACACGCTGGCAGAACGATGTGCAAGCGTCTTCTCAGGTGGATGCCGAATCTCCTGCCCAAGTGACCGTGCTGGATTGACTCGCAGAGCGCCGAAAACTGACCGTCAGCACACACCATCGCGCACCCTATGACTCAGCAAACTAGGCAGAATCGGAATATCTTTGCAGCGCGGGGCAATGCAGCAGCAAGCATCAGACGAGAATCTTGCGGCTGGTCCTTTGCCCACGGGAGCTCGAGGTTCGGATGAAGTGGCCCTTCCAACCCGGCTACGGCGAGGCTGGCGAAGTTTCAGGGGCTCTGGGATCGCTGCTCGGTCTCTTGATTTCCACTTTCGAATGCCAGGGAAGCGGCCAGCTCCGTGCTTCTGGAATCCACGGATACTGTGGCTCGTCTGCAAAGAGCCGCTTTGTCAGGCTTTCCAGAAGGTGTTCATTTAGCGCAGTACCGCGGTCCGGTGTCATTGCATGTGCCATCGCAGGTGGCCGTTTGCGGTCTGCAGCCTGTACTGTGCGGGCTGCAGCAGGGCTCTGTAGGTGCATTTGTGCTTGCAATCCACGCAGCGCAGGCCAGGCCACACGGTCCTCGTTGCTAAGTCCCTCGGTTCCCGTGAGAGGCTCAGGGGCAAGGCAACCTTGGGGCGACCAGCGATGAGCAGCGAGTCTGTGACGAGGACTCAGCCAACTTTCAGAAGACGCCATGCGCGGCGCCCGGGGGCGAAGCAAATAGTCACTGCATTCCTGTAAGTCCTGGCTTTGGAGGCTTGATCTCTGGAGAACCGCTTTGAGAGCCCAGGCCTGATCCGCACAGACACAGTTGGATATGGCATTGAAGTCTCGGAAGGTGCACTTGGAGCGAGAACTCGCTACAACAGCCCAAGCCTGAAAGCGCTGCTGTCTGAGTCTGAAACGACTCCTCTTCTTGATCCATAACATAGTCGGGTTGTCGGCTTGTGGTGGCTTTGTGGATGTGGAGGGACAGTTTTGACCAGAACCATCCTGTGCCAAAATCCGACCTGCATCGAGACTCCGCGACTCGCCGCCTCCATTGCGGATCTCTGCATGTCGGAGCTGGGTAGACCTCACAGTGGTTGGTGGCCCGAGGCAAGCAATTGGGCCGTCTTCGATGGCTGGTTTTCTGGTCAACCTGTGCTTGAGCCTCGTAGTGTCGCAGTTGAACTTGCTTCGTCGTGACCCTCATGACGAGAAAACCAAGGGCTCAGGTTCACCTACATGTGGTTCCCCGCAAGTCCGGCGATCTCGACGAGAACGACCAGGCTCAGCGCAGCAGTTGCAAAAGCCAACAAATGGCACTGAGCTGGGCAGAAGCTGGGGAGGTCTATGCTGCTTTGGAGGCATGGACGCCATGGCCTGCAGGCTACGATGGCTGCGGCTACGGAGAAGGGGAGACTAAGACGAAGTCAGACGGTTCTCAGGAGGAGCCCTGCAGCCACCTCCCATCGCACTATTCTCAGAAATTTAATCCCTCTCGCGTCGGCCGCTGCGATCTTGGGACAAAACTGCAGCCTTCGCAGTTCAGGCGTGGCCAGCGGATGAGCATCGCAAAGAACGAACAGGCAGCAGGGATCTTGTATTCATGCGGGGTATCAGATCAAGAAGTGGCACCGGCACCAGCCAGAAGTCGCAGCATTTCCCGAAAATGGTCTCCATCCATGCCACACGACACTTGCAACTGGCACCGTCTTTTTTTGCGAATCTGTTCCTTGATTTGTGCGTTGATTCGCAGAATCTAGCAGAGCGTTGGCGCTGAAAGCGCGGTGTTGTCCTGGCGGGTGTTAAGAACGACCAGTTGGCTCCATGCAAGCAAGCTGCGGGCACTTACAGGGCACTTGGCGCGTTCGTCTGCATGTATCCGATCCGACCACTGCCGAATCCATGCTCCAACCGCATGCATGTCCACTACGACCCTGAACATCCATGCCCCGACCAGCAACACCTCCACTACGATCCATCCGCTCCACAAAGCATCGATGTCGCGAACTTGTTTTTGCAAGTTATAGGGTCCGCTAGTCACTGCGACCCCATTCGCTCACAAAGCAATCCAAGCTCTATCCCCATGTCAATGCCCGTGTTCGAGTGTACAGTTCCCCGCACCATCCACGGCCCAGCCACGGTAACGATAGACACGGTAACGATAGACCAACCGTGATAACCTCTGTGGCTAGTGTAGAGAACTGTACAGCATGATGGTGCATACTTGTGGCCATTTCGAGCACTTCAGCTGCAAACACCCGCAGCCATGAAATGCTGCTAAAGTCCTGCGCCCTGCTTCACAATCACCCATGTTTACAAAATGCAACTGTCTGCTCCGACCAGGCTGGTGTCAACCGGCTCAGAGCGTATGAGAATGTATGAGAAATGTTTGAAATTCTTGACGAGCTCTGAGACCCTTGATTAGTTTAGGGTGAGGGGGTTTCAGTTTCGGTTTATAGTGAACCCCAAAAGTTGGAACACGGATTTATGAAGATTAGTGCAGTGAATCCCTATACTTTACCTTAAGGGTATGAGGAAAATTCTGGCTTCTCCTTTAAAGTGTTCGTTTGTGGGTATTTAGGTTTAAGGTACTTGGGTTTGGCGAACTCGGGTTAAAGATTTTCGGGTTGCAGGTATGTTTGGGCATGCTGGTGTAGGGTTTTCGGATTCAGGTACTTGCTTTTGGGGTGTTCGTGTTTGAGTGTTCAGTCCCAGAGTATTCGGATCCAGGCTTTCTGTAGAATAGGGCTTAGGTTCTGGGGTTTCAGGGTCTTGAGTTTCACGGTGTGTGTTTACGGCAGCTATTGGGTAGCTACCGTTTCCAGGGTAAGGGAATTTTGGGTTCAGGGTATTCGGGCCTGTTGGGGCTTAGGGTATTCGAGTCGAGGGTTTTAGTGCAGGTCTTGACTTTGGGATTCGTTTAGGGTTTCAGAGTCTGGGGTTTCAGGGTCTCGGGTTGCACGGGTTTATTGTGATCTGGTGTTGGGTACGTTTTTCTTACGTTTAGGTTAGGGTCTGGGGTTTCAAGGTCGAGGGTTTCCGCGTGTTATTGGGTTTGGGATCTTCAGATGCAGGGGTTTGAGATTCAGGTTTTCGGGTTTAGGGTAGGTAGGCCTGATTTTGAGGGTTTGGGTTTTACTTTGCAGGTATCGGGTTTGGGGTCAACGGTTGCAGGGTCTAGGGCCTAGGGTTGCACGGGGTAATCCGGTTTGGGGGTTTAGACTTTCGGGTTTCAGGGTCCAGGGTTTCGCAGTTTGGGGTATTCGGGTTTAGGGTACGCACAGGTTCAAGGTTTCACTGACAGTTCACGGTTTCCGATATTCGGCTTCATGGTTTGGGGAAGTTTAGGGTCTAGGGTTTCAGGGTCCAGACTTGCAAGGGTTTCATCGTGTTTAGAGTGTTCGGGTTCAGGGTATCCGGGTTTGGGTACTTTTAGGTTCAGGGGCGGGAGCCTCAGGTATTCGGTTTTTGGGTTCAGGGTATTCGGGTTCGGGGGTTTGGGATTAAGGTTATTCGGGTTTAGGGTAGTAGGTTCAGGTTTGAGGGTGTTCGGGTTTAGGGTTTTGCTGTGGTATCGGGTTTGGGATAGTTTCGGGTTGGGTTCAGGGTCGGAAGGTGCGGCCAACCCTTGTTTGCGAGGTGCGGCCAAGGGTCCCTGGTGCATGCGGTCCCCTGGTCCTCTGGTCCTTGGTCCTGTGGTTCCCTGGTCCTCCGGTCTGCTGGTCCTGTCCGTGCATGCGGTCCCCAGTCCTCTGGTCCTTGGTCCTGTAGTCCTCTGGCCCTCTGGTCTGCTGGTCCTCTGGTCCCGTGCTCTCCTGGTCCCGTGGTTTCCTGGTCCTGCGGTCCGCCGGTCCCTCGGTCCCGCAAAAGCAACAAGAAAGCAAACAAGGAATAACACAAATAAAGCACAACCCCAGAAGAAAGAAAAGCAGAAGAAAGATGATGAAGGAAAGAAAGCCAGGAAGGAAGCACAAAAGAAAGCAAGAAAGCACAGGAGCTAGCAAGGAATGAAAGAGAAACAAGAACAGGAACCCATTTTTGTTTGTGCCCTTTTTTTTGGCCCTCTTTCTTTTGCTCCCACGTCCTGTTATTTACACAGGGAAGGAAGAAAGCAAGGAAAAAAGGAAGGAAGGAAGGAAGGAAGGACGGTAGTATTTCAGTAATATATATATATATATATATACATAGTATACATAGTACATGTTGTATATATAGTATGTATACTATATATATATATATAGTATGTACAGTAAAGATAATATATTATAATATAATATAATGGAATATAATATGATATATTATAATATAATGTAATAAAATATAATGTAACATAATATAATATAGTATAATATAACATAATGTAATCTAATATAATGTAGTATAATATATTATAATGTAATATAATATAATATATTGTAATGTAGTGTAATATAACATAATATAATATAATGTAATATAATGTAATATAATGTAATATAATGTAATATAATGTAATATAATGTAATATAATGTAATATAATGTAATATAATGTAATATAATGTAATATAATGTAATCTAATGTAGTATAATATACTGTAATATACTACAACATAATGTAATATAATAAAGAAATACAATATAATGTAAAAAGATATAATATAATATAATATAATATAATATATTAGAATAGAATATCATATAATAGAATAGAATATCATAATATAGAATATCATAAAACAGAATAGAATAGAATATCATATAATATAACAGCATAGAATAGACATAATCGAATATAATAGAATATAACAGAACATCATAGAATATAATAGAATATCATAGAATATGATAGAATATAATATAACATAAAAGATTATAGGATAATATAATGGAATTTAATAGAATTGAAAAGAATATAATATAATGTAATATAAGAGATAGAATAGAATAAAATAGAAAAGAATATAATATAAGAGAATATAATATAATATACAGTCTATAGAGTCTATATAGATATATATAGAGTTTATTTATATATTTATATATTATAGTATATATAATACTATATATAGTATATATATAGTGTATATAGTATATATAGTATATTTAGTGTACATAGTATATATAGTATATATATATACAGATATACATAGAGTTTCAATATATATATATATATATATATAGTATATGTAATAAGTACAGGAGATATAACCTTAGTATATATAGTATATACAGTATATATAGTATATATAGTATATATAGTATATATAGTATATATAGTATATTTTTAATATATACATATTTATATAGTATATGTAGTAGAGTTAGTATATATAGTATATATAGTAGATATAGTAGATATTATAAAATTGTATGTATATATATAGTATACATAGTGTAAATAATATATATATATATATATTTATATAGTATATAGTATATAGTATATATATATATATACACACAGAGAGAGAGAGTACATATGTGTGTATATAAATATATACATATATATATATATATATATATACATATGGAAGGCCTATTATTTTGGATCTTGTTGTTGAAATTTTTGTTTGGTGTTTTTCCATGGTTTTCCTTGGGGAAACACTATTTTCCTCACGTTTTGGACAGATTTGGTGTGCTTTTCTTGGTTTTTTCCACCTGAAACGAAAAGAACCCGGGAAGACAGAACGAAACACCCCAGAACAAGGACCAAAGCAAGGAAGAAGAACAGAAAGAAAGAAAAGATAGAAGGAAGGCAGACGGTTGGAAATTCAGGTTCGGAACCCAGGTTCAAACCTGGGTTTGAACCTAGGTTCTAATTCGGGTTAGAACCCAGGTTCAGAACACGGATTTTCTCGGGTTGTTGATTCAGCGGGGTTAAGCGCGAAGATGCGCGAAGCAACACAATCAATCATGAATGACTTGGAAGTTCTCTTGAGCCACGAAGTAATCAACAATAACGTGTTTGCCAACCGGTCGTTTGAGCCGCCACGAAATAAATAAAACCGTGTTCGCCAACACAAAAAAAGAATAAAACCAGACAACACTGCTTCAGGGGGGTTTAACGTGAAGAAGACAAAATCAATCCTGAAGGATTTAAAAGGTTTGCAAATGGGGGGGGGGCTGCGCCCCCCCCACCCCCCCCGCTTTTTTTAGACTAAACTCCCCCGCTCTCTAAAGCCACACAAGAAAGGGAAAGCCAGACAACCACGCTCCAGGGGAGTTTACCGCGAAGAAAGCACAATCAATCCTGAAGGGTTTAACAGCTTTGCAAATAGGGCGAGTTCCCCCCCCAAACCGTCGCTGTTTTAGACTAAACTCCCCGCTCTCTAAAGCCGCGAAGAAATGAACATAAACGTATTCGGCAACACACAAGAAGGGGAAAGCCAGACAGCCACGCTCCAGGGGGTTTAACGCGAAGAGCAGCAACAACAACAGCAACCAAGACGACGACCACGACGACATCAACGACCCCACCACCACCAACGACGACAGCAACGACATCAACGACATCAACGACACCACCACCGCCACCAAGGCAAATAGTCTTGGAAATGGCTGCATTTCCCATTATTTTTTCTTTAGTTTTTCGTTGATCCCTGGATCTAATTTGTTTTTGATGATGAGTTTTTTGATGCCTCACCCCGTCCACAGGGATCCTGCCCCTCGAAGCGCCCGCGCTGTGGTGCGGCGCGACCCCGATGAACCCTCTACAGGGATTCTGTGTGTCGAAGCGCTGGCGCTGTGGTGCGGCGCAAATTCTTTACGTCGCCGATGAACCCTCTACAGGGATCCTGCGTGTCCAACCTGAACAAATCCTTGGCCGCACCTCCGAAAAAAGAGGGTTGGCCGCACCTCCGAAAAAAAAAAAAACCCCGCCTTCAGGGTCTAGAGAGTCACAGGGGCCAGGGTTTCACTTGTCCGCGTGAATCAACTGGGTTTGAGGTGCAATTGTCGGGTTCTGATCTAGGGTTTAGGGTTTGGAGTGTCGCACGGTTCAAGGTCTCACATGTCCGCGTTTATTCAACGGGTCTGGAGCACAGGGTAGCCTCGGGTCTAGGGTGTTTCCGTGTTTGAGCAGTTTAGGCTGTTCGGGTTTCGGGGTGTGCGGGTTCAGGGATTTAGGGTTTAGGGTATTGGGGTTCAGGGTAGTTTAGGGCTTCCGATTCTGCTTCGGGGGATTTCAGGGTCCAGACTTGAAAGGGGTTTGTTCGGGTTTCAGGTAGTGGTTTAGGTTAAGGGTTTTACTGTGAGTTTAGGGTTTAGACTGTCGCAGGATTTAGGGTTTCACTTTTCCGCGTTAATCAAACGGGGTTGGGGTTCTGGGTAGCTTCGGGATTAGGGTTTCGGGTTTCCTGTTGCGGGATGGGGCAGTTTAGTGTGCGGGTTCAGGGATTTCGGGTTTAGGGTATTGGGGTTCAGGGTAGTTTAGGGCTTCCGATATTAGGGTTTAGATTCGGTTTTTGGGTTTAGGGTATTCGGGTTCGGGGTTTGGGTTTGGGATTAAGGATATTCGGGTTTAGGGTAGTAGGTTCAGGTTTGAGGGTATTCGGGTTTAGGGATTTGCTGTGCAGGTCTCGGGTTTGGGATAGTTTCGGGTTTGGGATGTAGGTTTAAGGGTTTAGAGGGTGTCACAGGCTTTAGGGTTCATTGTCCGTGTTTATTATATGGGTTTGGGGCATGGGTTTCGGGTTCTGGCAAGCTTAGGGTTTAGGATGTCTCGGGCTTGAGCAGTTTAGGCTGTTCGGGTTTCGGGGTGTGCGGGTTCAGGGATTTAGGGTTTAGGGTATTGGGGTTCAGGGTAGTTTAGGGCTTCCGATTCTGCTTCGGGGGGTTTCAGGGTCCAGACTTGAAAGGGGTTGGTTCGGGTCTAAGGTAGTGGTTTAGGTTAAGGGTGTTACTGTGGGTTTAGGGTTTCGACTGTCGCAGGATTTAGGGTTTCACGTTTCCGCGTTAATCAAACGGGTTTGGGGTTCTGGGTAGCTTCGGGATTAGGGTTTCGGGTTTCCTGTTTCGGGATGGGGCAGTTTAGGCTGTTCGGGTTTCGGGGTGTGCGGGTTCAGGGATTTAGGGTTTAGGGTATTGCGGTTCAGGGTAGTTTAGGGCTTCCGATATTATGGTTTAGGGTTCAGGGTCTAGGGTTTCACGGTCCAGGCTTGCAAGGTTTGTTCGGGTTTAGAGTGTTCGGGTTCAGGGTATCCAGGTTTGTATAGGGTTTAGGGTCCAAGGTTTCAGGGTCGGGAGCTTTGGGTATTAGGTTTTTGGGTTTAGGGTATTCGGGTTCGGGGTTTGGGTTTGGGATTAAGGTTATTCGGGTTTAGGGTAGTAGGTTCAGGTTTGAGGGTATTCGGGTTTAGGGATTTCCTGTGCAGGTCTCGGGTTTGGGATAGTTTCGGGTTTGGGATGTAGGTTTAAGGATTTAGAGGGTGTCACAGGGTTTAGGGTTCATTTGTCCGCGTTTATTATATGGGTTTGGGGCATGGGTTTCGGGTTCTGGCAAGCTTAGGGTTTAGGGTGTCTCGGGCTTGGGCAGTTTAGGCTGTTCGGGTTTCGGGGTGTGCGGGTTCAGGGATTTAGGGTTTAGGGTATTGGGGTTCAGGGTAGTTTAGGGCTTCCGATATTAGGGTTTAGGGTTTACGGTCTAGGGCTTCACGGTCCAGGCTTGCAAGGTTTGTTCGGGTTTAGAGTGTTCGGATTCAGGGTATCCAGGTTTGTATAGGGTTTAGGGTCCAAGGTTTCAGGGTCGGGAGCCTCGGGTATTCGGTTTTTGGGTTTAGGGTATTCGGGTTCGGGTCGGGTTTAGGGTAGTAGGTTCAGGTTTGAAGGTATTCGGGTTTAGGGATTTGCTGTGCAGGTCTCGGGTTTGGGATAGTTTCGGGTTTGGGATGTAGGTTTAAGGGTTTAGAGGGTGTCGCAGGGTTTAGGGTTCATTTGTCCGTGTTTATTATATGGGTTTGGGGCATGGGTTTCGGGTTCTGGCAAGCTCAGAGTTTAGGGTGTGTCGGGCTTGGGCAGTTTAGGCTGTTCGGGTTTCGGGGTGTGCGGGTTCAGGGATTTAGGGTTTCGGGTATTGGGGTTCAGGGTAGTTTAGGGCTTCCGATATTAGGGTTTAGGGTTTCACGGTCCAGGCTTGCAAGGTTTGTTCGGGTTTAGAGTGTTCGGGTTCAGGGTATCCAGGTTTGTACAGGGTTTAGGGTCCAAGGTTTCAGGGTCGGGAGCTTTGGGTATTCGGTTTTTGGGTTTAGGGTATTCGGGTTCGGGGTTTGGGTTTGGGATTTTTGATATTCGGGTTTAGGGTAGTAGGTTCAGGTTTTGAGGGTATTCGGGTTTAGGGATTTGCTGCGCAGGTCTCGGGTTTGGGATAGTTTCGGGTTTGGGATGTAGGTTTAAGGATTTAGAGGGTGTCACAGGGTTTAGGGTTCATTGTCCGTGTTTATTATGTGGGTTTAGCGCATGGGTTTCGGGTTCGGGCAAGCTTAGGGTTTGGGGTGTGTCGGGCTTGGGCAGTTTAGGCTGTTCGGGTTTCGGGGTGTGCGGGTTCAGGGATATAGGGTTTAGGGTATTGGGGTTCAGGGTAGTTTAGGGCTTCCGATTTTAGGGTTTAGGGTTTAGGGTCTAGGGTTTCACGGTCCAGGCTTGCAAGGTTTGTTCGGGTTTAGAGTGTTCGGGTTCAGGGTATCCAGGTTTGTATAGGGTTTAGGGTCCAAGGTCTCAGGGTCGGGAGCCTCGGGTATTCGGTTTTTGGATTTAGGTATTCGGGTTCGGGGTTTGGGTTTGGGATTAAGGATATTCGGGTTTAGGGTAGTAGGTTCAGGTTTTGAGGGTATTCGGGTTTAGGGATTTGCTGTGCAGGTCTCGGGTTTGGGATAGTTTCGGGTTTGGGATGTAGGTTTAAGGATTTAGAGGGTGTCACAGGGTTTAGGGTTCATTGTCCGTGTTTATTATGTGGGTTTAGCGCATGGGTTTCGGGTTCGGGCAAGCTTAGGGTTTGGGGTGTGTCGGGCTTGGGCAGTTTAGGCTGTTCGGGTTTCGGGGTGTGCGGGTTCAGGGATATAGGGTTTAGGGTATTGGGGTTCAGGGTAGTTTAGGGCTTCCGATTTTAGGGTTTAGGGTTTAGGGTCTAGGGTTTCACGGTCCAGACTTGCAAGGTTTGTTCGGGTTTAGAGTGTTCGGGTTCAGGGTATCCAGGTTTGTATAGGGTTGAGGGTCCAAGGTCTCAGGGTCGGGAGCCTCGGGTATTCGGTTTTTGGGTTTAGGTATTCGGGTTCGGGGTTTGGGTTTGGGATTAAGGATATTCGGGTTTAGGGTAGTAGGTTCAGGTTTTGAGGGTATTCGGGTTTAGGGATTTCCTGTGCAGGTCTCGGGTTTGGGATAGTTTCGGGTTTGGGATGTAGGTTTAAGGATTTAGAGGGTGTCACAGGGTTTAGGGTTCATTGTCCGTGTTTATTATGTGGGTTTAGCGCATGGGTTTCGGGTTCGGGCAAGCTTAGGGTTTGGGGTGTGTCGGGCTTGGGCAGTTTAGGCTGTTCGGGTTTCGGGGTGTGCGGGTTCAGGGATATAGGGTTTAGGGTATTGGGGTTCAGGGTAGTTTAGGGCTTCCGATTTTAGGGTTTAGGGTTTAGGGTCTAGGGTTTCACGGTCCAGGCTTGCAAGGTTTGTTCGGGTTCAGAGTGTTCGGGTTCAGGGTATCCAGGTTTGTATAGGGTTTAGGGTCCAAGGTCTCAGGGTCGGGAGCCTCGGGTATTCGGTTTTTGGGTTTAGGTATTCGGGTTCGGGGTTTGGGTTTGGGATTAAGGTTATTCGGGTTTAGGGTAGTAGGTTCAGGATTTAGAGTGTGCGGGTTTCGGGTTCTGGGCAGCTTCAGGTTTAGGGTTTCGCGTTGCCTGGTCCTGGTCTGCCGATTCAGGGTTTTAGGGTTTTAGGGTAATGGGGTGCAGGGTAGTTTAGTGTTTGTGATTTACGAGTTTAGGTTGTTTTCGGCTTCAGGTATCGTGGTTTCAGGTAGTTCAAGGAGAGTTCATGATTTGGCGTGCAGGATTTGTGGTTTAAGGTGTGGCCAAAAATCTTTCAGTGACTCATCCCAGGATGGCGGGAGCAAACTTTAACAACACGGCCTGACACGCGTGCGCTCCAACATGGCGCAAAATCCGTTCAGTATGCCATGCGACAAGCTCGAGAAACGGACTGCGGGAGCAAATTACTCGAAGTGTGCAGTATGCGATCTTCGCGACGCCGCGAGGTGAGCTCATGGCCCAGGAGGCCGGCAGCTACCGCACTGGAATCGAAGGACCAGAGCCGTGGTAGGACTGTGCCGCTGTGCGTGTGCGTGGTCTTGCAGAACACATCCACGCCGCACAGAAGCCGTTTGAAGAAGTTCGCCCAACATTTAATCGTGGCTGCTTTTCTGTGGAGCTTAAGACATGGCCGATGCAGCAAGCCAGTTTTTTCTTTGGTGGCGTTTGCAAGCTTTGTTATCGCAGGACATGGAAGCATTCCAGAAGAGCAGGCTCAGCGAGAGAGTAGCCAAGCCAGAAGCCAGAATTTGCGAGAGCGGTACGACAACGCCGCGCAGCTTGAACGGCAGGCCTTCGCTAAGTATCGCATACCTGGGCTGGCAGTCTCAGCTGGCAGTCAAGCTGAAACTCACGAGAAAGCCACTGTTACTCAGGTCGCACATCTTCTTTGCCTCACCAAGTGGCTTGAGCGTGGCTTTCGTCAACCTGAAGCCCCTGGTTCCTGGCCATGTCCTGGTACGCCTGAGTGTGTCTCTCGGGGCCTGCGTGGAGACAGTCTGGTGCAGGTCACGCCGCGAAGGGTGGCTCCCAGGCTCGCGGACCTCTCCGAGGAGGAGTTGGGCAAGCGGCGGAGCAGAGCATATCTCGATCCTAAACTTGGCTTCGCAGGAGTTCGACGACTTGTTCCGCACTGTTCGCTTGGTGCAGGCGGTGGTGGAGCGCCACTACGGAGCAGAGGCCGCATTCCTGCATGCTGACGAGATCCGCACTGTTCGCGTCTGTTCGCGTTCTGGCCTGGCCTCGGCCCCCGCCCCCCCCCTTTGGGAGGCTTCCCGACTCGGCATTCAGGATGGCCCTGATGCTGGCCAATCGGTTCCTCATGTCCACGTGCGCGACCTGCAGACCTAGACCTAGTCGCTTTGCATTGCTATTATGGCGCTGGCCTTGCCTGTGTTCCAGGTGCACATTCTACCCATCCCATCGAAGACGGTCGACTCCACACTCTAAGCCCGTGGGCCACTCCAGCATCGCATCTCTGCGCTTCGTGGACAAAAGTCTCACAGGGCTGCGGAAAAAATGGCCCCGACATGCCATGCTTGCAAGTTAAGTGCTTACATCAGGCGACATAGAGCAATGGATGCATTTCGCTCTTGCAGATCTGTCAGTATGAGCTGCTTTTTTGGCTGCCTGGTTGGGGAGTCCCTGCCCGTCTCAGACAGCCCAGGCACAACTGTCATCTTGTCTTGCCGGTACAGAGAGTGGACGTGCCTCCAATCGTGCTTTGGCAAGGATCCGGTATCGTTCAACACGTTCACAAGTGCAGTTGCGGAATGCCAAGATGAGAGGCTGGTTCTGAACTCTCAAGTCTTGAGCTTGTCTGGAGACTGGCTGTTATCCAATCCCTTGACGCTCGGCATGGCGAGGTCAGCTCTTGAAGGTTCACACAATGGAGTTGCCCTTGAAAGCAGCACCGGCCGGTTTGTCTTTGGCGAGCTCTGTTAGACGTAAAATGCTCAAGCGGCACTTCTTGAGGTTGCGGTATTCGTTTTCGTCGGAAGCTCAATGGACGCTGAGACTCGTAGGCTGTCGTCGAATCGATGGCCCTGCATGCCTCGCAGGTCTCAGCACCGTTTGTCGGCCATGGTATCCAGCCAAGGCTCGTAGTTGCTCCTTTGTGCCGGATCAGTCTTTTTAAGTCTGCATGAGATGCCAAGACTACTTGACACCGAAGCTAGTCACGCAAAGGACGACGCTTGCTTATTGTCAGGCCGGCATCGGAGGAGCTTCAAGCACTGCCGAGCATAGAATGCCTTGAAGCAGGGCGCTATGCCATGCTTGCTTAAGTATTCTTGCGCGATCCTGACGATGTCTGCTTTGTGTACCTGCCGAGGCTCGCTTGAAAGATCCGAACGCCAACTGCGATGACCTCGTGCCACAAGATGGCAGGACTGCCGAAGGCTTTGGGCTTCGTCAGCTGTGTCGATTGATGACCGTGGAGGACGGTGAAAGTTATCTTCAACATGTCGCAGGCAAAGACACCGCACATCGGTCAGTTGGACGTTTGAGTTTCGAGCTGCTCTGAGTTCTGAGTTGAACAAGACAGTCCGAGCATCTGTTAAAGCACAGCGGATTCCCAAACACATATTGGTCGGGCCAGGTGGCTCCACGAAGTTCAAGTGACAAGCAGAATGCTTCTGACTCTAGCGAGGAGTTCCAGCCTCAGTTGCGGAACGTAGCATTCTTGGAAAAGCAGCAAGCTACAGGGAACTCGAAGACCACACAAGCGTGCCAGCACATTGCGGATGAGGAATGTTGTCGTTCGATTCTCCATGAATCAGACCAATGGACAGCGAACCTCGGTTCCCTGCCTGCATGACAGTTCTGAATGGTTGAAGCGAGATGTGCTGAAGCGGTGGGCTTGCTGGTGCAGGTGAAAGACATTTCACTGTACAACTTCCCAAACTACCAGGATTGCCATGTTATGCTAGGGCTCATACCTGTCAACCCGTGGAAGCGTTTTTGATCAGATCGCGACGCAGGAGTCTGTTTGCAGAAACAACGATGCGTGCAGCCCCAAGACAGGGTCATGTAAGTCACGTAGGGTGAAGTTCGCGGTGCCGCCTTCGCCTTGCAAGGCCTGTTTGTGATCCCTACGGCTTCCTTAGCACCTCGGAAGGCCTACTGTTCAAAGCTCTCGTGGGGTCTACGATCAAATTAATACGCAGTTAACGTGCCATTCTTCGTAGATCGGTCTTTGCCGTTGCATTTGCATACATGCAAGGCCAGAATCTGTCCTTGGAGCTGGAGAAGCACGGCCCTCGACAGTGTCAGTAGACGCGGGATAGACTGCCGCGGGTCCAGTTTACTTCAACAACTAGACTTTGTGGGTCGCAGGCTTTCGTGAAGCCTTCTTTCTCAATCAAAGCTTCTTGAAGCTGCAACCCCTCTGATCCCAGGCTGCGATCGCAGTATCTGGTGGTCTGTGAGGACCTGATACAAGAGCCGGCCAGAGTCCCTGTCGGATGCTGTCATTACGTGATTTGCTTATCGCCCTGTAGATTGCCGCAGAAGCGTTTGGCATGAACATGAACAATCCAGATCGACCAGCGGCACTTGCAGCCGTTCTATGTGGGAGTGGCCATCGCCCAGGCACCCTTTGTGGCTTGCTCCAAGCTTCGTATTGCTTTGCAGAACACTTGTGCATCATGCAGTCGTCTTGTCGGCAGGCCAATGGAGCTGAAATGAGCCTGTCAACCCTGCGACAGTATGGACACTTAATTCTGCAGCGTGCTTAGTGTAAAGTGGGGCGCCTGCTGACCCTGTTGTCCAAAGTCAATGCGTGAGGTCTGAATGGAACATGGGAAACTCCGCTGCCAACGGGCAGATCATGCGCTGTAACTGCCTGATTTTCCGCTTGCTGGGATGAGACGACTTTTGTACTTCACCCTGCGAGGTCCGAATCAGGCCTTGCTTCTGATCGTTCCAGACAGAAGCCAGGCAAATGTGAGTAACAGTCCTTCTCGACATGAATTTCTGTGCCATACATTTGCAAATCTACAGCGTGCTGCATGGAGATGAGGCAGTGCTGGTGACGGAGTCTTGTCGGTACATCTGCGAGGATGAACTTGCAGACAGTCCAGCGTTGCGATCCGCTTGCAATTCAAGCGGGCGCAGGAGCAAGGCGCCAAGGCCCCGCAAATCGTGACGAAGTCGCTGCATACTGGCAGTCTGGCAGATGCAGTCCTAGAGCTCAGAGAGATATCCTCTCGTGTTAGTCCTGCCTGTCTCGCATCTCGGCAGTCCAGGTCTTGGCTGGGGTGAGGTCTGTGTACACCTCTCTTCCGAACACAGTGGCTCAGGGTGAGGCCAGCTAAGCGCAACTTCCGCCACTGGACGGCCTTGGCCGACGGTTGCAGGCCATGCCACTGCCAGCAGTCGAAGCGCAGGACGGCTGAGGGAAATCGTGGCACTTGCATCCTTGTTTACCGCGCATAGACGGCGCGAAAGGCGACTCCCTCTGAGAGCAATGCCGAGACATCCATCCTCTTTGTGCAGCGTGCTTGTGCCCCAGACTGGTAGAGTCTTTGTAATGTTTGGTCTAGTTGGTCTGAGTCATTACGTCCTGACCGACACCGTTGTCTCTTCTGATACCACTTGTAGCTTACAGCAAACCGTCGTCGTGTACCATGGCAGCCGCTTGGATCTTTGAAAGTGGCGGGCAGTGGGTTGAGTGGGAATGACGAGGCGTATTTTGGAGTGTTTCTGTGCGTTGGATTTCGAGAGTAGACTTAGAATGTATGAGCAGGACAGTAGCAGCAACAAGCAGCTGCGGCAGCCGCAGCCAGCACGACCACCTGTCATCACCTGCCACACCTGCCAGCAAGTGCCACCACCTACCACACCTACCTCCTTCACCCTCATCCCACCCTTCCGCTGCTTGCGCACGCGCACGCAGACGCACCGGCTTCCAGTTGCCCTGAGCATTTTGATTGATGTATCTTCGGCTGATGTGGGAAGCCTGCTTTCCCAAGCGGGGTGGATGACGTTCGCTGTGCTGTTACCAGAAAAGATATGTGCCAAAACGCATCAAGCAAGGGTAGGCGGTCAGCAAGGGGAGGCCACATACTCTGCTTCGTGGCGCAAGCCAAGCACCAGAAAGATCACGTCGCATTCCTGATAGCAGACATAGTGCCAGGCATTTAGGCAGATGTGGGTTGTACTGGGCTGCGCCAGTCGGAGAAGAGTTTGGCAGAGTCAGTTTTCTCAGGCCATCTTTGCTTTCGCCGTCATGGCGCTTGGCTTCAGTTTGCTGGTTGGACTCCTGGTGTGGGGCCCAGAACTCTGAGCAAGTCACGAAAAGCGTGGTGTGGCATCTGACTCTGCAATTCGCATCTGAACGAACATTCTTTTCAGCCGTTACGAAGGTCATGTGCTTTGCTCCCGGACTGGCCAAAGGCCATCGTGGATACACGTGAGAAGCGCGCAGTGCAGACGAGCATGCAGACTGAACAATGCAGCATAAGCTGCTTGGAGCAGCCGTTCTCATCTAGTTTGACCGAAGAAGATGCTACAATGGTGCAGGGAGGATTCAGCTTTGTCGAAAGAAAAGGCAGCTCTTCATATCGCACCAGCACCAGCGATGCACTCCTGCCTAGATGCAGAGTGGGGGGAGCTTACGGCAGAGCAGCTCGCCGCAATCGATGTTGTTCGACGCATGTGCGATCCAGGCTCAAGAGCTGCCCAAACTGTGTGATCAAAGCTTCGACTCGGCTTCCGCTGGACTTTGTCCGGTCGCCCAGGTGTCCTCAGCACCTACGAACACCCATCGAGGGTCAACGCATGATGATGTTGTAGTGGCAGCATAGATTAACTCGGAAAAGGAATCCAAGCCCAGGTGGCCAACATGCTGAGGCAGGCTCTTCGCGCTGCAGCCCTAAGGCCAACGAGTTTCTACAAGTCTCAATTTGGCAAATGCCTGTGCCGGACACGGTGCGTAAAGTCTGTGCATTGCAAATTGTAGGCACGACCCTTTCTCTTTCCTTTCGTTTTGGCACTGAGGTTGTCAGCCGCGAGGCGGTTCTTGTGCGTGGCAGTCCTGTGCTGCCACATCCCAAGACATATCAAGACATGCTAGCCTCTACTAGACATGGGCCAGATTCCGGGTAATTGAGCATGTAAGTCAGCACTCCCCATTCAACGTGTCATGCGAACGATAAACGACCTTCTAGATAAGCCTGCTTGCCATCCAAGCGTCCTCTAGCAGTTCGAGCTTCGCGACCGGCCGACTTGCAGAGTGTTCCTGGATCACGAGTCTAAGCCAGTTCAAGCCTTCGCTCAGGCAGCAGCAGCAGCAGTTTGTGCGTAACTTTGCTGGACCCGTCCCGGCCCCACAAGTACGGTGCAGACCAGCCAACTTTGGACTTGCAACCACTGGCAGTTTGGAGTGACGCCTTGCGGGTTCCTGACTGTGTCGAGTCCCGAGCTTTGAAACTAGTTTTCTGGAAGGTGGCGAAGAAGGAGTTTAAGCCAGCCTCGCCAGGACCTCTTGCAAAAGCCTGGTTTGCAGTTGAAAGTGTCGGATCCATGCTAGATATTGTGTGTGTGTGTGTGTGATTGTACTTTACTCCGAGGCGATCTCATTCCGAGCACGAGTACATCGAGACGTCTTGGCCTCGGGGTTCTTTGCTCAACAGCATAGTCCTCGTTGTGTCGTTCGGAGGCCTTCGATGCTCTACGTGACTGGGATCCTCACTGCGCAGCACTAAGCTTCGGGTGCGAAGCAGCCTAGACAGTCTGGCAACCTATCCATGATGCAAAGACACGTGAGGTGCCCATCGTGGCGAACTCAGCAATGCCTCGAGTAGTTCTGTCTTCGTGCACCCTGAGCTGAGCGTCCACTCGGCACCCTTTCTCCTTCCCCATGCTGCAAGGGAGCCTGAGAGCCAGAAATCTCGGACGTTCACGTTGTCTAGTGTCGCTTCGTCGAGGTGATCAGCTTCTGGGGTCTCACCCGGCTTGTCTGAGATGGGCGAGGATGTGACATGACACTGAAATTACGTACGATTGCTTTCCATGCAGGTCTGTAGCTGCAGCTCGGTGGGCTTGACAGCATCTCGTTTGAACAGCTTAGTTTCATAAGGAATGCCATCATTTATCCAAGTTGTTTTCTTCAGCCGAAAAGCCTGCAGAGTGTTCGAAATCACGTCAAACAGCAGGTGGAAAACTACAGTCAAACCGACGAGGTAGCGCAGCATGGCGGCTGTCTGGCAGTCGTGTGATAGATGTGGTAGGGGCCGTGACCAGGACCTTGTGCGTGAGTCATATGTATAGTCTGCCTTGGAGATGCAGTCGCATGCTGCTGAGCATCGGGCTCAAGCCTACCAACTGCTGCTGCATCTGCGAAAGTGGTGTCTTGGCTGGAGTGTGCAAGTGCTGCGTCAAGATCTTCTCGAGACACGACTATTGGCTGTTCGCTACAACTTTGCGTGGCAGCCCGGAGCATGCCTGAAAGAGTCAGAAGCTGGTGCTGAAGCATGTGCCTCTGTTACCTGCCGATACCAGGAACCGACATGGCGCAGGCATTCAAGCGATTCATGCCCCTGGCAGATCGCACCTGCGCCGCACAGATATTCTGTAGCATACCGGCTCAGAATGCCGCGAAGCGTACAAGTCTCTGATAGAACTCCAATCTCCAAGAAGAAGAGTTGAGACTTCTGTCTCGACTGAGCATGTTACTTGACCAATGTCCACTGCCCCAGGCTCTGGCGCATGGTATATCCCTTTGTAACCTTTCCCTGGGATTGCTTGTAATTCAGTCTGCGGCTATCGACGGTGTGCTTGGCTGTAATTTCACATGCCCAACACATACACCACGTAAGTGTCCAGCTCACGGGTTGAAAACAAAGAATAGTTTCCACTTCAAGTTCCAGGATTTGTGTGTTTTGGGCTACCTTTTTGAGGCTTGACCCTTCAGTGTGTGCTCGGTCCGGGGTTTACGAACGGGATGTTCTGTGAAATCGTTTTGCTCGGGGCTTCCCATGCTTTGGAGGAGTTCAGATTGAGAGGAGGGTGGTGGGCTTGCCATTTCCGCCCGACTGGGTTTGGGAGCTTGGATTTCTTAGGTTTTGAGTATCTTAGGTTCCAAAACAGGCTCCAAGACTACGTGGGTGGTGTATGACGATTTTTGGCTTGATTGCACTTAATACCAATCGTGTGATAAGAACTGGGGTTTATTCCCAGAAGAAGGAAGCCGAGCTGTGAGAAACTGTGAGATCATCACGCGGGTACCGTTTCGTCAGCAGGCCGCAAAACGTATGGGACACTCCCTAAGTCTTTTGCGAGGTAGTACTCAGCTCTGTTGGACATATCTTTCATGCCGTGACATGTCTGCTTTCGAGGATGTTTTGGGAGGTGCGACCAGTAAATCACGTCATGTTTCATGGCAGGGTCACTGCTCTATCGGTTCTTGGTCCAATGTGCGAGCGGAATCTCCACCCCTCCCGGCCGCAGTCTCTTCTGGAACTGAAGACTTGATGTTTTGGAGCTACTCTGAACGGAACGCTTCCCAGAGAGCCGCAACTTCTTCGCAACACTTTTTCCCGCGGCAGGGAGAAACGGTCGAAGTGTATCACTACATTCACCAACAGTCTAAACGAAAGAAGTGGGAGCCGCCGAAATCGACAACCGAGCTGCAGGACCTCAGAGGCTTGAACTTGAAACCCTCTCTTCCACAGTCATGATGGTCCATGATCTCTGGCGATCCCAGGCATTTTGGTACAGAAGCTCAAGGCTCCGGGCTTAAGAATCCTTCCCAGAGACTGCCGTGGGCCGCCTTGGCAGAAGCAGCGGCGGCTTGCACCAAGGCCGAAGCCAAGTCTGCCGGTGGAATTTTGCTGCCTGACTCCGCCAAACAGGAAATGAATCAGGCAAAGGATGGTGAAAATTCAGTGATGGACCGCCTGCGGTAATCCAATCATCGGATCAATTTTTCAGGCGAAGGTGTTGGCTGTTGGACTCGGACGAAGAAACCAGCAAGGTGAGATCATCCCGATGCAAACCCAGGCCGCTTGCTCAACGGGAAGCTTCGCTTGTTGATCTTGACCTGTTTGGCCTGTTTCTAGGTCGGAGATGTCGTGGTCATCCCTCGGTATGGTGGAACAGAGGCGCCGCCTGCAACATGAGAATGCACTTGCAGTACGATATGATCTGTTCTTCCACCGGGTTTTATTCGCATACGTGCCACAGCTTAGCAATACATGCAGATCAAGCTTGACGACGAAGAGTACCAAATCTACCGGGACGAGGCTGCGCAGTTGCGTTTCTCAGCCACAAAGCATGTCTAAACATTGCAGCACTTAACGAGTCATGTTCGTGACGGGAGAAACAATCTGTTGCCCGAGTGTGTAAAGTCAGTTAAACTTCCGAGCTGCAGGACATTGTTGGCGTCATCAAAGAGGAGTGAGGCAACGGTAGCTCTTCCCGAAGACACATGTTAGCAAGCTTCTCTTTTCAGTGACCGTCTTGTTCCACTCAGGGTTGGTTTTCAACTGTGCATACATGAAACGTCATGGTGATGGCCTCGCGAAATCAGGCAGCATTTCCGAAAGCCTGAATGGAACCTGCAGTGAGTGACGCGTTGTCACACTTTGGACTCTGAATTTTGTTACTGCCTTGGCCGCAGCCTTCTCAGCTGAAGTACCATGCTCAGGAAATGTTCATGAAAAGGCAGTGTGTTTCACCGAGAAGAACGGGCCAAGACGCCACAAACCTGACACGCAGCAGACCATTTGGGAAGCTGAAAAGTGCTGAGTTTGCATAGGCACGGGAGTCTCTGGTGAGGGGTTGTTGCAGATCGTTTGGCAGGCATTCTCAGGCCGCCGTCGGCCGTCGGCTATTCCTGCTGTTGCCGATGCCATGCCTTGGCTCAGACAGAGCGATACAAGGAAGATCCATGAACGGTTGAGCGGTGCCCGGCTGAGGAGCTTTGGCCGTCCTTGGGTCTTTCCGTTTCCTCGTGACATGTCTGCATTTTCCAGGACCGCCGCGATGCCGACTATGCCGGCACGGGCGATGCTGTCAAGCATTGAGTGACTTGAGAGAGCAGCGTTCGAGTCCTCGTGGTTACTCGTGTCAGGCAAGGCAGTCCAGTTTCTACCGCTGCCCCTCCAGCGAGGCAGCCGGCTTGGCTTTGCTTTGCTGTACTTCGACAGTGAGCCCCCGAATGTCGGCATGACAGGTCGCTAGCTCTAGGCGCTACTTGTCCGGTGAGGCCAAACGCCTGCCAAACGATACACAGAGAGAGAGAGAGAGAGAGAGGGACCTTATGCGGTAAGTGTGGTTTTGGCCCGGCCCTCAGAGTGGAACCAGTCATCTTCTCGTTGTGAGTGTGCACTTGTTATGAGAGCAGAGGGGGGGCCGCTTCTTTTTACGCGGCACGAAACCCGGAAAACCCGGGGAGCAGGCGACCGACACAGACTCGGCGCTTTTCCTGCACTAAAACAGAGCAGTGCCGGAATGTTCTATGGGTTTGGTCGGAGCAAGCCGGCGCCTTTTCTCAACCATGACATTCTCACAAAACAGACAAGGACCAGTGCGCGCACGCGCGCAGGGGGGGTGCATGCCTCTCCTTGGCTGAGTGCAAGCAAGCAAGGGACCTTAGAACTCCTGCTGCTTGAATCTGCTTGAGACCTTGCTTCCTTGCGAATGCTTGTTGCGCTCTGATTCTCGGCTACGTTCGGAGCTTTTCTACTCTGCAAGCAGTGTGAAGAAAGCAGCGGCCCACTTAAACCAGCAGCATCGATTTTGTTTCGTGCTTTTTACAGGTGTGTTGTGTCTCTCCACTCCTGATTTGCCTCTCGAACCTATTTCCCAAACCGAGTGTCGAGGCGTAGCGGCTTCGAAGAGAATCCCGGGTGTCAGATTGCTGGTTCTGCAGGTCACACCTCTCCACCGTGAGCAGCGTCGAGCAGGAGGTGCCGCATTTGTTGGTGGGTTTATCAGCTACTCGGGGGTCCAGTGCAGGAGGTGGGTTTAGGCTGTTTGGCTTTCTCCCCCCCCGTGGAGGTTTGTTTGCAGACGTTTGCTGCAGACACACGCCCCACGCACGTTGGCCCACGGAACCGAAAGCAAACGGATCCGATCGTCCTGCTTTGACACATTTCCGATAGTGCTTCGCTAGACGGCGTCAGATGAAGTGCAATGCCAGGAGTGCTTCACAATGTGAGCCACTCGCCACCACCGTCTTCACCGACAGCTGCCGGCATTAGGCTGCTATGCCTTGCGTTTGTGTGTGCGTGTGTGTCTTTGTCTGTGTGTGTGCGTGCATGAGGCAACATGAGGCACCAGTTGTATGCTAGGATGTATGCATACACTGCATAAGATAAGGTATCTTATGTGTGTGTGGGTGCAGTAGGCAACTCATGGCAATTCGTGTCAGCATTGCGCAAATTGCATAAGGCCGCGACCAGGATTGGCAGCCGTTTGAGTCACCTGCTAGCCTTCCCGTCCTGGATGGTTGTTTGACTAACGCCACCAGTTTGGACACCGATAGCGGACCCCAACATTCTAGCCTGGTCAGACATCTCCCCCCTTTCGGTCGAGCATGTTTTGCGGTCGCCGCCATGGCTGGCTTCCAACTCGGAAAATGCTTAGCAGTGGCGGTCTGAGCTGTGTCTCATCACTTCGCTGTTGGAGTGGCAGCGCAAGCATGTCCATGTCGCAAGCAGGGGACCAAGCTCCGTTCTGGACCGGCTTCAGGTGCTGTGCCTCTTTGCGCGGTATGGCACCGCTGCAGGCGGAAAGAAACTTTTCCAGGTGTCGAAGATCCTTAGATTGCATGGATCACCGGTCAGCAGTTCGGAGCACGTTCGACAGTTTTCATGTTGCGGCCCCAGCATGGTCCTGTCATGTACTACTCCTACTGGCTTTGTGTGTGCGGACTGTGGGCAAGAAGCTGCTGCATCCCATCCTGCAAAGGAATGTCGACGAGCGACTTAGCTAAAGTTGCTGCAGCACAGCCTCCGTCGTCCTCTCAGACTTTTGACCATTCTTTACTCTCTAGCTCAGGCTGGATGCAGCCAGGGTGGAGGCCGACATTGCCAACGCCAGGACCAGCGACAGAACTAGAAGCTAACGAGAGTGCTTGTAGCCTGGTTCTCAAAACAGGCCGGATTTGGACAACACGGCAAACAAATGTGAACAACATGTAGGCGGCTTCGGAAAACGTGCGGGGTGGGCGGGAGGTGGGGTTCCGGGAATAAGAAAAAGGATTCGGACAACGGGAAGGACCGATTCGACAAAGAACATCTCTAAGTTTGAAATCCCCACCTTGAACGGGTTCGGGGTTCAGGGGTTACTGTCATAGGGTTCAGGGTCAGGGTTTAGGGTTTCGGGTTTAGGCCACGACCCTATCAATTGTTTGGGCACGCGACTGTGGTTTCGCAGCTGGTTTAATTTCTAGTTGCAGCCGAATAGCCGCTGATAGCAGATTAACACCAGTCCGTTTTGCCCACCGTTTGTTTTCTTAGCTTTTGGAGAGTTGCTGCTGCACCACTGAGTTTGAGGGTCTGCTGACCGTCATTGCTTTGCGGTTTGAGGGTTGCCAGGCATGACCACTGCCTAACTATCAGTCTTCAGAGTTTAGGATCTGATCCTTATCTGCTTTCAATGTTGGGGCTGCTGCTGGTGCTGCTGCTGATGCTCGTACATGCCAGTACACAGCGAAGGGCAATTTTCGAAAGGGCCAGCTACCGCCGCGACGTCATGTCTGCATGAAAATGTTTCGTGTTGATCGACGAAGCAGGAACCCCTGGGTCGTGATGTACTATGCCGACTGGTGTCCACATTGCCATCACTATGCTCCCGTTTTTGAGAGGCCGAGATTTCCTTGTGGCATCTTTTTCGTCTGTTGTACAAGTCTTGTGTGGTTCGGAGAGAGCGCGAGCAGTGAGAACCGGCTTGTTTGCGCAGGATTGCTGGTGCCGTGTCGCCTGCTCAGCAAGGAGCCGTCGTGGCCTCGGGCAAAGTCTGGCTGGTCTCGGTCCTTCTGCTAATGTGCCGCACAGGCTTTGCCTGAGACACTCCTGCTCTGAGGTGCACTTTGGTGCTGCCGCTCTGCAGAAGCAATGCATCTTCACATGACATGCGTGTTTTCGTGCTTGTTGTGTGCGAGGTTGTCCTGACACGTATTTCGGCAATTGCTCCTACTTGTGGCCCATGCGGCTCAGTTGAACTGTCCGGACTTCCTGGCCTTCTGCATGAAGATTCAAGTCACAGGGTACCCCACCATCCGGACGTACCACTTCAAAGGTCCCGCCTCGTTTTAACAGAAACCGGAGCAGAACCCGAGCTCACAGGCGACACCGGCTCACCTTTGGGTGGGAAGAGTCCTGATCCTTGGCTTGCATCTTGAAGGGTGGTCTGGTGGCTGAAGATTTTGGCCGAATGCACGGCTGGAGTTGAGGACAAGAAAATGGTTCACCAGCAAGACGCCTTCGTTGCCCTCGACCCAAGTCGAGTTCGTCCGGTGCTAACTTCACAGGGTCACCCGTCACACGAAACTGGAAACTGAGGCTTGGATTCGGAAGAACACGCCCACCGCGGCCTCTTCGCAGCCTGGGGCAGAGGCCGCCTAAGCCGTTCATTCGCTCCTCGGCTTTGTTGCAGCGCTCTTCGAAGGCCAACCTCACCCTGCTTGGTCTGCACACGGTGCCCGGTGCCCTGCGGGGCCCTGCGGAGCTTCCCCGGCCGCTTGAAAAGCTAAGCCGCAGGTGCCAGCTCTGGGAACATCCTCGAAGCCAGGCTTGCGGCTTGCACGCACCATCTTGCCGGGACACGCCTCATGCTCCCATGCGCTTGAGGACTGCGCGGTGCTCCAAGAAACGAGGCGGGGGCGGGGGGGGGGAGGGGAGGGGCTGGGGGCCAAGGCGACTTGCATGCACTGTGCTTCCGCGCTTCAGGCCTCCTCCGGCGCCACCTCGGTTGCACCTGCGGCAGCTGCCAGCGTTCTTCGCCAAACGGAGGTCCAAAGCCCGGGCCAAGAGTTCTGGCGGGAGCGCAGACTTGGAGCCAAGCGGAGATGGTTTTTACGCCGATTTCAGGTGCTCCGTGATGCGCTACCGGCACTTCACCTCGTTGATGCCGAGGCGAATCTGCACAGAGCAAAGACAGCAATGCCATTCTTCACAATTTAGGGTCATGCTTCTCAGTCTCAAGTCTCAAGATGTACTTATTCCGCCGAGGTGGCCATCTTGTATTCCCTCAGCCAGGGCGCCTTCCTGAAAGGCTACTGCAGGGGGGGGGTTCCAGAACGAAGCCGGTAGCTGTGGCGGAGCAACAGCAAACCGAAGTCAGAAGACCTGACCTTCTTCGTAGTCGCAGCAAGTCATTCACAGTTCCCCTCCATCGAAGGCAGCGCAGATGGCATGCTGAGAGGTCAGAGCTTGGAAGAGCTCCAGCGCACCTCGGTCGCACCTCAGAGAGACAGCGGGAGGAAGAGAGTGAGAGCCTGTGGGTAACATGATGTAACGAGAGCGCCACGAGTGTAACTCAAGGTTTACTGCTGAAAGGCACCTGCATGCCCAGGTTGGCTCGACTTCCTAAGTCGCAGATTGCCAGGCGAGGGCGGAAGCCTGCATGCCTCATTTGCTGCATGAGGTCAGTTTCAGGGTCGTTAAGGCTGACAGTTCCTGTCAGGCTCCAGCCACCGTGATTTGAAAGCTTTGGCAGACAAGACTCGTGAGGCAGCCGGTTGACTCGTTGTCGAGTTGCGACTTTTGTCGTGGCTTTTCGGTTGTTGTGGCTTTCCAAGCGTCCAAGTTTCTGTCAATAAGCATTGGCATTCATTGGCGCTCGGAGATTGGCTGCCGGCAGGCCGTTGGCCTTTCTGAGACAGGAGATGCGCCACCGGTCGGCAACAAGGGACCATCCACAGCGTCCGTTCAGACAGCTTGAGCATCTTCAGCGAACACGTGGCCAAGGTTAGCAGTGTCTGCCTTCCAGGAACTCCTGTTGAAGCAGGGGTTGGACAGGGCACCGCCAGAGGCATATCAGCATAGCAGCGACGGAAAGCTCCTCTGTGAGTGTGGCCTGAGCAGGCCGGCAGCAAACCCGATGCGTATTGGCGTCGATGCAAAGGCCACAAGGGCATGCCTAAAAAAAGTTCTGCAGATTCGCAAAGCATGTTTTCGCTGCGATCTCCTGCCGCCTCGAAGGTTTCACATGCGGATTGTGGACGCTCTTTCATGTGTTGAGCCAGGCCATGCAGCGTAGTGCCAAGCCATGCTGCGCCTCTTTTTCCCCACGCAGGCCAGAGGTCCGCCTGAGACTGCTGGGCAGGAGGGGAGATGGTTTTCCAGGGAAAGAGCCTTTTTGCATCGGTGTCAGTAGGAGCTATTAACTCGAATCCGTGGATTCGTTGCCAACTTCTTCGGCTGCCAGCAGTGCCGAGAGCACTTCCTAGAGGCAGCGTGCTGTTGGGGAAAATCTGAGCTTCAAATGTTAAAGCATGTCTCAAGGCTTTCGACTCTTGCAAGCCGTGCCCTCAGTCCAGATCGCAGCTCTTGCAAGCCGTGCCGCGACTCGATCGTGAGGTTTGATCGCTGCCGCCTGAAAGCCGACGACACGGCTGGTGCGGCGCTTTGGCTGTGGAAGGCACTTGCTCAGAGTCGGAGCGTTCTGCGGAGGCGACCACACCGGCAACACGCATGTATGTGTGTGCTTGCAAGCACTGGCCACGACAAGCACTGGCCACGACTTTGCTTCTGCCAACACGACTATGTGTGGAATGACAATGCCGCGTCACCAGGCAACGTCGTTCTGCAAGCGCAAGCGTGCTCTCAGTTTCCTGCTTCTGCAGTCCACAGTTTTCTCTCTGCCCTCGCAATCAAGACACAGAATCACAGCGACCGGCGCGTGATAACGCATCTCTCACTTCTGAGCACATGTGTGTGCGTGCAAGACTGGATCATGAAGATGTGACATGTAGCCAAGTTTTGCAAACAGCACAACCACAACATGTCTGTGTCTGGGACCCTTGAGACGCAAAGGTCGGAAGGATGAAGATTTGATCTCTTTCTGAGGATGGCTGGGCAAGGAAAACTGGATCCAGTCTAGTCTTCTGGCGTCACTTTGAGCGCTCAGCCTTTGCAAGATATAAATTTCATCAAGCTCTCGATGTAATGGGCATGATATAGCTGCTAGCTGGGTTCCTGCCCGCTTTTCGAGCCCGTCGGGTTAAGCTGTCGCTTTGGAAGCTGTCCGGGGCCCCACGATCATGATTTAAATGGGCGATTCTTGTTTTGAGTCTCTCACCGTTGCCTTTGCTTTGTCGGAACTGCCATCGTGCAAAATCGCATCTTCACATCGCCAATGTCTTCTCTCATCCACAGGCTCCAGCTCCGGCGCAACTTCGAGCCATATGTTGAGAAATGCGCTCCACCTTTGATGCGCTGTCAGATGCACAACGACGTGACCCTGCGGGTAGCAGCTGAGAACGGTCGCACCTCGGCTCCAGTGATGGCAAGCATATTGAAAGCATCCTAGAACCCTACAGGCACAAGGAGCCCTGACTGGGGCCAAATTTGCTCCGAAAGGTCCGATGCCGAAACTCTGGCCGGCTATAGAGGACTTTACTGTACGTCCCATGCGTTGCGAGACAGATGCCGGCTGCTAAACTTGGAACGAAAGAAGGACTGCCGAGCTTGCCGGATTCAGCCGGTACGTGGGTGAGAGCCTGAGCCAGCCAAGAATCAGACAGAAAGCAGCTTTACCACCGGCTGTCCCAGGCATTGGAATATTTGGAACAGGTTCATGTATATCTTCTCTGCCGTGTAGGAGGGTTTCGTGCCAAATCAGGCAGATGAACATGCTTTTGCTTCCTTCGAGTATTGGGGTTGCAAGGCACAGATACACACCTGCCGTTGGCCTCTGACACAGTGCACGCCATCATTCGATCTCAAGGTCCCCGTACTCGTAAGCGACCGCTGCAGCCGAAATACCGCAATGCGATCAGCCTGCAGAAGGGATGGTTCCAGCTTGTTGAAGCTTTAGATTTTTTGAGACAGCGGTCACGACAAGAAGCAGAATTAGACGGACTGGGCCACCAGCTGATTTGTCCACAGTGCCGGATTTTGCATTTGCGGTGCTTGTGGCCGGTAACCGGTTTTGTGCTGAACCGACGACTCAATCGTGTCCCGTGCTGCCTCCACTGTAATCTGATGCTGCAGGAACAATGTGTCACTGCGCTTCGATGAAGTGGCCGTGCTGGCTCACCTTCGCCCGTTTCTCAGCAGTCTGCGAGCTGTGACTGTTTCGCGGGGATTCAGAAGAATCGAGCTCTCTGACAGAGGCTCTGAATATTGGAGCTCCGAGTCGCGGCCTAACAGAGCTCAAAATCGGTGAAACTGCTGAAGCTCAGATTCCAAGGTGGCAGCAGGACCTCGCAGGACTGGCACCCCCTCAAATTCCTACCAACCTCGCTGAGCTGCACTCTTTTTGCCAATCTGTGTGTCAGCATTGTCTTCCGCAAATTAAATCGAAGAAGAGAAGCACTTGTGGTTTGGAGTTCATACAAGATTGCAATAGTCTTTCGGACTCCGCACGCAGGACATTCGTTGGTGGCAGGCGCCTTGTGAGTCGACAGCGTGGAATGGTGCGCGCGCGTGCAGTCGCAGTGAGTCTTTGTGTTGACATGTCACATGCATTCAACCAGGGTCCGTTGAAGGAGCGTGCAGCCACAGCACCGCTGCTAGTGATGCGAGTATAAGTCAAGATCTGACAGTTAATCAAGTCCCTCCTGAAACCCATCCTTGCATCGGGTTCATGTGCTTCCACTACCTCGGAAAATACTGAATATTGGCATCAGGCTCCATTGCCGAGGGCATTCTCGGTGTGTTGCTGTTGACTCTTTTCCTTGTCGCTCCACCGCATTTAGTGGGCAGTTTGACGAAAGCTCTTGCCTCGCAGCTTTCAGGTCTTTGTGACGATTCGGTCGCTTCGCTTCTGTCGAAGAGGTCCTGACTGCGAACGGGTCGCTTCCTTTCCTTGACAGCGCGTTCAGAACTCCAAGAGGCAAAGAAGCCAAAGGCAGCTGAGACGACGAGGAGGAGGCTGAGAGGCTGAGAGCTGAGGGGCTGAGCCCAGGCCGCGGCCGAGGCAGCGCAGCTCCACGCTGCAAATGCCGAGCCACTCAGCATCCTGTCTTGTGCAGGTTACGACTGCGACTGAGAACGACACTGCTGGAAGACGCGGCACCGAGCCGACGGACATCTTTGCACCGGATGCTGTTGAAGACGCGGCTCCGTGTCGGCTGCTGTCGAAGACGCAGCTCAGTATGGGGCACTTTTGAAGACGCAGTTCGGTATATCTGGCTGTCCCATCCAGTGAGACGAGACATGTTGAACGTCTTCCCCCGTGACGGGCATCGTCTGAGAAAGCAGTGTCCGAATTCAAGGAGCATGCATGGGCATGGGTCATAACATGTCGGATCGCGATTTCTGCACACGCTCTCCGCTCTCATCAAAGCAGCTCGCTGAGCTGTCAGGATGGCCTTCCCTCGAGCCTACTCGAGCATAAGCCATGACCAGATGCTCAGACAGGCAACCGGTTCAGGCCAGTGAAGGTTTGTGAACGGACCATGTGGGCCTTCCAGGCGAGCACGTATTGGGAGCCCGACTCGCGTCGACGTGCCTTCGGCTAGTTCAATCCACACTCCCGGTCGAGTCTCTGCAAAGATGTGCACGTGGCAGGCTGGCGTGCACATTCACCCGAAGTGGATTCTGGAACACCCCGAGTGCATGCAAGAGTAATGTCTTACGCTTAGCAAGGGCATGTTCAACACCTCGTTTTCCGAGAGCACTTGCCAGCTGCTGCCAGCTGCCTGTCTGTCTCGTGTGTTGGCGGTTGGAGGCCTCAATCACCAGGGGGCCAGCCGGGCCAGCTTCCACGAGCCTGGTCAGCTGCAGCTGCCCTAATCCCACAAGAGTCCGAAAGATGCTCACCCAGACATCATGCCCAATGATCTTGACCTGTGGCCACTCACGATGCGTGTGCAGTTCCGAAGTTGGAGTGCAGTCCGGGCCATGCGACTGAAAGTCGAGGTTACTTGGTGCAGCAGTGGGCCACACAATGCACAAGCCCAGGTGGGGCTTGACTGCTGCGTAGTCAGAGTTTACACCTACGCGTTAGAAAGCGTCTTCTGCTTCCGGTAAGCTTACATCGAAGTCTCCCTGTGGAAGGTGACTGCACCCCCAACCTCTCTGCAGATGCCTAAATTGCTTGAGCCGTTCTGGCCTCAGAGTCCACTTACCCAGCGCTTGGCTTTGTTGGCAGCCGTTTGCCTTCAGGAATCCCACGTCTTACCATCTCCCGCAGCCACCAAAAGCGGTCGCGCCTCGGCTGACGCTCGAGCCCGGAGAGTGGAGCAGACAGCAGACGGGAGCTTGAGAGTTGAGAGTTGTGCAAGGGCAATCGGTGTTTCACCGGTCAGGTGGTGCAAGGCCACGCGCAACGAATTGTCGGAAGCTCGACAGTGCAAAGTCAACTGCTTCTTTAAGCGTCAAGAGTTATCTGGCTTTCCTAGGCTGGATTTGCAGGCTGGCCCGCTCGTTCGGTCGTCTGCGAGGTTCAGGACAGGGTAGGACAGGCTGACAGGCCTCTTTCATCGCAGGCTTGCAGAGCCCACGGCCGCGGCCGCAGCAGCCGAGGCCGACGAAATCGGGGGTGGGACAGGTCACGGGTCTTCCGAGGTCGTCCACGGGGCCTGCAAATGTTCCTGTGCGTGATGACTCATGAGCTAAGCAAAGTGGGTCGCGATGACTTTTGTGAGCCGCCTGTTCTCGGTTTCTTCAGGTTGATCAGCAGCCCGCCGCAAAGCTGCGTTCCCAATGATTGCTCTCGGCCAGAGGCAGCCAAGCCCGCTTTTGCAAGGCCCACCCCGAGCGACCTCGTCCATTTCTGCACTGGTTGGGTGCAGTGGCCCTGACCGGAAAGCGCGCGCTTCTGGTCCGGGCCAGGGGCAGACCTCGCCTGAGCTGACTTGCTTTTTTTGCATCTACCTTCTCATCTGCTGGGCAACAGGTCCACTTCGCGTTCTGGTGCTGCGCAGCCCATGGGCTCTGCAGTTGCTGACGACTCATCTGATCGAAGCCTGGAGAGGAGTGAGGAGAGCTGAGTGCTGAGGAGAGGCGAAGCAGTGAAGCCGGCGAAGCCGAGGAGAGCTTCGGCAGTTGCATGCGGTCCGAATTCCGCGAAACCCAAGTAAGAGCAGCTGAGGCTCAAGTCCCCAAGCGCCCGTTCCGAGGCTTTGTGAACCCACATCCTTTTGTGACTTATGTGCTCATGGCCTCCAAGCCTTATAGCCTCTTTGTGGCTGGATATGACTTGGCCAACCTTGCAGGCACCGATTTCTTTCATACGTCTGTCGTCCTCTGTCCAGCTGCAGCGCGTTTGAGTCGCGAAACCGTGCAAGACAGCCAGAAGTTGCACGAGTCTCTCTCGAGAGAAGGTTGTGAAGAGATGATATTTGACCGAAAAGAACATGGAATTTGGTTAAACAGAAATCTTGGCCGCTGGAGCCTTCAAGACAATGAGCGAATGCTGGTGCACTGGAGGCAGGCTGGAGAAGTGCAGCTGCCTGGTACGACGGCTTTGAAGGCCAGCGAGGCATTGAAGGAATGGGCAGCCAATTCCGAAAACTTCTCGGCTGGAACCTACAACTTATTCACCCACAACTGCAATAGCTTCACGTCTGCCGTGCTGCGCAAGACCGGCTTTGATCCAGAGCAAGTGCTTGCCTGCGGTCGCTTCAGGAATGCCTCAAAGCAGATCCCTTGCCTCGCACCCGAGGCCAACCTAAGCCCAGAGACCCACAGGCGCTTTCTTACTTTCTTATGATTGCTGGAAATTCCGCTCATCTTCATGAACGAGCTCAGCCTTCCGAGCCCTGTTCGCGGTTCGTTCGCCTCGCACATCAGCGGGCTAGGTTCCGGGTGAGCTCCATGTGAACTGTGAACCTTGAGTGCGTCGTGGCGGGGCGGCCGACCTTGATCTGGTCAGAGTCTAGTACAATCTATATAGTACACATAGTGATCCGAGAAGACCATGGAGGTGGATGAAAGCGAGGCGCTGCTCGAAAATCTGCTGCTGGACCTGCACTGCTGTGTTGCACTGCTGTGTTGCTCCATCCATCCATTCACCCAGTTCCTATCTCATTCAACGGTCCAGGACGCCCCCGAGTTCAGCATCCCCAGTACAGACCTTGACGGATTGCTCCGGTGCTCTTGCAAGTGCTGTATGCTGCGGGGCTGCTGCCATAGCCACCAAGCTCGTCGGCACGCACGTGACATGTACCGTCATGTTATGTGCGGTGTCATCAGGTACCTTCAGGGGCTTTGCCATCGAGGCCTTCGAATTACGGAGGCTGGCAGAGCAGCTCTGGCAAGGATTCAAGAAGCTCAGTGCATGTGGAGAGCTCTGCAGGTTACATATTGCGTGAATTCCTGGAATTTGCCAGAGTCCAAGAGCCGTTGATCAGCTTCCTGCAGAAGCCCGGCCTTGCTTGAGATACGGGCTCATCCCGCTCAAGCATCACGGCTTTATCCTCTTTACCAAGGTCAGCTTTGCGAAATGGAGTTTGAACACCGATGCTTGCCACGTTCATGCCATACTTGTCTTCAGAAGATAGCTGTGTCGGCTCTGATCGCTCATCCATCCTTTGTTATGACCATTGTTGTGGCGATGTGACTCGGAGGAAGCATCCTGCTCCAGAGCCACAGACTTCGAATTTTAGTTGCAGCACTAAGACCATGCAGAGGCGACACCCGGACAGGGACCTGCAGTAGCAACAAGCCATGCATGCGGGGAGCGATGGCACATTGGCCAAGCGACCTGGCCGTACAGCCTGATTTCTGCAGTTTGGCACAGGAGAATCACTTCAGCGGCGTGCTTAAACCCAGGCGGCACACCCCCGGAATGTCGAAGGCTTTTGCCCGGGCTTCTCGCACGAAGCCACTCCCAGAAGCCTGGTGGCAAGTGAGAGGGCTAGAGGAAATGCCAGCAACCTTGGGGTTACTTTGGTTCGTTGCGTCACAACGGGGTCGGAGTCTGTTGAAAACGAGCTCTAGAGTGTAGAGTTTGTGGCAAGTTTCGTTGCTGAGAAGGATAGTAGGCAAGATGTCGTTTTGTGCAACACGTTGTGGTAGTCTGTGATTGGGCAGCGTCAGTTTGCTTGATGGTTGATGCCGGAACATCCGTTTTGCATTTGTGCTGGATGCTCCAGTGCTCTTGACTCAGGAAGGCGACGATGCGCACGGCTTGCCCAAATGTCTCAAGCCACCTGGCCGTCGTGGAATATGATCGAGCAGACTTCACATCTGAGCGTGCAGCTCCTGCTGGCGCGACTATCTAATGAGAGTTCATCCATGCAGATATTTAGGTGCATAAGACGCATGAGTCTCCTGCTCGAAAGGACAAGAGATGCGGTCGGCTTTGGCCTTGGTGTCACCGTGGGGGCTGGAGTTTTCATGGCGACCGGCAAGGCGGCACAAGAAGCTGGACCGGCACTTCAGCTGCCACATCGGACTATTGTAAGTAATGTCAGCGCTATGCGAGGCCGTCTGAGCCACGCGGGGTGCGAAAGCGGGAGCTGGTTGTTGCATAGGGGTCACGGAAATCTTGGCCCGCCAGAACATTCGGTATGCTCCAAGGCAGTGACTTTGGCGTTTCTGGTCGCGGCTGTTGGCTGCAGCTGCACAGGACCCGAGTATGTGCTGCAGATGCATGTGCGAGTCTCAATCTGATTGACAAGCTTCCAGCTGCAAAGCGTCTAGGTGAAGTCGAGCTTCTAACCCTGTTTGGGCTTGTAGCTGGAGGTTCGAGGGAGAACTAACTGTGGGGACAGCTCGAACTTGTCCTCGGGGCATCCCTGACCTAAAGCCGACTGCGGGATTAGGCATGGAGCCTGTGACGACAGGCCTTTGCTATGCAGAGCTTGCGGCGCTTGCCCCTTCAGCGGGGAGCTCCTACACCTTTGTATACCACGCCGCCGGTGTCTTGGCAGATCAAATTTTGCATCCTCGAACAGGGTTGGTGCTCAAGTGGCTCTCTGGCTTTCTGAGCGTGTGCGAAGAGTGCTCCAATCGAGGCGAACTTCCAGCTTGCCTCGTCGGACTGACGAACATCGTGAATGCAGTCTTATCCAGTGCGGCTGTGGCTCGTGGTTGGGAAGGCTACCTGCGCCTATTCCTCTTGTCAGTGGGGCTTCCTCCACCAGACTTTATGGAGGGGTTTGCATGGGGGCCTCTGCAAGTATCGGTACTGGCACCACTTCTCATCGTCGTAGTGGTTGCAATCAACCTTTGTGGAACATTGGCCATCTCAAGCTTCAACAATGTGGTTACGTTTCTGTCTGTTTCGTTACTTATCGGCTATGTTTGCGGTGGCGCAGCTCAAGTCAATCCGGACCTGTGGGCCCCATATGCTCCCAATGGTGCTGAGGGAATTGCGAAGGGTGCTGGTTCAGTCTTCTTTGCATTCATTGGGTTTGACGTACTGGCGACTCTGGGTGCCGAGTCCGTCAATGAAAGAGTCGTGCCGTGTGGCATTGTGATGACGTTGCTGGTCACCACTTGTCTCTACTGCGGCGTCGGGGCGGTCTTCACCGGGCTTGTCGAAACCAGCGACGTCGATATGACAGCCCCTTTGGCACGTGCGGCAGAGCAGAACGGGCTTCCTTTCTTGGCGCTTGTCGTTTCGATTGGAGCACTTGGCAACACCCTGACCACAGTCATCGGCTCGATTGTTGCAATCCCGCGTTACTGCTTATCCATGGCACAAGACGGACTCCTACCAACAAATCTGGTCCGCATAAACCGCTTTGGAGCGCCGGCCCGTTCTCTCATGGATCCTTGGCTTGCATTTGCCGGCTCCCGACCTCCCCAAACTACCAAAGCACCGCCATCATGCCGTGGGTTCAGGTGATGGCGGGTCCTGCAGTGGTCATTGCGGCTTTTTTCGACTTCTCGGCCATAGCTGACGTCGTGTCTGCAGGAGCTCTCGGATCCTCGTCGCATCGCAGCCATGGCCATGCTGCTTAAGAGTCTCCCCCCTGCGGTGTCTCCGGGAACGAAGCGCCTCCCAGAAGCCCCAAATTTCCTTCTCTTCCTCTCTTCGCACAGCCCTTCAGCCCTTCGCTGAGGAACCTTCGCCTTGGTCTGTGCCTCGCTGGTCCTGCTGAGATGCCCCCGCGCTTGGGACGCAGGAGTCCGGGGAGTTCCTCGGAGTTCGGACTTGGCAACGCGGTAGCAAACGAAAAGCTTGCGCCTGGAGGAGCATCGCGAAGAGAGGAGTCTGCAAACTCAGAAGAGGAAGATGGTGACTGTGGGCCTTGGAAGGTGCAGCCGGCTGCACCGCGGTCGGATCCTCGCTTTGCACCTTCAGATTAAGTTTTGGCTTCGTGTTTTGCGTTTAGGACGTGGCACGAAGACTCTGCCGCAACATGTCTGCGCAGCCAAGGTGGTTCTAGGCCGGCCGGTTTGAGTGCAATCACAGCCATGCCTCAAGGTGGACTTCGGTCTGGTACGTAGTGTCATCCGTGAAGTGCACAGAAGGCTTCATCCGCAGGGGCCGGAGCATTCATCTTTTTTCTCCGCCTCGAGTGCCAGGCATGACAAGTTTTGTCGTGCTTACCTTTATCTTGGGTGTTCTCTTCAGAGTTCCGATGGGAGGCCCTGTGCCTCTGCTGCAGGGGCAGTCATTCCTTCAAGTGGCCACGGCAGACCGAAAGCGACAGTGGGCTTGATCGGATTTGCGATTTGCGATGCAGCCAAGGCCTGGTTGAGCGCAGTGCTGTTAGCGACCTGGATGCAGATCGTTTTCTCATGCGCAGCACATCAAGCAAGTTCTTCCCAAAGCAGTCTGCAGACTTGTCCAGCTACAATTCCAGGCGAGGGTACCAAGCACTTTGATGATGTTTTACCAGCCCCGCAATGTTAGTAGCTGTCCTTGTTCGTTCTTAATGGGTTGATGACAGCCTTTGCAGCTGCTCCCAGGCTTTTGTTGGCTTTTGTACCGCCATTGCAGCTTGCGTGGTGGCTTTGCCATTTCTATGTCGTGACGCCGGAGCTCATGCATCTTGCCGCCGTGAGTGCTCACCTGTGTTGACTTCCCGCACGCACCACGCCTCCTCCTAAAAGACGAGCATTCAAATTCCGCTATCAGGTTTGGTCAGCTAAGGTTCGTACAGATGCCATACTGTCAAGAAATCTAGATTTCCATCGGATGGTCTTGAATTGTCTCGACACACCAATCCCGATGCGATGCCTGATTTGAGGTCCGTGCTGAAACTACGCACCGTGCTGGGCACTTTCAACTGCCTCTAATGCCTCTACTTCCTATGCTCCCCGTCGAGATTTTGGATGGTGCAAAACATCCATTGCCAGTTTGATTGGTCTGAACTGCTAAAGCAAGGTTGGGGATGTTCATGAACGTGGCTTGGCCGGACGGGACGGAGTGTTGGCTGCCGCCAGCAGCTAGATGTATAGCCATGACATCGGCATGACTTTGCAGGTTTTGTTGGCCTCGCAGATGGACTGGCTCACGCTGATCGAGGCTGCTGTTGTGCAGTCAATTGGCGCAGCACCTTGGATTACGCGTTGCGTTGAGTCTATTCGATGCTTCTGCAGTTGCAGCTCTTGCAGATGTGAATTCACTTGTACTTTTTGGCCCCGCGTGGATTGCTTTAAGGCATTCTACTTCGGTTACTCTGCACAGCGCAGTCATCTTAACAAGCAGAGCAAGAAGGACGTGGTGCTTTGTAGCAACATGTCGAGAATCTGGGATGTGCGTATGTGCGTTTTGTCGAAGCGATTTGGGATGCCCCTGCAGGTCTGGAAGCCCGTCTTCGATTGCACAGTTCCTCCGGAAGAGGTGAACCAGTCCTGAAGGCTAAGCAGAAGCATAGACAGACAGGGTCCTTTGGTTCCCGTCGACAGAGCTGCCCGTGCTCATAGCATGTTGTGCCTTGTCTGTAGGAATTTGAACTGCAAGAGCTCCCAAACCTAGATCTTACTCTCCGGGAGAATGCGTGAAGGTGCGGGGCCTATCGTAAGGTGTGCCAGCCCGAATCGCTCCCACAGGTTTTTTTCGCATGCGATTCCCGGCTAGCTGTGATGCCATCTCATACTCGAAGACCGCGCACGAACCCATCACTCACCCAAGCGTATGCAAGCAGCACAGCGAACAGAGCTCCCACTGGCTGTCATCCGATCCTAGCAAGTGACGTAACGCATTCTCCCCAAGCAGTGCAAACTTGCCAACGGCAAGATGCCTCTGGGCCGTTCTTGTAAAGTGTGAAGCGAGGCAATCACCTCATTTAGTTGCATTTCAGAGATCATGCGCGGACGGTAAAAGGCTCATTCGTGAACTATTCGTCGCCTTTGCTATGCACCGAGCAAACCTCAGGGCTGTGTCCTGTAGTGTGATGTGCTGCTGCACGCTCTGTTGCCTAGTGTGAGGTGCTGCTGTACACTCTGTAAACATAGCACTGCACATCACCCGTGTCCTGGTGGTCGCGAGTTGTCATGGTGAGTTTTTTGCATCTGCTGCTGGCCGCAACAAACTGAGCAAAGCAATTCTGCTTAGGCCGTAGGCTACACTTGGGAGCAGCACTCCCAGAACCCAACGACCTCGATGCAATAGTTCAAAAAGTCCCAGCAGCACCGTCTTGATGTGAGGGTGTGCCCGAAGGAAGAGCACTCAAAGCAAAGAGGGCCGTCGTTTCGAATCGCTGTGGCAGGGTTGCCGCCTGGATTCATACCTGACTTTGGATTTCAGCTCGAGGCCGCGGGACCATGAGATGGTTGAGCGGCGGAATCTGCCACATGTCCATTGCGCTATACATAGATGTCGATTCGTCGTTCGTGTGCTTGAGCAGCTTCAGTTTGGCACGCGCTCGTTGCAGGGGCATTCTCTGGGACACCTTCGACACGTATCCTGACGTGCCCGAAGGCACATTCTTTGCCAAGACGAGCTCGCCTCAGGAGTCGTGCCGTCTCATGTGCATTCAGGGACGAGCTCACGCAATGTCTAGGTGTAGGCTTCTAGAGTCTTATCTGCTGCCTTCCGCAATCAGTGAAGACATTCGGCCTCACAGATCCTGGCTGCGACAGCAAAATCCCAAGACCCACCATTCTCTTCAAAGCAGACGGCACTGTCATCGGCCAACTGCGCATACCAAAGCCAGAGGTCACTTCGACCTGGGTGTTTGGGAAAAAAAGGAAAGAGAACAGGTGATCAACAGAGGCGATGCAGACAGTCCACAGGAGAATGAACGATAGAATCCGCAACCCTGCCAAGCGCCTTCTCCAGTCGCAGCTTCTACCGCTGCTATCACGGCACGAAAACGGCGAAAATCGCACACTTCCGAAAGCCGTCTTCCAGGAAGCATTCCGTGGCAGGCTTACTTGATTTGAAGAACGGTCTGCGCGCAGTTGGAATATGAAAATTGATGTCTTGGCATTGGCCTCCGACTCCTGTGATCGAAAGTTCCTCCACAAGTGCCCTCTGCGGAACCCACACAAACTGAACAGCTTTTGCTTGAAAATGTTCATAACGCGCATGCTCGGCAGCGAACTCTGGCGGCGTGGAAGGATGTCGAAGGGGTAGGAAACCGACGCGGAATTCGACAGTATCCTAGTCAGTGACTCATGCTCGTGTTGCTGTTGCTTGGCGAAGCCTCCAATGCATCCAAGGTACAAGATCAACTTGGATCCGTTGGCTCTCAGGGAGTACTGCAAGGACTACCTTCGGCATCACTTGCCGCTGTGAGTGAGCATTGAGACTTTGCGATGCCTCGCGGCTTCAGAGGACACAGAGCCGTTCTCGTGGCCTCACAATGATTGCAAGAAGTGGGCCAAAGGCATGTTGCGGGCACCGCACTTGACCGATGCCGATGATGTCTGCATTGTTCGTGTGCAGCTGCAGCAGCACACCAGCATGTCTGCTGAGTTGATGGGCATCAAAGAGGATCCAGATGTGGATGGCCAGGGACCCAATTCTGTGGGTTGGCATGGTTGGCAAATCTTTGCATTGCGTTTTGAAGCAACATGTTCTCCGGAGGTGCCATCGACAAGCTCACGAGGCCGACCCAAGGAGCATTGCCACGCTGAGCGATAGCAATTTTCAGCAGTGAAGAAAGTGAAATTGCTAGCTAGCGGCTCTAGAGCATTAAGTGCCCAGTGCCGCTTGGAGATACGTGGAGATCATTGCAGATCGCAGGCTGTTCTCATCATTTGCCCATCCCGCTCGAGCCCAGGGGCAACGTCCGACTGAGAGATATCATCACATGCGGTGGTGGCACGGCACCGAGCGCGACGCGCGGGGAGCTCAGCCGACAAGTCGCGTGTGGACGATGAAGGGAAGCGACGCAGAAGTTAGCAGAACAGTGTGTCACATGCATGGTTTACAGCCATGCAGCTACACCTGCTGGCCCTTGAGGTCTCATCGGCTGCATGCAGTAGCAGGTGGTGTGCACAGGACGCTTTGAGAGAGATTTCCTGACATGCCAACTTGGATGCTGGGACTAATCAATCACATGTTGTGCTGCGGTGTGCCGCCGTTTGTGACAAATCAAGCACGATGACGCGGGGCATCTTCGCGTCTCGGCCCACCCTTTTAGCAGGCCGGTGCAGCTGCAAAGTGCACCCACGGAATGCACATGGCGGTGGCTCCAGTCGAAGTGCTTCAGGCCATTCCCGCTTATTGCGGTCTTGACGAGTGCCAAAAAGCTGGGCTACGTCCGGAGCGAGGTTCTCGGATTCGCGGATCTCATGCTGTACCATGAACACCACTTTCGGGAGGCGATATGCTGAGCATCAGTTGCGCGCGGGCGGTGCCAATGCTGCTGCAGTTTGCTCAGATGCTGCTGCTGCTGCTCCTTCTGCTGCTGCCACGTTCATATTGGGGACAATCCCCGCTGCATGGATCTCATGTAATGCGATGTTCATGTGAAGTCAGTGAAGGCTCATCACTTCCAGCATCTACCTCGCTGAATCCAGCCGCGGGGAGGTCGGGTCATGATCGGTTGAACAGGGTATGTTTGCTGTTGCGTTTTTTGCGGGGGCCGCAATCGAGGTGGTGGCGGTCGTGGCTGTAGGGGCCGTAGTCTAAGTCGTCATGAAGAGAATTGTGGGGCAACTCATGACGTACAAGTAAGGTTCAAGCGGGAGGGGCAACCCAATTCTTTGCAAGGTGTAAACTGCAAGCTTGCACTTCTTCGTTTTTGTCTTTGCCTTTTTCTTCGTCTTCGTCTTTGTGTTTGTCTTTGTTGTGGTTGTTGTTGTTGCGGTAGTGGTGGCGGTGGTGGTGGTGGTGGTGGTGGACGTCATCGTGGTTCTGGTGGCGGTTGCTTTTCAGGTCATGGTCTTGCAGCGGTCATCCTCGTCGTTGTTGGGGTGGTCGTGCAGCAGCACGTATCGCAGTACTGGTGCTGTTAATAGCAGGCATCTCTCGGCGAATCGGACACCGTGAGGGGTGTGCGGCCTAGTTTGCGATCTTCCTGAACGTGTCGGGAGCGACTGGCTAGACGCAGGTCCGGAGGCGGATGTGCCAAAGCATTGCGAAGAGGCCGCTTACCAAAACTGAATCACCTTGCTCCATTGTGAGGCAGGTAGGCCGACGATGTAAGCAGGCTGTTCAGCATAGCCACTCCGCGAGTGAAACGATCAAGGCGCATCCTTGGGTGGTTCGCGCATCTTGCGATCGCGCCATGCAGTTTGTCTCGGTACTAGAGCTCCATGCCGGCTTCAAGTTTGATGGACATTCCTGGGCTCAAGATGAAGTTTGCTTGCCAACGGCCAGATGTGACAGTGTCACAAGGCACAGAAATGGTGTAAGGTATCCTGAATACTACGAGGCCACAGCATATCACAGATACAGAGCTAGCCATGCAGACAGACAGGCCTCCTTCCTCACCCACACACATACATGAGGGTGAGGATTTCCGACATGAAGCGCCGACATACCAGCACGATCCGGCATGCCGTGCGACGCACAGAGATGGAGACAGACAAAGACAGACACACAGACAGAGAGGCAGAGGCAAAGGAACAGGCACAAGCCCGGACATAGTTCAAAGCTTGATGCTCAACAGTCGTTCTGCCGGAAGTGCCCCCCAACATGTCAGCCCATGGCAGCGCTGGTTACAAGGCGCCGGTGTCAAAGAGATCTTTTGCAATGCAGTTCGAAGAATCTCAGCACAGGCAGGCGATGCATTAACAAAGCGGGAGGATGGCGCAGCTACAGGACCTTTGCATCCAGTTTCCACACAGATGTTGCAGGAAAATAACTTCTTCCACCAGGACTGTCTGCCATGCTGCTTGCGCTAAGAGGGACGCTGCGAGGCAAAGGGCACTCTGCATCTTGGCTGATGCAGCTGAGAGTCACCACCCCAGGCATTGAAGATATTGATGCGCGATCATGCTAGCAGCTAGCTGTCCGTCTTTATCTTTAGAATACTGAACACAGTTGGAGTGACCAAGCCCATACAGAAAGGCGACGTGAGGCCCAGTGGCATGCAAGAAGTTAGAATTGTAATGTGTCGGAACGACTTCTCAGGTCGCTTCGTCAGACGAGAGATGCGAGAGCGAGGATGAAGCGGACGACGCAGACTACGTGGCGGCCGCAGCGACCGACGCGTCTGAGGCTGTTATTGTGAAAACTGGGCTTTCTCCCAATCCACCTGTGGAGCCTGCTGACCAAAGGAGGAAACGTATCTGGAAGACTCGGAGGTGGGAGCGCTGCAAAGTTTGCCGTCAAGCTGCCGTACTGATATAGTCCGTTTGGCAATTCTTGATGCAGGAGTCTTCCTTCGACGAGGATACGGAGGTCGAGTGGCTTGGGCCCATGTTTTTCTGCTCCTCACTCCCTGGCATGATGGGCCGAACCGCACTAGGCCGCTCGGCGCGATGAGCTTGTTACAAACCAATGGAAGTCATCGAAGGTCAGAATCCTCGACAGGAAGGTCAGCACGCGCAGGAGGCCACCTGAAATGACACGACGTGCGACTGTCATTTGGCATCAGGGCTTTCGAAGAATGCGACAGGTTTGCCAGCGAGAGCGATACGACCACTGCGATCCAGGCCCAAGCGAATCCGAGAGGGTTTAGGGAGTTTTCCGGTACAGGGTACAGCCTGAAAAGGCGAAGCTCCGCTGCTCGGGAAAAAGCCGAGGCCAGGGCAGTTCTTGGCACTCGGGAACCAGACTCAGAGCTGCAAGTGCTAGGACCAGGACACACAGGACACACTGGATCCGGAGGAGGAGCGCAAGAATCAGCTGTAGCCAGACTTTCACTGTCCTGTGATGCGATGTGCGCTGCAGGAGCTAGACAAGGACTCGTTCCAGAGCTTTATGCCCTTGGACTTGCGTTTTGATGGCGAAGAGGCCTTCCACAGCTCGAGCCATATCGAAACAACTACCGTTTTGGATTTGCTTGGAGGCGCTGCGGCTGGCGGAATCGGAGTGCGCTGAGAAGCCTGCACCAGCACCAGAGGCACGTGCCACGTGTAGCGAACCGAATGTGTATGTGTCTTTGTCGAATCGGCAGGATGACAGCGGGCGAGATTGGGGAAACCTCGCCAGTGCGCCAAGGCACTTTCTGCAGCAGAGGTTGTCCCGTTAGTGCCGTGCGGCGTGTGGCATGCCTCCCCCGTCTCGGTCTTGCTTCGGCGTGAATGCCAGGCCTGGCGACGAAGGCTTCAATAGCTTTGCAGCAGCACGTCTGCAGACACAGCAAGCTCGGATGCTTCCAGCAGGACCCGAAGCCAAGACGACGGGCTTAAGCGGGTGTTCTGCCTGTCGGCAGGTAGAATTCGGGGACTCCAGCTTAAGGGGACGGAGCTGGAGTTTTGAAAGCGATTTTGGCTGAATTCGCTGGGCTGAAGGGTTTACTGTGTCTCCGTCAGGACCGCAATCCTGCCCGCTTCAACCTCACCAGGCCGAAGGGTCGACAGTGGTTGTGCTGCCATTGCTGAAGCATGCAATAAGGATAACTAGGCGACAGAGTCTTTGAGGATATGGAGTCTGAAAGTATGACATTATGACTACGGCAGCTGGGACATGTAAAGAACGACTGTACCCGCGTAACTATTCGAACGAGCAGTAGTGGCCGGGGGTATGACGGAATGCCTACCTCGCCGTGTTGTGATGGAGCACGGCAAGGTGGCCAGGTTGTCAGATGAAATTGATCGGTGTCATCCGGTCCTGCCAGGCTGCCGTGGCTTTCTTTCTGTCACCAAGTTCTCCAATCCAGAGGTGCGAAGTGACCAGCTCTTGAGCGTTTAAGCGTCAACCTGTCCGTGTCGAGGCTTCTGGTTGATCACCCGACGGGCTCTGGGAAGACTCGGGAAATGATCTGTGCTGCGTGTCTGAATATGTCAAAATGGTTCGGCAGTTTCATGTGCCTTGTTTGACCTTGCAGTACAGTAGCCGGCAGGCAGGCCGGCGCCCAGCCCTATGCCATAAACCTCCCAGTGTACGTAGTGGCCGTTTATCCATCGCCGCCCCTCTCTGGGTTGTGAGCTTGTGGGTACCCACATCCAAGGTCTTGAATGGCTTTTTCAACGACAGCCGGCCGAAAGTTCTGATCTTTCCAACTCAAGCGGTCTGCAGGCACATGCATGGAACGTCGTGCACAGACGTTTGTTAATTGTGGCGCTTGGTTGCAGTTGGGCGAGTTTGGGAACCGCATCAAGTGTCAGGAACTTCTATGCTGAGCTGCTTGCTTGGCCATCCCGATACCGAGACTACTATTGCAACATTTGTCCAGGCATGGCCTAGTTGTCGAGAATTTGGGGGCAGCGTAGCACAGTGTGGCGAAAACAGATGGCCGCACAGGTGGAGCCTTGCTGGCATGTGGGACGGCAGTTTGGCAGAGCAAACGGCTCCACCACTGGAATCTGGTTCTCAGCTCGCACTTGAAGACCAAGACCCCATAGCGTGGAACACGGCGCAGCCTCTGTCTCCCCTTCTCTCAGCGCCAGGGCCGGCTTCCGGAGCCACGGCTCCGGGAGCTCGCGCGCTCCTGCCGGGAGGTCCTCGAAATGAGGCCCTGAAAGAAGCACAGCCATTACACAGCCCCTTCTCCTTCTGCTGAAGCGGTTGCCTTTGCCGTGTTCTGCAGGGGAGCATGCTTTGATGGACGCTTGTGCCCAGGATGCAATGGTGGCAAGCACACTTTCTAGCTTAGCTTTAAGACCGTTTAGGCTTTTGCGCCAACATGTTTGCTCAGCCAGCCCAGTCGTGTGCATGGAGGCGCCCAGGCATCCGAGAGGCTTTCCTTTCGCAGCACCCTGGAGAGCACTTCCCAGGACCGTCTTCCCACTCTGCATCTTGCTTCGGGCATGGTTTGTTGCGTACTCTTTCGGTTGGCATAGATGAATCACTTGAAGTGCAACTGCTTGGTCGACGGTGAGCCGGATCTCAGGAGCACCTTTGAGGGCTCTGAGCTTTGCGAGCGCAGGCGGAGGCCATGCAAGGCCAGCGCTGCACACAAAGGCTGTTGCTTCAACTCGCGACTGGCTGAACCATGCAAGTTGTTTGATTCGAGAATCATGTTGCAGTGTCCGATCTCAGTATAGTTTGTTGCACGAAAGCTGATTTGCCAAAGCTGATTTTCCGCAGCATCAGGGGTCATATGATTCTCCAGCCATCCTAGCTGCGAGGATGTCCTACAAATCCGAGATGTTAATGTGGTTGGCAGCTCTGTGCCTTGCGGCAGCAGAGCCGGTGACTCCGCAGAGCTTCACGGTGTATTCGGAGCCAATCAAGTTGCGGTATGGTGAAGTATACAACAAGAAACAGGGCCCGATGGCTCTACCACAAAATATCGTGGAGCGGTATTTCGACCAGGGAAAGGCAATGGCAATTACCGGTTTCGATGTGGACATGGTCCGAAAGCACGCAGAAGGTAAGGAGTCTAAGGTCAAGCTGACTGACCACTATTTGCATCATTACATCCTGGCGATGGGAGATAACAGCACGATGAACAAGATTGAGCAGCACGCTGCCAAAGACAAGATGTTTGCCCGGATGCTACATGGTTGCCATGGCATGACAGGCTCGCATGTACACTCGTTCCTGACGGGCTTGTCAGATTCCCCCGATCTGGTTTACTTCGGCAGTGCAGCTGGCGCTGAGTATCGACACAACCTACAAAGGTATCAAGCCCCCTTCCGCAGATTGATCCGAAAGCCCCACGTTTGGGCACCAACTTTTCATGTGATCAACACTAACAAGCCTATGCGAAACACATCTTTGCCATACTCACCGCTTTTAGAATGCCCATGTACTCCACAGCGGAAGATTGATGTGAAGCATGGGAAGATTGACGGGAAAGATCCTTACCCACCTATCCAGTGCTTTAGCAGAAATTGTTGTTTAGCCTTATTGATTGCTATTCCGATGTAACTCTGCATGGCTTGGCAGAGTGGTATAATTAGCCGCAGGCTTCCTGCACTCCAAGGTGCAGCCCGGAGTTCCAGAAGACCGGAAACCCTTCTTGCCACCTCGCCACCTACGCTGGCGGATGGCGCTGCTGCGAGCACGGTGTGTTTCTGATCGACACAGACAAAGAGTGCAGTGATCCGCAGTGTTCGGAGGAGCAGCAGGATGAGATCTTCATGAAGTACCCTGAGCATTTAATTTGGCATGCCTTTTTTGTTCTGACTAATGGTACGGCAGTTTGTGCGCATGCTCTGTGAGTGTGAGGTACACCTTCTACTACGAGGATGCCATCCCCGAGACACGCAAGATGGAGAGCGCTGCCTGCTGCGATGTCACCAGCGATCAGCAGGGATTTGAAAACATAGAGTACGACATCCCTGCTTGTGCGCCGGGTACCCCTTCGGAGAAATGCTTGCACGTAGTTGAATCGGTGCAGCCTGTGGCCTATTTCCACAGACATCCGAAGTCTCCCAACGACCGGCACAGAGCAGACGAACTAGTGGACCTCGTCATTGCAGCACCCCACCTTCATATTGCCGGCTTGTCCATCGAACTCATCGACGACATTACGAACAAAACCCTTTGCTCCGTTAAAGCCAGCGCGGACAACCAAGGTGGAGTAATGTATGGGAACGGGACTGAAGCTGGAAACGAAGACGGATACTTAGTTGGACTTCGTCCCTGCAGTTGGGGGAGAGATGCTCCTCGCTTCCAGAGAAATCATCCCCTCAGGGCACGGGCGACCTACAATGCGTCCCGCGTGCATACCGGTGTCATGTCACTCTGGTTGATGGATGTTTCAGCCGCTCCAGATGGTGACTTTGTAGTCTGAATGCGAATATCGATCGTTTGCTTGTCGTCTGTGTGATTGGCACAGACCGAAGCCACCAGACTCTGTGAACCTCCGGGGAGTAGCTAGGCACCCATGGGGGCACAGAGTGAGGAACATGTGCTGAAAGCAGCGGAAGACCGTTCAAGGGGTCATGCCATGCAGCAGCCGAAAACCACACAGCCGAAGCCATCATCCCTGTGACTGCCAGGCTGGACGACCGTGGATGGCCGATGTCTGCTTTCTTGAAGGCAGAACACTATCGCCTGTCGGCCCTGTGTGTGGTTGGGCAGTTTTTGCACGTGTGCACCTCATTGAATTTTGTTTGGGATTTTCTGCGAGGTCGGGCATCCGCATCCATCCGGAAACGTCTACGACCGGAAAGTCATACTCATGGATGAGTCTTTCGGCACCAGCAATGGGGATCCAGCATTTTGAGTTTTTGTCTCGGAAGTAACTGTTCTCAGGCTGGACGGGAGCTAAGACGCGAAATGCATGAGTTATATGATTTCCAACTGGTGAACCTCGAAAGTGTCGGGTTCGACAGCGGGCTGGAATTGATGACGTTGTCAGACTGTGCTTCCGCTTGTGTTTGGAAGGTGGTAGGCCATGTTGGAGATGGGTGTCAGTCAAGCTCTGAGAATCACGCTCCAAGCTTAACTCTGTTAACCGCGTCCTTGTGGGTCTGGACAGCGCCACAACTGCATTGAACTGTATTTAAATAGATCTGCAGCCGGCCGTACCCGGTGCGCTACAGGTCGAATTCCGATCTAGGCATATCCTTTGAGGTCCAGCACACATGCTTGAACAGCGCGGAAGGCCCCCTTGCATACCCTTTGACCTCCAACGGCACACAAACTTATCTTTCCGCCAAGGGTTCATCACCTGGTGCGCACCGACTCGCAATACTCGGAGCAGCTGGCAATCCTTCGAGATCGGTTATCAGCCGCTGACGGATCTGTTTTGGTCGGGTTTACCGGCACTCCTCTTCTCATTGGTCCAGCTGACGGCCGAAGGCTCCTAGATATCATCAAAGGTCGGCCTTTTCTGCATGCTTCTGACGAAGGATTCCTGAGCTCCTTGAGCTGCAAGCCGACGTCACTCTTTCCGCTCTGTGTACCTGAAGGTGTTGACAGAGCCGACCTGAGAAGTGCAAAGAAGCTTTGCTGCAGGATTATCCTTCGAGGTGAGGCATTGCAATCCTACGTTTTACGCAGCAACATGGAGCTCAGCCGACGCAGACTGCAGGCATATTGCAACTTACATGTCTTCTCCGGATCTTATCACGGCGGACGGCACGGCTGCCAGGAGTTTGTCCTGAAGCATCCGCAACATTGTGCCCCCAAATTCTGGAAGATAGGGCAAAGCATTGGCAAAACGCGACAGAAAGCACTCGTCTTGATCTCCAGAGGCACGGGCTATCGAGCAGCCATCGACATATTGCGCCAAGAAGCCTCTCGTGCAGAACCACCCTTCCAGGTGGCCTGCATAGATAACTTGGCAGAGTTCAACTCTCCGGAAAACCTCAGAGGCGAGCTGTTCCTTTGTATGGTTGCTGATTCCAACCAATGTGGCGAAGGCGTCTCGTTTCGCACAGTCCGACAGCTGTTTTTGCTTGACGTGCCCTCGACACCAACCGCCCTGGTCCAGATCTGTGGGCGGGCCAGTCGAATGTTGGGGCACCAAGCGCTGCCCGATCAAGAGCGGGTTGTCCGAGTGCAGATCTTCATCGCCACGGTGCCAGACTGGGCAAGGCAGTCCCTGGGACGTTGGTCTTCGATCGCTGTGGCTCGAAAGGGGCAGTCAGGGCGCAAGTTCGAAAGGCGGGCCCAAGGGTTGTTCGCAGAACTCCTGGACAAGGTCGGGGACCTCAGAAGGCTGAAAACGAAGCTGATGGGTATTTGCAAGAAGAAAGCTTCCATGCTGCAGAACTCTTCCAAGAACCTCGAGGAGCATTTCGGAGTAGTGTGCATTGATCACAGACTTGAAACAGCTCCAGGCTCTTGAGCTGAAAGACTCTAGTTGAATAGAGCAGGCAGGAAGCACACCTTTTGCCGCAGGAGCCACATCCACGGGTGCTTCTCCACGAGGGCCACTTGGCTTGATGGTGGCATCGCGCACCACGCGTCTCAGAGCGCCGCCCAGGCTTGCCACAGCTCCGGCAGATTGAGAAGGAAGACGTGGAAGATATCATGCGGAAGATTGGGTGTTCCAAGGACACGCTGCCATTGCCAGGGATCTGTCGTGGAGCAGTGGAGCTTTGCATCAGAGTGGCGTTCATCAGCAGTGGATCAACGGTGCAATCTGTGCCAGGAGCATCGCCTCGGCTCAGGGAGTGAGCTGTGTAAGGCGACGGCTGACTTTATGGTTTCAGGATTATATCTGCTCCCAGCGCCCCAAAGCGCACAGTGTGCTTGTCTTTTCTGGCAGGCGTTGAATTGGCTGTACCAGTCAGAGACGCTGCATGATGAATTCCACACAGCTGATGAGCTGGCTATGGAAGAGCTACAAGAGAAGCCTGGCTGAAAACGGAGAGAATGTTTAGCTTGCATAGCTTGCTGAATTGCTGTTTGCACCCGTGCCAAGGGCAGCAACGTCGTATGCAGGCAATGGGGTCAAGCGTGTAGAAATTCGCTCAGCGCCACAGGCCGCAAAATGGCTTGTCACGTATGCAGGTGCTGTGGCAGAGTTCCGTGGGAAGGCGATGGATCGCGAGGCCGTTGATACAGTAGGGCAGAGCGCGACAGACCTCCGGCCATTTCTTGTCCTTTCGGCGAAGTTGTCCATGCTCCAGTCGGCCTTTAGCCTGAACTTTGTGTGCACAGGTCTTGGCAGGCCACTTCAACAGGCAACAGGCTTCATTGATGCATTGCATCGGACATGCCGAGTGTTTCACAGAGAGATGCCGGCAGAGGTCCTAGAAGACTCTTGCTTTGTGCGTCCCTGTCGGAGGTTGGAAAGCGACGAGCTTCTTTTGCATCGAAGGACGGCGTGCGCTCTGCCGGAATCATACCACCCGACCTAAGATTTGCCAATCCACGTCTGCATATGTTTGGGAAGGATGCCGGCGACCTCGCATCCACCTCTCCAAAACGTTTCCGCCTGACATTCAAACAACCAGGACCCGGGAATGCTTGAATCCGTCAAAGGACTTGATGCGAGAAAGCCGGCTTTGACCAGGAGGAGCCACAGCAGCGCGTCTCAAGCCTCTGTCTGCAGCTGCGGCTGCTTGAGCTTTTGGTGTTTGACCTGGACTTGCCAAGCTGCATGCCTGCTTGGCATGGCTTGCTGCAAGCCTGCGGGTCATAGCTTCACGGACATTGACTTTTCGGTGGATGGATGCGATGTAGACCCGCTGCCCCACAATGTCCTGGTGCTGATGGCCATCGGTGAAGAGTTCCCTGCCTCCTGTCGAAGACCCAATCCCGGCACTAAGATCTGAAAGTGAGAGGCGCGTGCAGGAGACCTGCGCTGTGTCAGAGGGCACTGTACCAGTAAGTGATGCATCTAGCGCATCCCAATGTGATGCCAGACCGAACCAGTCGCAGAGGGCATAATGTTAAAAGCCACGGGCGGCTTGAGTATGGGCACGTGGCACTTGATCGCGCTCGAGACGTGAAGCTTTCAGGCACTCCAGGCCTGCATCGAGGACCTGGAGAGGCACAGCCTGGAACTAATGCCTGACGTGTGAGTCTGTGAACGATGCTGCGAGGCACTCAAGCCAAAGCAATGCAGCGCATTCGAAAGCAAAGCAGACGAGCCAAGCGTGCCCCATGCTTTCTGGTTGGGTAGGGCCACATTGAAGCATGAGTTTGTAAGCATGCGGTTGTGTTGTGGCCTGGGACTGCGCCCCTGCAAGCTCCTGCGCGACGTGATGCTTGGAGTCTTCTTTCCACTTGGCGAGGAGTGAAGGTCGACAGACCGTCACACTCGTTCAATTTAGAGACCTATGCCTATGCTTATTAGCCGGTACACAAACCCGCCGATGCTGACGACGGACTCCTGTCTGGCATCCCCAGTCCCTCCCCTTCAGCGATCCAACCTAAAATATGCACAAACTCACCTGGCAGTCGTCGCGCCTTTCGTGTCGTGCTGCACCCCGCCCCTGCTAGCATCCCTAGCTAATCGCCCACACTTCTCCCATGCAGTAGTCACGAGGTATGCCAACGACGTCAACATGTTGGGCTCCTTTGTCCAGTGTGCTTCCTAATGCTATGCGAGACAGTGCTGTAAACTGAAGTTGAACCTCGGTATCGGTAGCCTGGGACAAGAACCTACCTTTCGGCTGCGTCGCCTGCAGTTTTCAAGAGTCCTGCATCCGCGAGTTTGCATGCGATCTGCACGAAGTCAGGTCCTTGAAAGCCACGCTCAACGAGACCTACGAGTGAACTGGCCGCAGTTAACAGTTCACTGGTCTGCACGGCAAGAGGGCAGCTTTGGACGGTCCGTGACGCGAGATTGCAGATGAGGAGGTTGGTAGGGAGAACAAGTTGCGCCAAACCAACCGCTTGTGAAGAGTCTGGTGACAGTGTTTTTCCGACTGGTCCTGAACATCTGTGTATGCTAGCTGCTAGCACACGGCACGGCCGACAGGCATTGCGGTATTCTGAAATGATTAACTGAACACATCCTTTGAGTACCTGCGAGAGCTGGTCCGAAGATGCAAACGTGAGACTGCGATTGACTACTTTTGCATCAGGAAACACAAGTTGCAATACACCAGTCTTCGTGAAGATCATCAGCAGGCTTGTGCCGCGGGCAGGAAGCATGCATGGAGAAGTAGGGGTGTTGTGATCTGCCTACATGCATATTGCTGAAACAGTGTTGCAGGATTCAAGCATTAGTCCACTTGAGGTTGAACGGGGCAGGTTCTGGGCGTGAACCTTTTGGCAGGTCGTTTCTGGATTGATCCAAAAGCTGGCCACTTTGGAGGCCCTCGGCCTTCAAGTTGAAACGGGTGACGGTGAGCAATTCAAGCACGGCCAGGCTTTGGAAGGCAAGGAGCGAGCCCATCAGCATGCCGGGGCCGGGGTGCGAGCAGCGGAAGCACGCGTCGCAGCAAAGCAGTGGTGTGCACTTGCACTACGTCACCAGGTCACTTCGGCTTCGCATGGCCACAGCAATCGGAAGCTGCAGAGGACCTGCGGAATGTTTTCTGTTTCTTTCCAAGAGCTTTGACATGCTTTGAGCGAGGATGCACCAGACGAAGAGTTCGCTCCACCAGGTCTCTACCCAAAACGCTTTGTCAAAGAGCTCTTCGGAGCCTTCTGTCCCAGGTGAGGCAGACCTCTTCTGTGAAGTCCAAGAAGCTTGAAGAGGCGCTGCGCAAGGCAGGCTGCAAATCTGCTCTTCGCCCTTATGCAAACTCACAGTATGAAGATGAGAAGCGAGAGGTGGCTCAGCGCAAACAGCGTGGCTTGGCAGCATAGCACGGAGGGAATGCGCAGAATTCGCAGAAGTTACCAGGTCGGCCCCGGCCCCGAGGACAGGTGCCCGGCCCGTGCTTGCTTGGGCGCCATTCTGGTATCTTTGCCAGACAACAGAGTAATCAGCGTAAGACCGGTGTCGCAGAGTTGGCCTTTGTTTGCCGTTTGCCAACTGATCAACTGATGCAGGGCTGCATGAGTTTCGCAGCACAGCCCTGGATTCTTCAGGGCACAGGGGACCAGTAGCCTGCCTTCGGGACTTGTGGGCAAAAAATAGCGCTTCGGCGGCCACGAACCATCCATTCACTGTTGCCTGCTCTTTCGGTCCAGTTTGATCTCCATGCCCAGCCGATGGATTACGAACCGCTTCGGAGCGGCAGATTTTGCTGTGGATCAAGAGAGGCGGCTCCGTCAGGTGCCGAGCTTGCTGCAGCTGTCTGCCCAGAACGGCGAGGCCTAGAGAGCAAAGGGGCTTTCGTCCGACAACTTCTCTGGCCCCGAAGTGGCAGGACCCGCCAAGGAATGAAGGCGACTGGAGCCAGGATCAGGTGCTGATGCTCCGTCGGTCTGGTGGGATTCTCCATTATCATCCCTTTCAGCTTATATTGAGTGGGGCATGGGTTGAAAACAGGTGCCTACAAACATAGCCGGCGCCTTTCGACACGGCGTCCATCCTAAATGAGTAGGCCTTCCGAGGTAAGGCAGGAATTCATCTTGTACGTGTTTGTACCTGTTTGACCATTTTGCACGAATTGGTACAGTCATTCTACAGGCACTTTTTATTCGTGCGTTAGTCTTTACATCAGGCTCTGTATGGGTGTTGCCTGTACCAGTGTTGTGGTAGTTTTGATGCAATTCGTTCTTGTGTTGAATCTTATTCTGCTGATGGCCAAGCGCGACATAGTCGAATACAGCAGTGGGTCCAGGATCAGAGAGAGAGCCATTTATGCGGTGTTCGTCTGAGCCTAGCCCACATCGGACCTGCAAAAGACCTTAAAGACCTTGCATGCAGCATAGCTAATACAAAAAGTAGGTGAGATATGCTTGCAAAGTTTGTGCCGGATCAGGTTGGTGGGTAGGTCGATGAGCGAACTTCGGGCATGTCTGATGGTTGAAGGGATGTTATCGATGGTGGGATACCGACGGTGAGTTGCTATATGAGTCATATGAGTTATTTGCTATAGATTAGAAGCCAATGCTATTCAGATGCTTCGAAATGTGTCGCCAGGTACATCTAACATATGAGCCATTCAACATCCATATCGTTCAGAGAAGGTTCGCAGTGTTTCTATGGAGCGGAACAGGTTTGAGGGTTTATGGCTCCATGTCATAACGTCCCATCTGGGTTGAGCTACATTGCAAGCAACGGCTCAGATGCTGTGCATGTACCTGTGCAGGAGATCGAGCTGAACCCCAGATCAGGTCAAAACCCGACTAGCCTGATGCAGCTTGCAGCCGCAAGCTCAGGATGCTTGCGATCTGAATGCTCTGCATCTCCATGCCGTGTCATTCGAAGGCAACGGCCGCGGCAGAATCACTGGTCGATGCCGTTGAGGCGAACACTGTGCTGAGCCAAGACTGTGGAACAAGCTGAGATTTGAGCGGACCAACCAACCAGCTAGCAAGCCAACCAACCAACCAACCAACCAACCAACCAACCGCGTAAGCGCACCGGGAATGTGCATCTGGTTCATCGGCGTGTGTTGGTACACTTATCTTCATGTTTCATCCGATACGTTCCAATAAAACAGACTGCCGCCGTCATCATTGGCGTTGTGGTCTTGGGTACTGGCCAGTGACCAGACAAAAAGAACCGTCGTCGGGGAGGTTGGTACTGCCCCGGTCATTGTCGTCGAGCATTCCGATACTCGGAATGACTGATGCTGGCTGCCGCCTTCGGCGAAATCGCGTGCAACATAATTTAGGGTTTATTGAACGCAGGCAGCTGGAGCAGTTACTGTACGGAGTGGAAGGGACAGGGAGGGGAGTGAAGCAACAAGGCCCGGCTCTAGGCAAAGTGAGTAACGTTGAACGGACTGCTGTTCTCCAGGGTTTCAGTAAACTTGTCAATGCCGCTGTTGCTAAGAAAAGTGTTCTGGCGAAAGACAAGCTGGGAAGCATCGCCATGAGGGGCCTGTCTAGCTGAGGATGGTCCGACAAGTAAACTATGCGAGTCTGACGACGGTTCATTTAATATTTCTGAAACCTTCTTCGACAGCCTACGGCTGCTGACCCTGAACACAGCAAGATCCCATATCTAAGTGAAGGCCTAGGGCATCGCGGACAGCACAAGCGACGTTCTACTGCACTCTAGGCCATCAGTAGATTGTATGCCCGGGCGGTGGGAGGTTGTTGAACTTGCAGCATGTGGGATCTTTGTGGCAGTAGGCACAAGCTCCGGCGCATTCACCGGCAAGCTTACTGGAACAGGAGTTGCTCGCCGCGCATTGTGACTGTATCTGTGAGTGTTGACGGGCAACTGGGGCTGGTCTTGAGCTTGCTTGCAGGAGATGTCCAGTTTGGCCGATCTCTTCTGGAAGCCGCTGACAGGAGCGGGCAGGGTCCATGTGTCACATCGATGTTTCAAACGAGACCTATGCAGAAAGCTACGCAGCAGAACTGTGTGCTCTTGACAGACCTCTGACAGGGGGCAAGCCTACCTTGCAAACCATCGTGACCTGGCACTAAGCAGATTCGAACCAGATTGAGCACGCGAGTCTAGTCGCTTTCCAAGGTTGGAGTTGGCTTCACAAAGGATGATGTTGAGGCAGCAGCCCCTGCCAAAATCACCGACGGAAGTATCTGTCCTGCCAGTATACGTAGATTCGTCGGAGTATCTGAGTCAAACTCGCACATGCGGGATAGCCAGTGTTCATGCTGCTGTTCCCTGTCCAAAGCATGTGCACGCTTGCCCTGTGGCTGACAGGCCAGTGCAGCTGTGAACGGCGACGGATTGAAACAGAGCCACATTGAAGAGAAAGTACAGTAGGCCGCAGATGGCAGAAGTCGTTTGCACGAAGAACTGATGGACTGGTTCTTCACCGATCTCGCTTTGCGAACAAGAAAAGCTATTCTCTGGCTCTCTGCATGTCCTTGCCTGATTCTGGTACGCGTGGTTCGAGAGCTGCGCAGCAGAGATCTCACTACGTGAGCGGATTGATGGATTCGGTTCTGATTCTGCTGCAGGAGCACTGTGCATCAGTGACGTCCATCATAGACTTCTCTAAGAGCTTCAGCGTGTGTAATTCACTGCACCGCAGTGGAAGTCGGGAGACAAGTTCCCGCTGACAAATTTCTGCACATTGCGCCACCTATTCCAAGATCACCGTACCATAGCACAGGCAAGTCACTTCTACACAGCCTGCACCAGGAGGCGCACAGAATTGGGTGCAAGGCAACTGCTCAAGCTAGTTGAGCTGCTGCGCTGCGATCTGCTGCGCGCCGCTTTGGCAATCAGCCCTGTCTTATTGAAATCTGTGGCAGCTTGATTTGGTTCATCGGCAAAGCTGAGAAAACAAGAACAACTGCTTCACTCGTGCGGTTGATCGGCTGTTCCTGGTCGTGTGCTCTCCTTAGCACATCCTGATGGCTCCTTGCCGCGCCATCTCAAGCCTGGCCTGAAGGTGCGTGATGGACATAAGGCTAACATAAGCCATCGCTTTACCCGACCGAATTAGTTTTACCACAGGGAGCCCGTCCCAGCATGGGGCATTGAGCTGCGCTGTGGCTCAAGCGGCATTCGGTCCGCGCAGCTTGCAATGAGTCTTCGACGACATCTTCGACCTGCTGCAAGGCACACTATAACAGACACCCCGTTCAGAGTTCGGAAAGCAGAAAGCAAAAGAAGCAGAAGGTGGATGAGGCCCTTTGGCTCGGCCGAAGATCACTGTTCGGCCGCCGTCGCGGCAGTCGTGTGCAAACAAGCCGCAGGCGGCCCGGGCCACCCTTCAATGCACAGACCTTACTGTAAACTGAGATGCTCCATTGGTTGGCATTTCGGACAAGTTGCAGGTGACCCTCCGCATTTCCTCCTCATCAATCGACAAGTCGATGATCTAGGCAAACTCCAACATGCTGCTCGTGCTTGGCGGTGTGATGCTCTGTTGGCTGTGCGAGCAGCTGCTCCTGCATACGGGCAAGAGTTTTGCTTGATAAAGAGTGAACGTTGGGCTGGTTGGGGCTGTGCATGGCCGTGGGCCCGAAAGTGCGCTCAAAACTTCTCCCCAGATGGACGGAGTGATACCTCAGTGCCAGGACCTGCAAGCCTACGCCATCCATTTGGCCTGCCATTGGTGAGGCACCCGGTTCTTCCCTCAACCATCCTCAACCAAATCATTGCGCCGCATAGAGCATCTCCTCCAGCACCTGATCATTCTGACCCCACCCTGTGCCTTGGAGGTTGAATCGAGGCGAGGCCGCAATTGCCGCACCCTTGTCGCTAGAGTGGTTGTTTGTCAATCTGCGGGGTCGAAAGCTGTTGCAGCATCTTACGAGCTACCGCGCTGATGATCCTTGAACTGAGATATTCTTTAGTTCTTAATAACTGAATGAAAGTGTGTTTAGCTGCCTTAGAAGCCTTTAGACGTTCAGGTGGCTGCGGCCCGAGCCGTCGAAGAAGAATGTGGTCTGTCAGCCGCGTGCTCGAACTGGTCGGCAGCTCTCCCGCCCTTCCAAACCTCTCTTCCTTCTGTTTTCTCCCCCTTCCCTCCTCTCGCTTCACTTCCTTCGCTGTACTCCGTTTACAAGATTCTCTACGTCGCACCTCCGCTCCTCTGATTCTGCCCTGCGCTAAATAATGTACTAACGCTAAAGCCGTTCCTGCTTTGTCCCTCCGTCTTGCTTCAGGGCTAAGAAAGAGAGGGCCGACGGACGGAAGGACGGACAGACAGGCAGACAGATCGGTCCACAAATGAATGATCTGTTTCAAAGGGCCTGAATTGAAGGAAGCAGCCTTACGCTCTCAGGCCGAGTCCTTGCGCTGGCATCCGGTGCCTTGGAGACTGGCGCTGCTTCGACGGTGCACCCCCTGCTGGCCTTTTGTAAGGTGCCCATCACCGCATCCACATCTCATCGACATTCCGAAAAGTGCGGCTGCCTGCCTGGAGGGGGGCTGAAGCGGAAGCTGTGCTTGCTGCCGTTCTTGGCTACGGCTGCAGTGTGCCATCCGAGGCTTTCTGATTGCGTATTGCTTCGCGTGGTACATTGCGACGGGCGAAGCTTGGTCTCATTCCTGATTCTTCGTGTTGCCAAATTCAACAGAGACTGGTGAGCTCACGATCTCAGGAAGGACACTTTCCGAACCCCTTCGAAGATAGCTTTAGGCAGTTGAGAGCGGCATGTTGCGTGGTCTCCCAGGGCTGTTGTGCCGATTCAGGTGGTCATCAAGCAGGGAACTGCGAGAAGTCGCGCGGAAAGAATATCTCGGCCTGTCTTTCGCAAGGGAGGTGCCGCGACCCTGCAAAGCTTGCACATGCCTGTAGCCTCAGGATGCCGTGTGAACCTTTGGAGGTACTCGCGCCCCTAGAGCTCACCGAACAACTCCTCCAAAAAGATGTGCTGCAGAGGCAGGTTCTGAGTCACGTATGCCAGCTGCCAGTTGGAAGTCAGTTGGTGACAAAATTTAGGTTTAGGCCTCACTGTAGTTTCCCAGGTTTCAGCCGGAGGAGTGGTGAGCGTGCATGGGAAGCACTGCTCAGTCAGTGTTTCCGTGCTGCTTCGCGGACGCTCCTTCAGCTGGCTTCGCCTTCGGACTACGTTGGATTTTCTCAGGGTAAGCATGGGCGGAGAAGGCTGTCGAAAAAGACATGATGTCGAAGGGCCTGCCCTGGCTGGGACTGGCGTGCAGCCAGCGACAGCGGATCGCGCCTGACCGAAGTGCTTGCCGCGGATACGGCCAGGCATAACTCCCTCTGCCGGTCTTCCCTTTTCCCCATCTTCTCACCTCTGGCAGGCTAGAAGCATGAATGAGTGTCAGTTCCAGGACCGCGTTGCTCGGCATTGGCGTTTGGTGTCAGAAAAGCACGGCGCTGCCACAAGCAGGATTCTGCTTTGCACGTCGCACAGAGCAGGGCAGTCCACGGGCAAGGACATTTGTTCCGGGTCCAGAGAAACGGTCGTCACCAGCTGGCCTTGGCTTTCACGTAACTTGGCTCGAGCAACTGCTGCCGTGTTAGCGCAGCGCGCAGCCCAGGCTGGTAGGACCGGTGCGTCGCCACGTCGCCACGTCGAAACGCCAGGGGGGGGGCCATGGTCAAACCGCCGGAGACGCGAAGCGGAAGGCCCGGAAGGCCCGAGCACGAGCAGAGTCGCCGCTGCGCTTTGGTGCAGCGTGGCAGCGCGTTGCGTCGCGCTGCGTCGCGCTGCCTCGCTTCAAGGCCGGCTCAGAGGCCGGCATCGACCACCAGGCGAGCTCTCATGAATAAAGGCTGCTTGTGAGTGTAAGATGCTGCCTGCATTCGAAGGACGTTTGGTGGTTCTGTCAGTGTGAATCTTGTGATCGGACGGGTGTCGCGCAATGGCACTCCACACCTCACGGGCGATTGAAAGTATGCTGGGCAGTTTCAGCAAGTTTTGCGGTAGACTGGGTGCTAATGGATTATAAGGGCAGCCGCAGCAGGCGAGAGAAGCTTGAGAAGATGTACTGCCGAGAAGCCGAAAAGGCCAGGACAAATGATGTGCAAGATTCTTGTTGATTTTGCAGTGCCTTCGGGCAGGACTTGCTGATTACCAAGTACAAGGAGAAGCTCCTGGGACGGCGAAGAAAACCCAAACCCAATGCCCAAGGCAGTCCCGCGGCCTTTGTTGCCTCAGGTTCCTGGGTCCTCAGAGTCTGCAGGCTGTCGTCTGAGACTCAGTCGACAGCACCGAAGCAAAGGGCGAACCAGAGCGAAGCGGTTGAGCCGAAAAAGCGGCCTGGGCCCGGCGGCCCGGCCTCAAGGCTCTCTTCTTTAAGAGCTTACCTGAGCTTTCTTGAAATGGATCGAGGAGCAGCAAGTGCCGAACAGCGAAGTCCTTGCGGTAACGGAGGAGCCGCACGGGGAGTCTCTCTGGAAAGCTATGAACTTGTGACGGGTTGTGGGTGGGGATTCGGGTTGATGTAGCGAGTATCTGAAAGAGGCCAATGTGGCACAGATGGACATGGACCATGAGTGTGGCCCCAAGTATCGCAGTCAAGTTGCGCATGCTGTCGGAACAACGAATGTCAGAGCATCGAGAAGGACCCCGCACAAAGCAGGAGCAGACATGCACAGGCGTGGGCTGAATGCCAAGGACGGTCCCAGCTGCAGAGGAGGATGCCGTGTCGTCCTACAGCGTCTCTGCGTGACCCGCTGCAAAGCCGGAGCGCACTTGCAAGTGTGTGGCGCCGATGGTGTCTTGTTCAGGTACACAATAGGCAGCATCCCGCTTGACAAACGGACGGCAGGACTGAAAACCGTCATGCTCTTGACGGTAGATCTTCGACATTTTGGAGTTTCACTCTGCAACCTTCCTGCTCTGACTTGCCAGGAGCCGGCGCGGCACCTCTTTCTGCTTGCTGCTAAGCCTTAAACCCTCGATAGGCCGAGGTGTTGTGACCAGATCCATTCGCGCCTCAGGCAAGGGCAGCAACCCCGCAAAAGCCTCCTCTCACAGGCGCCCAACAATCAGCTCGTTCACTCCAACAGTGACAGTTTGCTGCTTCGGTCGTGGCAAGATGTGGCAAGCATCTTGAAGACACCGACTCGGTAACCTCTGGTTGCAGTCCACAGCCGTGCATTGGCCTTGGCATCGCAGGATCTGGTGCGCTGACGGCACGATTGCCAAGCAATCCTGTTAGAAGCAGAGGTTTGGAGCTTGGCTACGTGTCATGACCTGTCATGCAAGTTGCATAGATGCTAATAGACGTTAGCCACCACTGGGCCGCTGCCTTTCTCTGTGTTGTGCAGACGCCAGCGACAAGCCGTCTTCAGTGCTGGGCGATGCAGTTTTGACCTCAGCGCAGCAATGCGCAGCATATCGCTGCTGGTTTGAGATCACTGCGAAGTATCCAGAAAGCATACAGCCAAGAGTCCAAGAGCCTAACTTCATGACTTCTCCCGGCTTGAGTCACCTTGTCATTTCGTCTCTCTCCGTATGTGCTGGCACGCTACTTTGCCAAGAGCCGCAAGCATCGAGTGCGGCACATCCTATGGGGATGTCAGACCTTGTGCCTTCCTGAAAGCTTTGCTCGTCACAGATGTGATGTCACAGGCAGTGATGTGTAACGGATGCTGGAATTGGCTTTGTCGCTGCGGATTGATGCTGCTGAGTTGGGGCAGACTGTTGCCAAATTCACACTTGCACCCAGCCCCGACCGCCCGCTTGCTTGTTGCTGCGAGTCTGTGTGAGCAGCATGAGGCCTACTTGTCGGCCCCTGTTGCCCCTCCGGCGCTGTCCAGTATCGGTGAGCAACACGAAGGTTGGACCCCGTGCTGCTTGCTGTCCGCACACACAGACACACAGACACATGGAGCAACCTTGGCCGATTAAATATGCTAGAACACGAGATTGTTCTGTGCTGCACATTCTGGATGATCTTTCTGCAGAAGCCTTCGCCGCGACTCCGTGCGGCACTGAGCGGTGGCACAGGTCTGAGCGGAACACGGCAGTCTTTGCAACTAATTCACGACGGAACGCGGAGGAGCAGATTTCGCAAAATCAAATTGTTCACTAAAGTCTGTGACTATTGAGGCCTGCACAAGACGGTTTGGAGTGGCTCCAGCCTCTGAGAGCAACATCCCATTCCAATATGCAGCTCTGCCGACTGAACCCAGCTGGCAATCGAATATAGGTCTAAGCGTAAGCCAGCTTTTGCATTGGCGAGAGGTCTGTGTTGGACAGACTTGCCGCCGAGTTGCACAAACAGGACAGCAGTCTGCCGACATGTCGACTCGTGACAGCTTGCCGTGTCCGCAGATGCCACAGGACAATCAACGGGCCAGGCAAAGAGAGCTGGAGTTTGGACCTCGTGGCGAAATGATGCGAAACGCATATCTGCATTTGCAGCTCTGAAGTTTAGATGAACGTTTCCGCGAGGTTGAAGCAAAAGCTTCGGCATGACCTCGACAGACAGATGGCTGATGAAAAGCTGAAGCAGGCCCCCGTGTACAAACTTTGATAGTTGTGCCTCTTGAATATTGAGTTTATGCACACGCAGCCATAGCTTCTCCACAACATTCCAAAACGAACCAGGCTAAGACCCAGTTACTGCAGTGGCCCTACTGACCTGGGCGAGGGTTTGTGGCAAGGCCAGGCCACGCCCCTTGTACATGCATGAGTCCCCAGCTGCACAAGGTGGTGATGGGCGCAACAGAGCGTGCACGAAGACTTGCCTTTCTGCCGTCCGGACTAGGATCATTTCAGTTCGCAGCACGCCTAGCACGGTGGTATCGAAGTGAATCGCGCTAAAGTTGAGGCCTGCAAAAGCAGGGGTGTCGCTAACTTTCCCTGCCTTTGAGAACTTCGTTGGTCAAGTGACCTGCAGCCTGGGTCTTCTGTCTGGCGGTGGCATGTGCTTACGATACAGATCCCTGCACGTCCCTTTCCATGCCCCCAGTGTCGGTCCACCGCTTCATTGACGACGCAATGACGCCTATTTGACGCTGCACGTGGCCTTTCGCGAAGCACAGATTTCGTGACGCGAACTTGATCGTAAATCCATTTCAATAGGTGATCTCTGAACGCTAGGGGAACGAGGAACCTGGGATGTTCAGCCTGCTGCTGCTGCGTGCCATCTTGAAATCTCCGCAGGAGCGTGCCAAAGCCGAAGAGCAGCGCTATCTTCAAATTCAGGACTGGCTTGACTGGGATACGGGGCATGAGAGGGGGACAGGTCACGACATCCATGCACAAGTGTCCCGAAACTAAGCAAGTGCAAGAGGAAGAGCACTCCAAGATTCGGAGCCGTGGCTGCAACTGTTGCTTTGCAGACTTTCTGGGGTCTTCACCATCGACCAGCTTCGTTCTTCGTTCATCTTCGTTCTTTTCGTGCATTTCAGGGCATGCGCAAGAAATCCCTCGGGCTGCTAAGGGCGATGGAGCTGGAGGCTCGAGCTTCAGCCCGACTCCGCAAGGCGCAGCAGCACAGTGTTCTGACAACGACATGATGTGGCTCGTGTAGCCACGCTGAATGCTCGCACTCGCATGCGACGCAGCAGCCTGCAAGCCCGTTTACTTGGCTTTGCTGCGCAGATAGAAGCGACGCAGAAAGACAGGGATGGCCAGCTTGCTTTGATAAGATCCCAAAGAGACGAGGACGGGCTTTTGCAGCGTCAGACTGGATCCGCCAACCTAGATGGAATGTTTGGAGCTGTTAGACGCACATGTGATCAAATCCTCGCTGTGCTTGCTCGGAAGGAAAAGCAACGACAGCAAGCCGAAAAGCAAGAGCTCCTGGACAGTTTACGCACCGTGCTTAGTGGTGCAGCTAGTAAGTTAACTTCTCCAGCTGGACAAGGCTTGCTAGCAGTTGACCGCGGAGTACATACCTGCATCAGATTCTCCCCCTTTCGCTGAAGCTGAGACCGTGACATGCAACGGGATCGGCAAGATGCTGAGGACTGTCTGGGTGCAGACCAGAACTTGTCCAAACATCCATCAAAGCATCCAAATGGGTTCTTGGGAGCATGGAAAGTGATTCGGAGAATGACTAGTGACTCACTGGTGCCTTGCTGTGCATTGCAGCAGCACAGTTGCGACCCGTTTGTTTCAGGACCGCCTCAAAGCGCGCCGAGATCAAGTCCACAAGGCAAATATCATACTTGGCATCCTGGTTGTGTCTACGCCTCTGCACTGCGTATGTTTCGGCAGGACTTCGCAGAGACAGCGGAAGCATCAAAGATACGTAAGGCATGATGGTTGCTTTTCCACAGTCGGAATTTGCCTTGAAATCCACTGAGACCATATGACGCCTCAACAGGCAAAAGCCGACGAGCTGGCAGTCCACGAGCAGCAGCAAGTCGAGGCGCCACCCATCGCACCATCTCTCGAGTCTGTTTTCTTCGGAGGAGCTCAGCAAACTCAGAGCAGCGGTAGCTAAGGCATCAGCAGGGACTGTTGTTTTTATGTTCTCGTTGGAGTGGGCTGGTCTTATGAGCAAAATATGCGAGATACTGAGATACAGCAACAACTGCTCCACTCCGAGTTGTTCTGGTGTTGATACAACCAGGCCTACGAAAAGTTGAGAGCTCATCGGGAAGAGAAGCGCCGAGAAGCAGCAGAGAAGGACACACGGGCGTGAAAGCTCGAATATCCAAAGTTTGTTTTTAAAACTCAAGCTTGTCCTTGGGATCAGCCTGCGCAGGAAGCAGCACAGAGAAAGGAGATCGAGAAAAACGCGGGTCTTCGAGCCGCTCGTATGCAACACTGCTATGCAGTGGACGGAGAGCACTGTACTGTACCCGAAATTGCACCGGAGGCTATGGCCATGCAGAAAATGGCTGACGACACAGAGCTGAAAGCAGCAGCAGAGCGGGCCGCAAAGGAAAGACACCTGACTTTGGGATTACAGCGGTCAATCGCAATTCTCTCGCGAGGAGCTTGCAGCCGAGAGACAAGAACAGGCCTGGAGTTGTGACACGTGGAGGTAATTCAAAAAAAGTTCTGTGAGGCCACCCGTAAAAGGCTGGAAGACATGAAGAATCAGACGCAGGCCATGGACAGAGCAGATGATGGATGCTCTTGATGCCACCTTGCTTTGATCATTGCAGAGGGAGATCAGCGCAACGTTCGCAACATTGTACCGCGATTGACAGGAGTACTTGCTGCAGCAGATGAAGGCAGATTACAAGCCATCGGCTGCATGTTTCAGGATGTAGCGTGGTGCTATCCTGCCACAGCAGGAGAAGCAACTCAAGAAAGCAACAGAGGCAGAGAAAGCCAGGCAACCGCAGTGGAACTTGCAGCCGCGCGTGGCATGTCTGTTGGAAACCTGCAAAGTCATTGGCCATAGTACCACGTGCCGCCTTACACGGCCTGTGGCTCAGGCAGCTCGCTTCTGCACAGGCAGCTGAGGCAAAACAACTCGAGGCAAGTTCCGGCATTGCAAATGCCGTGTCAATTGTGCTGTGCTCCACTTGTAACATACGGCGAGCTTTCTGCGGGTTCGAACCGCTGATGTGCTCTTTCGACATATTGTGCTGTTGTCAAGCAGGAGTCGGCAAGAAACAACTCGCTGTGTTTATGCACATGCAACAGGCTCAGGAACAAGAACGAATGGCCCGCAAAAAGTGCTGCCGACCTATTGAGGGTACTCTCTGCAGCAGGGCTCCAGTCCTGTCGCATTGAAGTCCGGCTGCTACGCTTTGATAAAGCTAGAGGATCTGAATGCCAGGAAAATGATCCACGATCATCGGAAAGACCTTGAACGGCAGATTGCTGCATATGCCTCAGACATTGAGTCCAACAGCCACGGCAATGTCCAAGCCTGGAGTACATGCTTCTCACTGCTGAGGCTAGAGCACGCCATGTACCGCAGGTTGGTTTTTTTCGTGCCTTTGCTCCTACAGACTCGCAATCCTCGACCAGCCGCAGAGCTTGTGGCTTTGCTGTGGCTGCAGCAGCCAAACCGCAGGAGACCATGAGTGACTGTGAGCTGCGGCTCAACAAGCAGCTGTTGGAGAAGGCCCGTAGCATCTGCATGATGCGTTCCCGCCGACAAGATTTGTCCAAGCTGCAGAAAGTCTTTGCCCAGGTCACGTTGGCCTCGGCCTTGGTTCTCGCATTTTCGTTGAAAACTTAAACAGCACAGGTGGCGGTGTTGTTTTTGTTTCCCATTTGTTTTCATTTCTTGGCTACCTTGTCAGTTGTCTACTTACGCTTATGCTTTCGGACTCTGCTCCTGCCCTTGTGGGCACTGTTGCTCTTTGCATCTCGGAGTTGCCTCACATTCACAGTGCATCGAGCGTGGTATGTCTCTTGCGCAACAACGGATGCACTGCGCGTGCAATGCAGAAGCATGTTGAAGAGCTGGAGTGCGAACATCCTTGTATGGTTGTGAGAGCAGTCGGAGTGTAGTCGGAATACATGCGGCTGTGATAAAGGACAACCGAAGATCCGCGGGGTCACAGGAACTAGAAGTGTAAACACGCATTTTCACTTCTACTGCCACGCGCTGCGGTGTTAAAAGTAGAGCAGCGGCTGCTCTACGTTCGAGGTATTCAGAAATCGGTCTTAAAGCTTTGCGGAGCTAGTCGTGGACATCTTAGCAAACACATGACGAGAAGAGTTTCCACCGGTTCCGTTGCAGAATCCTGCTGCACGGAGTGATCAGCATGGTGGCCGAAAGGAGGGCCCCCACTTCTGCAGGTTATCATGGCCATGAGGTGTGTCACAGACTCCGTTTTTGCGATGCTGCTGTTGGATGCCCCATGCACAAATCCGCGGCTGGAATGCACTCAGCTCCCTCAAGATGCCTCGCCTTGCCGATGCTGATGCCGATTCCGGCGTAGACAGCCACCTCACTGCTTCGTTGCATGCTCGAGGGGTGTCCAGAAGGGGCCAGGAATTGTGGCTAGAGAGGGGGCATAAAACTGACATCGACATGGCTGCGGTGCTCATTTTGGCAGTGCTTGAACGAGCCCAGCAACTTCAACCATACTGAGCAGTCGGTATGCAGGAAGAAGGCACATGGGCCTGAGCAGCACCACACCGCATGCGAAGGGACGGTGCTGTCGTGCGGCATGTTCTCTGTAGCGCAATGTGCCGCCGACACGACCAAATACATGTCTCATTGCCTCGTGGAAAGGTGTCACTATTGGAAGTTTTGGTAATGCCACTGCCCATTTCCCAACTGTTACTGCCCGTGCCGATGCGTGTGTCCTATATCCAAGTGAAGCATAGACCTTCTACTTCATAGACTCCTGACAACTTGGGCACTTCTGCACTGATGAATGGTCTCTCTTCTCACTTGTTGTCTACATGATAGCATGTACGGTGCTAAGCTTGATCTTGACATTGCGAGGCCTTAACTGACATCTCCAGCACAGCCAAGACGTGTTGAATGTTCGCTGCAGTCGCCAAAGTTCAGCACCAGCGACTCCTTCCAACACCCGTGTCCTCAAAGTCGGGACCCGTCTCGGAAGACATAGACACTCGGGCTTGAATAAAGCCACTGAAAGACTTCTCGTGTCAGATAGCTCGGACATACTGCCAGAGTGAAAGTGCATGACAGTCCCATGTTTCACAGGCAGCAGTCAGACAACAACAGTTTGACTGCTTCCCAGTTCAAGCATGCAGCACTTCTGAAATGCTGGAGGTGCCTGAGCTTGATAGTTGATGGTCATAAAAGTCGTCCTGCTTCTGCAATACAGTCCACTATGTCAAGCAAGAAGTCGGTCGATTGAACGAGATTCGCAAGTCTCCGCCGATTCAGCGGCTCATCCTCGTGCTGCTGAATGGAGTGAGCGGAGGATCCTAGCACTGTCCTGATACCGAAATGCGGGTCCCTCGAAGGTGCGTAGCGCTTTGGGATTCCCTCGCTTGTTGTTAGCTGAGGTATAGATGCATACGTTCTGTCGCCCTTGCTGCGTGCCCTTGCCATGGTTATCATTCGAGCATCCATTGAGCTTACAACTTCTGGCAACTGGATGCATTGTTTCAGGACTTTCCCGGTGACCCTTGCCGTATTAAGAAGACAGAGGTCCAGCCAGTCGGCACGGGTCCCTGTGGTTTATGCTGTCTTGTGAAGTCGCGTGCCGCAGCTTCGCTCCAGCTCAGATTCCGGCAGCAGTCGATAGTGCTGGCTGGTGCCCAAGAACACGTGACGTTTCGGTTTGGGTCCAGGGCCAGCTTTGTTCTCGGCATTTTGATACAAAGCATGGAACATGTCAGCGGGATCAGAGCTGCTGCCATGTGCTGCTTGTGCTATGCCCAGATTTGATCCAAACCAATGCAGCAGCGACAAAAGCTGGCAGGGCTCTCAGGTTTCTGTGTCACGATATTTTTGATGTTCACCTGACTTGGACTGTACCCTAATTGAAAAAGGATGTGCTGTCCCGTGTTGTGGTTCCCAGGCGTCGAAACCTTGGGCCCGGCTGTGTGCCGACCTCAGGGACCGGTCAGTGGGCGGTATGTTCAGCAATGGCTTTCAAGGTCGCCTCGCTTTTTCGGTGCCATGAACCTCGGAGAATCCACTTCCGACGAGGCCGGTGCGTACTATTTCTGACAGATTCATGCCAGCAAGAAGCGATTCGAATTGGGAGTTCAGGCTTTCTCCCATGCCGATGCTGGAGATGACCTCGGCCTCGTAGGTTATACCGAAACAGGTTCTGGTGTGGAGCTCGGGAAAGTAGAATGCTGACCCGCAAGCTTCCTCAATTTTCAAGTGGCCCCGTGTGCGACATCTAAGCTTCGGCGGAGTCGCAAGTCTTTGCGGAGACGCCATCTGCAGGCGATCCCACGTACCGTGCCTGTTTGGTGATGGGTTGTTTCTGGGCCAGGCCTAGTACTGTGGGCGCAGTCATTCGACAGTTGGTAAATCATGGAGTCATAGACTTTGATAGGCTGCAGGCTTCAAGCTGCTTGACACTGCGATTCTGTGCAGACCTGCGGGCTGGGGAATGGAGACGCATGTGGCCACTTTGGCTTTTGTGCAAGGCTCCAAGGAGGCCTGGCAGACCTTTTGGCCAGGATCAGCAAGCGTGCCCGGCACTCGAAACTATTCAAGGCCCATGTTGACATTCGTTGTTGGTTGCAGTACTAGGCCAACAAACCGAATTGGGCCGACGCCACGCTGGGTGTACTCGAACACCGAGCAGCTGCCTCAAGCTCCGGGAAGGGGGGGGGTTCGCGGAGAAGGCCGCTGCTGTAAAAATCGAGTGAAGGGTTATGTGCAGGTGAAGCCTGCGTGCGACCTTTTCCGCATTGCGCAGCATTTATCGTGCCCAAAGCCCTGAGGAGTACTAGTTACGAAACGTCGCCACCGAGTAGTTTCATGGGCGAGTAAAAAGTCAGCTGCATTCGTTGGCGTCGGTTTGAACATCCTACCGAGTTAGTTGTGCATCGCTGCCGCTTCGCAGGTTCATGCAGCCTTATACGACAAGTGGCCTCGAGCTCAGCCTCGGAGTCCTCCCGCAGACTGGACAAAGCTAAGCCTGAGGTGATGGAGTTCCCCGGCAAGGGCTCAAGGCCCGAAATGCAGTGCTCCGGCATGGCTGGCCATATCCACCCTGCGCGATGCTTATTTTGAGGATGCGATGCTCGAGACCTGGGTTGCACACTGGTACATGTGGGCAGCGTACTGTAGACACCGGCATTCCGTCATCATCAAAGCGCACTAGCATTAATTACGTACTTCACTGCACTGTAGCATGCGCCCTCCGACATGCTCCCAGCCCGCATGCAACAGACATGTGCTGATTCTGCAGGCTGCCAGATGGTTCGACAACTCTGTTCTGCAGTACAACGGCGCATTGCCTGCATTCTCCAAGTGCTCAGAACTTGCACTCGGCTGCTTCGCAGTCGTGCAGTTCCGTTGTCCCCAGGTATGGGCCAGCCACAGCTGCCGCGACCCCAGGAACTTCATTGCTGGCTGCTGGCCCAGCTTCGCAATTCTACTCAGGCCTCCATTCGGGGTCGGGGCCCGATTAGTTGAGTCCTCGGCCGCCTCTACGTCTTGGGCTACTTGGCATGGCAAGTGTGCTTGCTGCGCTGTCCGGCCGCTTGGGATGCTCAATGTGGAAAGCCAGGTGCAGCGGGCCGTGAATACCAGCCTCCTATGCAAAGAGGCGCTCCGCCTCTGCCGCAGCCTTTATTCGTACCTCGGCAGTATCATGCCTTAGGCCAACTGTGTCTCGCCAGGCTGGCTGCACAGCGACTTCGAAGCTGCAGGTCTTCGATCCGCAGCAGGAAGAAGCGCAACTTTGCAGGCTCTGCCTGAGTTGTTCGCTTTTCACACAAGCGCTACCCCGCAGCGGCAGAACCGCAGCCGCAGAGTCAGCTGAGAGTATCGTTGAGCGGCAGTTGCAAGTCTCATGTCTCAATCACGAAAATGGGTGGGAATTTTGATAAAGTAGAAGTATGTCGGAGTTCCGTGCACTTCCGGGCGTGTTGCAAAGCATCGCCATCGGCTACAACGGTTCAAGGTTTAAGTTCTGCATAAGTCAGTAGGTCTTGACTTTCCGTTGAAAGCAGATACTGCTGGAAGCACCGCAGTTCATCGGCCAGGCTCACGATTGAGGTGCATCCCACTGACTACGACAACCTGTGGAGCAAGGACGCAGTGCGAGATGTCAATTGCGTAGTTCGGAATGTTCTGAGATCCCGACTTCAGCTCGTTTGCAAAAGGCTGAGTGCCGGCCGAGCAGCTTCGTGAGGCTGAAACCACTCCTGGTGTTGGCGCCCTCGTAGCCGATTCAACAATAGGCTTTAAACTGCCTGCAGAACGCAAGTCCGCACTCGCCACGTTTGATTTGCAGGAGCAAGGACACGAAAACCTGCCCCTATCTCGTCCGACCATCCGCCCATCACCATTACAATCGTACTGCGGTCATCGCATCATCCATCATGTTGTGCATGGCTTCATCCTGTCAAAAAGGGTTGTTTGATTCTGGACAGACGCAGGAGTTCGTGCGCATCTGGAAGATTAACGAGCATTTGGCAGAGACCTGAGATGGCAGGGTCGCGTCGCAATTGGCGCAATTTGATCATCGCTTTATGCCCACAGGCCACCGCCAAGTGTGATCCACATGCGCTGGGCTGCAACGCCGAGTACTCGTCACACTCGAAAGAGCCCCCCAGCCTCCACGACTCCACGGTTTGGCCTCGAGGCATCGGCTTGGCGGCCCTTGGTGCCGTGCTTGCAGGATTTGAATGCCCCGAGCTCGTCGAAGTCTCAGTTCCGAATTCCTCTCCTGCACGTGTGTTTCATACAGGTCGACCACCTACTGGCTGAAACTGGCTCACTCCTCATCGAGGGATCCATCAACAAGAGCCTCAGCGGAAACTCCATGGCTCTTCATTGTAAAATCATGCAGTCTTACCAACAGTCTTGGTGCTTGTTCTCAGCATTCGTTCATCAGGATGGTGGATGAGCGCTTTGGCTGAAATGCGCCATGCAATCGTGCTGTGAGATGTGAGAAGTTGGACCAATTGGCGAGGTGCCCCTACCATGGCTATCTTTTGAACGGCATGGCTGTTGTCACCTGCATGGCTCGCAGCTTATCACATCACAAGCTTCCCTTCATTAGAGGGTGTCTTGTGTGAGGGTTGGTTGCAGCAGGATGCCAAACCAACCTGTCTACCTGTGCGCTAGCGGGGCTGCGAACAGCTCATCGGCCCTCAGTAGTGGCCATCAGCGGCAGATTCAGGCCCGCAAGAAGGTGGCGGAGAAAGCCCTGGCGGCTCCTCATGTCGTTTGGCTTCAAGGGGATCTAAACCTAGACCCAGGCATTTGCATGCAGTTGCAGTAGCATGGGCCCTTGTGCCGAGTTGTGCAGTGGACAGTTCAACTGTCTTAGACTCTTGGACGGTGAATTTCAGACTGCAAGGCTGCCTTTGGTGGAGCTCCCGGCCACGCACGCCTCACAGCCAGGGATCTCTCAGATGGGGAGTTGAGGCGTTCCTTGGTTGCTGCCGGTGGTGCCGGGGCTCTTCAGGCAGCCGGTCTCAACGGTGTAGGCCAGGACGCCGGTCTGAACGGTGTACGCTTCGCGCATTTGGACGGCACTGCTGCCGACGACGCAAATGGTTTATTGGGTGCTGCCGGCGGTGCAGCTGTGGGCAGCGACGGTGACGGCACTGGAAGCGGCAATGGAAGCAGTGGAACTGGATCGCTTTCTGATGAGACACGAGCACTACTCGGCGACAGGGCTGCAGAACTGGACGATGTGGCCCTGGCCGCTGCTGGTTTGTGACTCGGCTAGCATTGGCGCTTCCCCTGAATCGAAGCCTTCCACTTGTACCTTGCACTCCCACTCTTGCGCCAAGTCGACAGGAATGCCACAGAGATCGCAGAGCTGCGTGCCAAAGCGAAAGCCAACTTCCTGGCAGATGCGTCATGGCCTCTTGCACAAAGACACATCTGGTTTCAAGCCTAGCGCTGCAAAATTGCAGGTTGGCGCCAGGAGCTGTCCTTTCCAACACCACCAGCATGCAGTGTTGTGCATCTGACACGCTTGACTTTATTATCAAGATTAGCGAGTTTCCCGCCTGGCATGTATTATCGTTTGCCTTCCACGTGCTTTGGACATTGCACTGGGCATTGCACGGAAACTTGCGATGTGGTATAACAGGCGAGCCAGGATGCCTCTCAGCTGCCGTTGATGCATGTTCGTGCAGTGCTGCCGATGTGCCACCCTGCTGAGCCCATTCAGGTGCTGTGATGTCTGAGATCCATGTAGACCCGATCTTTCTGAGAGCTGGTGCGCTGCGAGCTAAGAGCCATCCAATTTCCGGATACGTCCGCGAGACTCTATGGGGGATCAGAGTCCAAGGACCTGCCTCATGAATTTCACGGTGGTCGGGAACTCGACCGGTCATGAGAGTTGGGCGCAATGACATGATGACATGCCCACACGCTTGACAGTCGGAGATCCGGCAGTATGTTGTGTATGATCTTAATTTCACTGACGTACTGAGAGTCAAAACTCAAATTGCCGCGACGTTCCACAGGCCGCTTCGCTTATTCAAATCAGGACCAAAGCGCTGTAAAAGCTGACTAAGAACAGTGAGGAAATCATGAAGGCCGACCAATGCGCGGCGTGTGTGAGTACGACAATGTCACCAGCTGAAAGACCAGACGTGAGGATGGCGTCCCAATCTGGAGCTTGTTGGCCCACGCCCAGAAGCCAGCCGGTGGAACCGTTGCTGCTTGAGTGACGACACACGCGGTCCTAGCTCTACTTGGGTGGAAGTTCGGGTTTGCAGCCACCAACACACAAAGAAGTGCGCACCGACAAAGGGCTAAAGCTGTTCCGCTGTCAGACGTTCTGCCCTGAGGTGCAGACTGACTTTGACGAAGCTGTTGGCAACGACGTTGAACGGATCGAGCGCCTCGCTATCCGAAATCGTTGAGCGTATACGATCAACAGTTCTTCTGGTCGAAGGTGTAGTAGGTTTCTTTTTCGATGCCTGCCTGCACAATTCAACCTGCCACAGCCAAGGTTTATCCATGTTGAGGGCATGGGCAACATCAGCGAGGGTGCCAAGCCCGGAAGGCCAGCCAGAGCCTGCGTCTGCTGGCCATGGAAGAACATGAGCTGATCGTCGGGCGAAGCTCGCAGCCCAATTCTTTCAAGCCAGGAACCCCTGCACCGAGGAGCATGGGGCTTAGCTAGCTCCGCCGCAGCGAAACTCAAAGTGAGGAGTTCAGGGCATTGGTGACTTGTTATGGCAGATCTGACGGTGTCTTCAAAGAGAGCTGACTAACTCTGTACTCGTTCCCAGCACAGGGGCGTCTGGAATCCTTGAAGGCAATCTGCGTAGCTTGTATGGGCTCTACCGGCTGCTCGAGGAATCGCAATGAAAACCGCTGCCCTTGTTCTAGGGGGCTTCCTTTGTGGCTCCGGTCACGGCTATGTTGCAGGATCCTCCAGGCCCGAGACCGAACCTCGTCGATTCCTGCGGTGCTGTGCAGAGTTTCTAGCCCAACGATCTTAGGAAGGCCTCACATGGTCCATCATGATACCATTCGGAGATTTCAGAATGACGCCTCCGGGCCTGTATGACCTGAGTCTGTGGATGTTTGTTGCTTGCACACGTGTCGAAGGCCAGCTCTCTGCCCAGGTACAGCACAGGGAAAACCGTTCCCATGGAAGACCGAGCACGAACCTCAGCGGAAAGGAGTGGTGACTCATAGCACTATGAGGTGTTGGAGAGGTCGCTATTGCATCATGTCAAGATATGGTTATAGCTCTGGTCAAGAATCTGCCGACAAGGATGTACTGAGGAGTCGTGTCGTTCGCCGGGCAGTCTGGGTTTCTGAAGGTTGTGCACTATGAGCATCCGTGAACCCAGCAGAAAGGAGAACAAGAAGAATCGACAATAAGTACTTCGGCCCAGTGTTGGCTTAGTTTTGGACTGCACTGCAGCTGCACCAATATGGAAAGGGTGTGTGCAGCATGTGTCTTGTGCTGCGCGGGATCGGTGGGCGGACCGGGGCAATGGGACACGCTCGATAAGCGACTTCCCCGATCCGAACTGCGCTCCAGTCCTGGCTGCTGCATTCCGCGATGAGTATAATTTGCAGACACAGGTGTTCACGGTCATCCGGAACAAAAATGTCACGGCAGCAATCATGGCCCCACCTGTCGGCGACCCAGTTCGGTCCAGCTTTGCCACTGTTTCGTGCCGGATCGCAGAAGTCGCCGTGGCAATCGACTGTTGAAATTCATAAGCGGCACAGCTGAGATGGGGATGCTGGTTGTCGGCAGCAAAATCTCGCCACAGGCGCCTGCATTCTGTGCCAGGCTGTCACCCTGTACCCCAGAGTCTCACTTGCAGAGTAACTGACGTTTCAAGCTTCATCTTATAGTCTTGGAGTTGTGCGAAATGTTCGGCTAAAGCTTCGGCAGCGCCAGCTGGCACTTCCGAATCTTGTGTTGAATGATGGCATATGTTGCCTCAGCAGGTCGACGACTGTTCCGCCAACGGTGTGCTGTTTGACAGCCAAGTCACACTCTCTTGCAAGCTTCCAGAGAAAAGCCCAAAGCTCAGCATGCTCATGTGTCGAGTTTTGGACTCATATGTTGCTCAAGCAGAGCTGCCGAGCCTTCGCCATTGAGGCTGAGTTCAGAGGCTGCGGCACATGCCGTGGAAGCAGTACCACAAGGTCTCCCTTGCTGAGCAGGGCGAAGGACATGGAACATCGGCACGCCCGTGCTTGTTGCGACAAGCTCTTGCAAGAAAAGCTGGTCTCACATGCTGGCAGAGCTGCCGTGAATCATGCACGGATGACGTTGCACGTCCTCAGAGCACTGGTGCACTTGTTACATAACTGCTGCTGTAAGAGTGGATTCTGCTGACATGATGCGTCGGCTCGATGTCCTAGAGGTGCACACTGACTGCATACTGAAACACTCTTGCTTACTCAGCATGGCATCATCGCAGACGATCTCCAGATTCACATGACATGTACAATGTATACCATGCACTAGGTCACTAGGCGCTCAACCGTCAAAAGTGTAGAAATACGCTGCGTGGTCATGTGAACCCCGACCTACTGGTACCTCTGTCGTCAGTTCCCGAACACCATCACATTCATGCTGATTCCGAGCTGGGGGCCTGCCCATTCATGGTGGAGGCCTTTGAAGATGCTGACGAGGAGGCAGACCGCAGGTTAAAGCTAAGCCCGCTCTTTGACTTCTGTGGGGTACAACGAGAAAATCGGCAAAGCTCCGTCCTGATGGCTAGGCATCAAGTCTCGTCGAAGCTTGTGACCAAGAGGCTTGGCCTTCGATTGCTTGGGGGTCATGGTGGTGGTCTGGGGTATTTGGTGAAACTTCCTCGCTGCTGGAGGATTCGCATTTAGTTTGCACATGGTAGTATGAAGCGGAAGTGTCCTGATGATATACCAGGCATGCTATCTACACAGACTGCTGTGCGAAACGCCACGACGAAAGATTCGAGCGGTGCTCAGGAGGAAGAGGAGGAACCTTATGAGAAGACGAGCAGTAAGGGTCTCAGATGCTGGGTTGACAGTGAGAGTGCTGGCTTGGCACTGTATAGTATCGTTGAACCAGTTGCAGGTGACTGCCAGCCATTGGTGCAGAGATGGCGTCCGGGGCTTGCTCGATGATCACTGTAAAGACAAGCTTGTTCTTACCCTCGCGTGGAGGCCTCCGCTTGCTCGAGCAGGTGGAGCGGCGGGATAGCCAACTGCAGGCCTGCGCAGACCTTGATTCAATGCATCTCCTCAGCGCATGTGGACCGAAAGTAATCATCACCTTCAGCCATCGCTCACCCGTGCTCACAGCCTCAGTCTTTTTGCGCTGAAGCCAGATCTCCGGAAGCTTGAAGCCAACTTTCTCGGAAGGGTTTGCAAGCGTTGTACGAGCAGTACAGCGAATGCCGGCGCAACCTTCAGGCGCTGCATTGCTTGGAGTGCTTGGCCTTCCTGATTCTCGAGTAGAAGGTATTGTTACAGGAAGGCTGAGGCTAACACTGAACAACTTTGCACACTTGGACGGAACATAAGCAGGACAATGGTAAGATGCAGGTGGCAACAGAGGAAGATTGCGTTCAGGTCCACTGTAGGACTCTAGGCATAGACAGACGGATGTAGAAGGGAGCTGCCAGGATCAGTCTGTGATTAGCTGCGACGGCAGTAGTGGATTGGCTTGTGTTCTTGTCATCCGACCCCAACTCCCTCTATGACATATTGACGTTAAGATGCGCAGCCACTCGAGACTAAGAGCCGTCATGTTTCAGATTCAGCAGTAGCAGTCTCTGTCTCCAGGCGGCCGACGCCAACAAGCGTTGAAGCCCAAGCAGAGCAAGCTTCTAGCCACTGTCGGCCATGCTGGGGCTATCAGCTGCATGTTGTGCCCCGTCGTCCAGCAGAACCATGGGATTGAGACGGAGAGCCCGAGGTGTGCCCGGAACTGGCTACTTAGTTCCGAAGGCACCGGACCTTGAACACATTCGCATGTCTACGCATTGGATCAATACCCGCGCGAAGGACGTAGCCGAGGCCAAGGAGACTTCCGTTCCTGCATTGGTCGCAGCGTTCTTCACTTCTGAATTCTGGGAGTCGTAAGTCGTAGGCAGCTACATCTCAACCTCTACGTAAAGGCTGCTAGATCTTCACGGGTGCGCACATTCCTGCCGTACATGTCTTGCCTCTGCCTGCTCCAGGAGCTGCACAATGCAGCCGAGAAGCTACTGCGGCACAAGGCACTGCCTACAGGAAATGAGCTGTGATCGGAAGATTGCCTGCATGCCCAGCTTTCCGAGTCTTATATTCAACCACGTGGGGAGCATCTCAAGAATCGGAAGGTGTCTTCTCAATTGTCAGCCAGAGGATTTGCCTAGTGTGGAATGTTGGGCTCGCTGGAAAACAGCGGCATTTCTTCATTCAAAGCGGCTGCGTCAGCTTTTCGATGCGGAAGGTTTTCAGCCCATGGTAGGGGCTAAAGCATCCGGAATCCGGGGTGAAAACAGGGGGTTTAGGGCAAACTTCCTCGAAGACTTCAATTCTGCTTTGTGCTTGGGGCAGGCAGGGTTCGTTCTTGCATTCCATTCAAGACAACTTAACGTTAAGTGGGTTCAGGCCCAATTGGAGCTGTCTCGTTGTGTCTAGATTGCAGCTGAGCCTCCCACGAGCTTATTTTCTGTTATCATGAAATGTTGAAGCCGCCTGCATCTCTGACATTCAGATGCCGAGACGATAAAAGTAATCGCAGAACAGCGCAAACCTAAACCATGCTGCCCAAGACTGACCTCAAAGTAACTGCCAGGGTTTGCGTAAGCACAAAAATTATCGAACACAAGGCCGCTCGTTTCAAGCTTGTGTCGAGTCGTCTTAAATCTCAAAGTTGGACAGGGAGTGCCGCGCTCCTCACTGTAGTTGCTTTTAGCTGGACGCGTGTCACTGCACCGTGTATGTCCCTCCGTGACGAGCGATAAAGCCTATCAGCTGGCTGGAGCTGGGTTGAGCTAATTGGCTCTTCGCTGAATCACCCGAAACCAGCCATGCTTCCGCAGGATAAGTCGAGAGCGTACGGTCACAGCGCAGCCCAAGTTGCATCGGGGCCCCGCAGTGCTGCAGGAATCTCAGATCCAAGAGCTGCAGAGGCGCCTGGTATTTCTGCTGTGGGTTCATCTTGATCTTGGAATTCCAATCAGGGTACATGTTCAGGCACAACAAGGAGCTGCTGGATGAGCTTCAGCGAAAGGAGTCTGCTTCTCAGCCATCTAGCTAAAGGTTCGGGGGTTACTGTGCTGTGCCGCGTCTCTGCCGGAAGGCTGGCCCACACTCACACCTGCAGAGAGGCTACACGGCTATCACAGGAGAATGAGACCCTGGCATGTTTCCTCCGGTCTGGCTTTGTGAAAGGCACCTGAATTACAGAACGCACGAGCGACGTGGTTGGAGCAATATCAGGCTTGAGGACCCTATGAAAACATCCGTCTGCTTGAACCGCTTGACCGGTGAGCCACACCCGCTTCTTCAGTACCACGAGGCCACCATGTGTTTGAGCCAACCGTGTTGGTGGCCAGGAAGTGCCACCCCGGGCTGCAGACATGACTTGCTCGTACCACTGGCGCTCGCAACGCTGGTAGGAATTCATAGTTGGCACACGCTGCGTGTTCTTCTGACTCGCTCCTTCCGATAACAGACACATTGTCGTTTTCGTTGTTCCTGCCGCCTTGGACGTTGCTGAGCCATGTTTCATCAGCGTGTGGTATTGCTTGTTGTTTGCATCTCTCGCGAGCCAGGCGGAAGCTTAGGTAATGTTGCTCCGGTCTGCATGTCGCAGTGGGTGGACGAATCAACATGGTGACAGCGTCCATCCGACAATAGACGGTGCATGCTGCATGGCCGTGGTGCTTGCTTGTCTGATTGCTGCGACCGTGCATGCGAAGAAACTGCTATCCTTGAGCTTTTGCGGATCAGGTCGGTACACGCCTGATCACCCCGCAGATATTTGAGCCCCGATGCTATGTGCCAATAATACGTGCGAGGACGGTTTCCGCTCTCGCTCTGTCTCGCACGCACACACACACACACACACTCACTCACTCACTCACTCACTCACTCACTCACTCACTCACTCTCTCTCACACGCATAGCACATGCGTGCAGTCGCACACGTTCGCGCAGAGACAACTTCATGATCCGCTTCTGCTCGCATGCTATCGATGTGGGGCTCCCTTAGAGTTGGAGCGAAAAACTGGATTTTGTTGTGCTGTCTTCTTGCTAAGACTGCTAAGAACGTCCGTCCACTTGACTTCCCAGGGAGTCTCAGCAAGCTTGTCATGGCAGGGGCACTTGAAAGCCACGCTCGGGCGGCTAGTCGCGCAGCTTCTGCCTCAGACTGGTTTACAACTGCGGCGCAGGTATCAAGTGTAATGCAAAGCTCGCCGGCATTCGGCCCAGGCAAAAGCGGGAGCTACAAGGAGAGCTGCAGGAAAAGGAGCCGAGAGCCCAGTTCACGTGTGCAAACGATAAGAGTGTGTTCATGACTTGTTTGCCTCATTTTGGCATGCCGTCCCAGGTTAGCCCACCTGGAGACCTGTCGCGAAGCGACAAGGCTAGCTCAGGAAAATGTCACGCCGGCCTGTGCTTAAACTTTGCGGCTTTAACCTCTCTGACGTGGCCTGTCTCAGTCTTTGGGTTCTGCGCAGAAGCTACTTCGCTGCACCAGGGGCACCTGAAGAGCGAGCTGAGCCGTCTGCAACAGAGGCCCGGTACTCTGTGCATGCCTGCATCCTCTCTATGCCGACGCCACACGCCATAAGCTCCCCGCACGAGGTTGCGCCAACAGACGGATATTGAGGTTTCCTCGGAGGCGGGGCGAAGTCGCTAGAAGGCATAAGTTATTTTCTCATCTCTCTGTTCACTCTCACAGGTTTTGTATTACTGTGAGGCTCTTGCTTGTCACGATGACGCGGTTGGGGAGGCCCAGAGCAACGGAGATGCCGGCAAAGGCGAACGCCGCCGTCCCAGCTGGCCATTGAGCAGCCGTACATGGCAGCATGCCAGATGACGAAACAGGGCTTGCATGGTTCAAGCACTTTGGCATGCTTGACATGCATCGGAGCCGCCAGATTAATTGCTTCGTTTACTCCTATCGCGCAAGGTGCCTCACCATGGCTGCCATGACAGATTCATGTGGTATTGATAGCGAGTCACAGACGGACTTAGAACAGGCAACTGCCTCAGGACAGCCACGGAGTATGCAATCTCCAGCAAACGCGTGGCATGTTGCTGTCACGGAAGAGGCCTCTAGCAGACCATGAATTGACCTACGCCATAGTGCCTGCTAGGCCAGTGGCCCTAGGGCAGAATCGTCTGAATCTCATTGCAACTCCCATGGCTTCGGGCTTGAAAGCCCTTCGGCGGCATGTCCAAACTTGAGGAGGACACAGTGTGCCCTATCGAGGTCGAGATTGAAGTCGCCACAGCCTGCCTGCAGGACGTGTCCCGTTTGCAGGCTTTGGCCGACAAACTGTCGAAGTGGCTCTTGGCAGAAGAGGTGCTACGAGATGATTTGCCAGATGCAGACCGTGACTCTGCCCGGTACCATCTCACTCGTTCTTGACATCCTGCGAGGGGTTTGGACGCAGTTTGGACGACTTCTTCCGTGCTCACAGCCAGTATTTCGATGACTACCAGGCCAGGCAGACCTGCGCGGGCGCAGCACGGCTGTGTAGTTTCGAAGCTTCTGGTAGCTAGTGCTGACTGCAGGAGGAGCATGCTCTCCACTATACAACCCTGCACAAGGACCGTCCCTTGCAAGAAACCTCGAGGCTTTCATACTGGAATGATCCATGAAGCACAGCCAGGAGTTCAGCGCAAAGCTGGAGGCGGAGGTTGAGGGCTGGCTGGCCGAAGAAGGGCTGACCACGGATGACCTGGCCGTGATCCTCCAGGCTGCCAAGGACGTCCGAGCATCTTCTGTCCTTGCTTGATTCTCCGACTGTTTGGTTCTCTCCCCGTTTGCTCCCTCGCATCCCTCAGTACAACGGAGGAGAGCGTGACTGGCGAGGAGACCTTTGTTGACTTTGTTATTTTGTTTTGCCATCTGGCCTTCTCGCATCCATGCGCATTCGCAAGGACCCTGCCGCAGAAGTCGACTTAGTCGAAATGTGCCTTGTCTCCAGTCTTTGGCAGCACGCTGGAAGCCAACGTCCACGATCAGCCCCAGCTCCACTGCCGAGCTTCAGCGCTCCTCAGGATGCTGGAGGCCGTTGACTACCAGAAGTGGCTTGGCTGCGCAATGTCGGCCGGTGCGGGCGCACTTCGTGGCGACGAGGTGGATCAGCTCCATCTTTGCCATCAAGAGGCGCATCCGCGAGCGACGCAAAGTCCGTGCTCGCAAGGTTCCCGAGCTTGGAAACATGCTACGAGCTAGCCCTCCAGGTCTTTCTTTATAGTTCCTTGACAACCCACCTTGATGAAATTGCGTTCAACTAGGTTTGGATTTGGCTTCCAAGCATACTTACATAACAGCGGACATGAGGACTTGAGCTCTCAATCGTGAATTTGTTCTGGTCGGGAGCCGTTGCCGAGCTATGCAATGCTCTTCCTTTGATTGTTTGTTGCTATTCTCAGAGAACGTGCTACAATTCGAGAGCTCCACGGGATTGGGGTAGATCAAGCCATAGGTTCGTGTCGGCTCGTTGAAAAGCTTGCGAGAGATGCTGATGACTGCTGACGACTGGTATTGGGTGATTTGGCATCGAGGCTCCTCCACCGCCGCCGCCCAGCGATTCCAAAGTTGTCGCAGAAGCCTCAGCACTTTCAGCATATCTAAGGCTCGGAGTCTGTCACCAAACGCAGCGGTTTTCTCCTGCAGAGACGTGGGGCTTAACGAAGTAACGAGCCATGGGCTGGCTGTGGGGAACCAAGGATGTGGTGGTGCCGGAGGCTGATAAAACCACGAGCAATGCAATGCATCGCAGATAATCGCTGCCGTTGCATCTTACATACTGAGTCATAAAACAGCTTGTCTGCTGGAGGGTGTACGGCCCGGAGAATCGCTGCACATCTCACTGGACGGTATCCTCCTCAGGAAAGAGGACAAGCAAGTTGTGGCGCCCAGTCCCTCTCGACCTGTTGGATCAGGTGTGGGCTACGATGTGGTCGTTCCGGAGAGTCTTGAACCTGGAATGACCTTTCAGGCAAGCCTTAGCCAAGGCTAACCGAGGGCATCCGGAGCGAGCCACGACTTGACGCGGCCGACATGTCTGAGCATCGACGAGCACAAGCTCCGACTGGACCTGTGTGCGAGATCGCGGGCGGCATCGCAAAGCTAAGCCGATTCATCCTCGCATGTCAGCAGAAGTTGTCTTGGGCTGGTTTTGCTGGCAACAAGCTGAGTCCGCAGATTCGTTGCCGGTCAAGGTGTTGCGAGACTTGCCACTGCAGGTCAGAGCACCTCAGGGCCAAATTCAAGGACGCTATTGCACAGAAGGGGTTTATCAGGCAGTTGTGTAGTGCAGCAGCTGAACCGGCATGTGCAACAGAGCTATGGGAGCGTGATTGGATCTGATCTTGTGTGCACTTTCATGCGCTTGCACTTGCGACGAGACGCCCAGTTGCGTCATTGCAGGATTGGGTGACATGGAGAAATGCAGGAGGTGGCAGATGCTTTCTCATGAATGCAGCTGGTAGTGTGGCGTAATTCCGGAAGCCGAAGGCAGAGAGATTTCATTGAGTTTCAAAGTCCGTGCTGTCAAACACCCCGCGCAGGTCAGTTGGATGGTGACTGCCTTGCCAATTCCTGTGGTGTCCAGCAGACGCCAATGTACATAGTCTATGCCTAGGAGCCAGGCATGAGATCCAGAGGCAAAGCCTCGCCAAGGCAAGAAGTCAACTTCCCCAACATGATCAAAATTGCAGGTGTCCTTCCCCATTTCCCAAGCCTGACTGAATCTCCGGAGGGCAGGCTGTCTTGAACCTAAGGCCCCGAAGCCTGTGCCTCCTGTCCCAGATATTGAAACCAGAAGCCTAAGCTCAACCTGGAGCACAGCTGCAGAAGTCATCCCGAACGAAGCTGAAATGCCCCTGCTGCGACAGTATGGCCAGTATTGCAGTTCAAGCATGTTTCGGCCGCAGCCGCTTGGCATATTGTGGCCATGTAAGCTGGGGTCGGCACATGACTTTGAGGACTTTTGAGCTTTGCATCGACGGCCTCATGGACCATGACAGCCACTTTAAACGCAGAAGACGGTAGTAGCGACTAGTCACAACAGGCGGGGCCCTTCCATAGAACTCGCCATGGCCGGCAAGGCTCCAGAGCTGGCCTTGCCCTGAAGCGTCAGTGTCTCCTCTTTCAATGTTTTCAGCCACCCTCCGTTCTCAGGTCCGCTGCCCCAAATGCAATGTGGCAGGCAGCAAGGAGAGCAGACAAACCACCCTTCACACGCTGCAGTGGTAGCATGTCGTCTTCTGCGGAAGGAGAGGATGGCTGCAGAGGGAAATCACCACAAGAGATCTTGTGCCTTGGCTTTTAGCTTGGGACTTTACGGTGCCTCGGGTTGAACTCTCGAAGCGCGGCGTCCAGGCCCGCTCTTCCGACCCTACGTGTGCTGGCCACAGTTCGACTGAGAGTTGTCCGTGATGTCTGTGATTGCCTGCTGTGTCCTTCATTCGCTGCTCGTGTCCTGTACGCCTCAGGCTCGTGAACTGCAAGCTCTGCGGGGTGGCTGGAGGGCCTGCGTGGATAATGACAAGCGGTAGACACCATGCTTGGTCCTGTCCACGGTATTCCTACAGCGACGTCACTTAGCTGCATTTCAGACATCCGGGGGCTGCCAACATCATCCGCGCAGAGTTTCGTATCAAGAAACAGCAGCAACAGTAAGTGTGCAATGTCGTTCGGCCGAAGCCCACGTAAAAATTGCAAGAATGACCTTGACGATCAAACTTGACGGGAGTTGGAGTAGTTTTCAACTAGCAAACAGCGCCCCCCCCCCCGCTTGCTCTCAACTGCCCGTACTGCCCGCAAGTCACTGCAAGCCCGCAACTTTTGCCATCAAGGGAGACAATGGGAGACAAAAGTCGAACACCCTGACACTGACCACCCCCCAAAGAACAACACGTCGGCATTCTTTCACATTTCGAATTAAAACTTACCAGTAGCAAGATCCCCTACGAGAAATTGTTCGGGGCACTTACAAGAACCCGTACCGCACAGCAAACTACATGAGAAAGGTGGCGACACGGAGACACGCCTCCACCGATCCCAAAATATCCCAAGTCAAAGGAGAATAGGACAAGCCGGAACTGCTGGAGTGGTTTCCAATATGAGATTCTTATTGGTGATTTGTCTTCCCTCGAAAAGACGTCTGAAGCCTTGAAACAGCACCGTGCGATCCGACTGTTACGAACGACACTCAAGAGCAGCAGCGATGGTAAGGATGATGGCAGCTGTGGTGTTACTTTAGTCGTGGTGGTGGTGGTGGTGGTGGTGGTGGTTCATCTGATGCGTAAGAATACAAAATTTCTTAAACCCACATGGCATCCACGAAACCATGGTCAGAACACACATCGCAGCTCAGTATCACTGTAGTTGAGCTGGTACAATCTCCGGAACCCAGATACATAAAGATATGCACGAGATAGCAACACCATGCAGTACAGTACACATTGCAACGGCAAGGCCGGAGAATGCAAGTTCTGCGGCTTTGTGGGGGAGGTGTCCCTCGTTACCTCCAAGGGACCACATCATGCACGACTCTGCCAGAGGCCGGACACAGCATTTGGTTTGCTTTTCAGCTTCAACTGAGTTTCAACTCCCGACTACGTTCCGTTAATGCATTTGACTTGATGCATTGGCCTCTTTGCTTGAGTGCTTGTGTCCACGCAAGGTTCAGCCCAGGTGCAGCCGATTCGCCAAAGGTGGTAGCTCCTTGCTTTCAGCTCCGACTCCTCTTGACCCCATCACAGTGGGCACTGTAAGAATGAAGATTCAGCTCTTGTTCGCACCATACCACAAATCACAGCCAAGGTGTGCAAGTACTGTGGATTGCGGGGTTCTCCCTCGATGGTCACTGGAATCGGCCTCTTGATCGGAAGCAGAATCGCAGCTGCTGGAGTGCAGACACTTTGCTTCCTGTTGCTGTGCCCGACAGCCGAGGTGAGCAGCACTTGACGGGGTGCCCTCGAAGCACAACTAAGCGAGCAGAAAGTATCACCAAGCCGAAAGAAAACGAAGGCCCGGCGAAGATGTCACAACTGTGTGATGTCACCTGTGGCAAGTTCCGACGACGCAGGCACATTGTCGAGCTGGTTTGCCTGTTTGGATACTTGGTTGATCTTCGCTTGGGCTTGCACACACTTCTTACGTAGAAGCGCTGTAACTCGGAGAGCCGCAGAAAGTGGCTCGGTGTATCTTCTCTGCGATTGGAGTTTTTTGGGCAGAGTTCATGCCCTACTAGGCGAGGATTACTGTCTACCCCTTGCGGTTTACGCCCAAATGCTCGTGCGTTGCCGAGGCTTGCTGCAATGTGGAGCCTTCAGCCGGCCGTGTGCTCAAACAGAATGCAGCAGCAAGTTTCGCTTGCTTTGTTCGACATATTCAAGGGTGATAGAGACACCTGCCAGTCACCTGCCCCAAGAAAGAGGCTGCATGCTAGAAAAGTAGAACCAGCCCGTTTTGGCAAGCCATGCTCGCACATCCACAGATCAAGCAGATGTACACACGTGCTGCAGGTCGGCTGCAACGAGTCTACACAAATAGTCTGCATACACGAGAGTAGCGAAAAGCAGATTTCGTGTCTGTTCAAGAATCCCATTTCTGGAGTCTCTTTTGCTTGCTTCTGACACAGGGTTGTGCATGCTGCTTCCTCAGTAATCTTTTAACTTGGCCATCTTGGCAACTTCCTTCTCAAGACCACTGCACTGACATCTGTGCGCATCGTAGCAAACACTGCGAGCTCTCTTCCCGCAAGCGCCGGAACAGCATGCGAAGCTTCTGTTTCAAAATACATGCTTGGAGTTTGGAGGCCAGTACGATGAAATTGTCGTCAAGAACAATGGTCCCGACGACATCAAGAAAGTGCTGGGCACAGTTGAGAAAGGGCAAAAGGGCAGGGTAGTTTGCATGGCAAGGAGCGTGACAAGTTATGTCGCGGAGCACAGCGCCTGAAAGCCTGCCCTTGTCAACTTGTTGGTGGTCTGAACTCCAGCCGTTTGAGATATCGCTGCGACCCAAGCGTCCGAGGCCAATGACGTCGGCGAAGCAGACACAAACGTGGAAGAGATCCCTGAGGAGGCAGGAAGAATTTCTGCTTGCAGGGAGCTTGCCCGCGAGTGTTGAGTCTCGACGCATTTGCCACCATGAAAAGTTTGTGCCACAAGGGTCGTTTGAAAGAAAAGATGTTGGTGCTCTCCCGACTTGCACCCGCAACCATGTCTGTTGTTATTCTCTGGCGATGTCGGACAGCCTCGGGACTGTCGACAGCATCCTCGTGGTGGAGCATTGCGACTATGAGTGGGAAAAACGTGATGGTGTTGCAGTCTCCCTTGCCAATTTGGCACAGTGGCGAAAAACTTGGCATCCTTGTCCCCAGGCGACTTCGTCTGTTGTGAGAACATGTCCGAGTGCAAGCCCCCAGAAGCCGGAGCGGAGTCTGTGTTGCTCAAGCGGGCTGTCGTGGAGCCCAAGGTGGAATACCCGGGACCAGGACCGCACCCCCTTCGCCAGCATGCACGAACATTCCTGCGCGCGCGGCCTGCAGTTGAAGGCTTGCATCGCAACGTCCAGTGGAAGTTCAAGCAAGCATCCCTGCGTGCACCCGAGCTAGCGATGCCGGAGCCTCTGATGAAGCGTCCCGTCCCTCATGCCTCCTAAAAGGAAACAGGTGCATAAAAAACCTGGTAGTTTCCTGCTTGCCAGGAGCATCCATGGGCAAACCATATAACATCCGCCCAGACCTCATGCGTTTCCCAGAGCATCCATGGGCCAACACCATGACAACGTCCAACAAGACCTCATTCGTCCCCAGAGCATCCATGGGTCAACCATGATTTCGTCCACCTAGACCACACATTTGCTCCCCTGCATGCATGGGTCAACCCTGGTATCAACCACCCAGACCTCATCCTTTTTTGCAGAGCATCCATAGGTCAATCGTGACATTATCCCATCCAGGCCTCATGCATTTTTCAGGGCGTCCATGGGCCAAACCATGATAGCGTCCACCATGACCTTACCCGTTCCCCGGAGCATCCATGGGCCAAAAGCAGAACAACGTCCATCCAGACCTCACCCTTCCCCAGTCCAAGCCCATGATGACCTCCACGCAGACCTCATCCGTCCCTCAGTAGCATCTGTGGGTCAACCGTGAGCATCCAGGGCCCAACTATGATAACGTCGATGCAGACCTCATCCCTTCCTCAGAGCGTCTTTAACCACCAATTCTGATAACGGCCACCCAGACCTCTGGCGCTCAAAAAGCCAACGGCACAGTACAGTACATCATATGACTTGGGCTCAGAGCATAAACTGATGGCGGCAAGAGTCCCAAGACTCCCTTCCCTCGTCGTCCCATGCGAGGCAAATCCAGATCTCTTTAGATACCTCTCTGAGTTCGTGTTGAGGTCGCTTAGGCAAGACTTCGTTCAGGCTAGGGCCGACATTTCCTAGTTCGTCCTGCTGTTCTGATGTCCAGATTTTTAGCCCAAATATCATCGTATGTGTACAAAACCACGGTGTTTGGAGACGTTCAGACACTACTCTATGCTTTCCTAATTCTTTGGCTGTCAGCCTAGCCACCGAGTTCCGAACACGAAGTGCCCAAAACCCGAACGGAAAAGCACATCGCATGCGTTTAGTCTCCAGGTTTTTTGTGTGCCTGTGACCTCCTAAAAACGTGGTCCTGGACGACAAGCCCACATCCGTCATCTTGATGGAGATTTTGGTGCAATTTCACAACAGCGGCATTGGGCGGATGAGGTGATTCATCCGAACTCTAGCGCTTCTCGCCGAATCTAGAGCTCATCATGTTTCCCGCCATTCAAACCGATTCTGGTAGACAGATTCCTCCGCTTCTAATATAGAATGTACTCTAATTACCCGTACCCATACTCACGACATCTCAAGGATCCATGCCCGGTGCCTGCTGAGGCCGTGGCTTTCGTTACAGTGCATTTTTGTTGGAGTGCAGATTTTTTGAAAACTTTCGGGCTTCCCGAAATTCCAAGCCAGACCGCATAGGCGCTTTAGGCAGTCCTTCGGCCTCGACATCCACCAAACATGCCAAAACAGAACGCTTCGGTCTGCTGCTTTTTGCTGTTGATTGTCGTTTCCATGCCGATATGTCACTGTGATCACTCGTGATTTATTACCAAGTCCCGAAAATCTACTTTCTGAGAAAGCGCAGCTCGCAGCACCCGATACATTCTTAGTAGAAGACTTGTTGCACCGATAATTGTAGCTCGCAGCTCTAACGTATGCCTGGGTTTGGATGCCAGGCGCCTTTGGACATGGAGCACACGGAGCCGACCGTTTGATCTCGGCCCAGGCTCAAGAAGTTTTTTCGCTTCGTTCCATCAGCTACGCCACAGCTAATCACGCAGCTAAACTTCGCCAGACAGCGCTTGCAACAGATAGACGGCCTTGCCTGGTTTCTTTCCTGCAGGCTGTCGTTTGGCTATGAGACACTGCTTCGGCAACAAAGCACAGACCCTCAAAGAGGGATCGGCTGCTTGAACCCTGTTGACAGTGCTCTGTTGTTGAAGCTCGGTAGTGCGGAGCAGTGGCATATTTGTTGCAAGGAGTTGTTTGTTTGCTGTTCCAGTTTCGACACGTTTTGCCGGTGACCACTCACGCACTCCCGAGAATGCAAACTGCAAATCACCTCTTGCTTTCCACTAGCCACTAGCGACGGCTCTTTCGCATGGCGTCGCAGGAGCCCTATCCGGCCCGGCAGCACGCTGAAATTGAAGCCTTAGATGCATAGCAGCATCTGAGGTTTGTAATTCATCAGCTGTGGGTTTACGGCAACGCAGGTTGCCATCACCGGCCATAGGATTCTCGCCAAAGCAAAACCGCTTCTGCAACGGTCATGCATTGGCCAGACTCGCCCTGCCAGCTCTTCAGGCGGATGTTGCTGCCCTCAGGTGCTTTTGGACGATAGCGTTTGCACGCGCGCTGGAAGGGAGAGACGGGCTGCCTTCTCCAAGCCAAGCTATAAGAGGGGCTTGTCCAAGACAACCTTGCGACGATGATGGGTCAAGGTCGGGCTTCCTTCGTGGGACTCTCTTTGCAGAACCACTTTTCATCTGAGCACCAGCGCAGTTCGGGAAGTTTCATTTCGGCATGCTTCGGCCTGCGCGTACCTTGCAGCTCGGGGGTTCCGGTTCAAAAGCCTGCAATGGTGCTGCCTCCAAGTCCAAAGAGACGCCTGCGTGGCAAGGCCGGCAGGGGCAGCGGCATCTTCCTGAAGCATCAAGCAGTAAATCTGAGCACTCAAGCCACAACTTGAGCAACTGCACTAGCAGCAGCGTTTCTCATGATGCAGCTTGTCAGCTCGGACATACTTCTTCAGCTTTTGTTCCGATGTCGGTGCCTTGTAATCTGAGATTCCGTGAGGTTTCCCCTAGCGCCATCAATTTCTTCACGAAGGAGAAGCGGCAGCTCACTCTGAAGCAGGATCCCCAGAACGCCAAACATGAAACCAGCTCTTCATGAGCTTTCTGGAGGTGTCGGTAAATGACAAAGAAGCCGGCTATGAAAACGGTTTGACAAATCGTGACGCACAGGCATGTAGAGGGGCAACCCGTTTGCGGTCTGCACGACTTGATACTACTTGTAGCTACAGAAGTAAGCGCACAGAGGCTAGAGGAGGGTACCTCCGTAGAGCGTCTCCGCGTGCTACTACTGCTACAAGTTGTGGTAGGCACAAGCCCTAGTCGCATTGGGTTTCGTGGCGCCCTTGCAAGTGATGTCTCATCTCCGAGGCATGCGCAGAGACTGCTTCCCAACCTGTGCGCCTGCCGACCTGCAGAGAGTGCTCTGACAGTCGAAGTGAGCTTTTAGTCATCTATGGGGCGCGTCGCTCTGTTCGCTGCAGCCTCTTTCGTGCCGTGGCAGGTACGCTTTCACCAAAGGGGCTCACTTCGAGGCTGAGGCCGCCGGAAGCGGGAGCAGGGGATGCAGGGGGCAGATGTGAGCTGGACGGGAGGCCTGGCTCCGGTGGCTGCGAGGCTTTCGTCCGGGTCTCCAGCTGCCCTCAGCCAGAATCTCGGAGCCGCCGTTGCTGCCGAGCATCCCGAGTCCCCCAAACATGAGGTCCAGGAAGCATCAGAGCTGCTGATGCAGTTGTCTCAGAGCAGAAGGCACTGAGCCAAACAGAACGCATGATCCGGAGATGCGTGAGTCCTTCGGCTCGGCCAGGGTGGACCGCAAACTACTGCCGGCGCCTGCTGCTTGGAAGCCTCAGGGCGTGCGATTCATGGACGAGCAGGCAGGAGGGCCGGTCCACAAGGTCACGGCTGGCGGCTTCCACTCGTAAGATCTTGTTTTTCGAAGATGCAGAGTTTTCCGGCCGTCAATGAACACGAGATAGGATCCCTCTGCTTGTCCGCGAGGGGGATGCTCGAGTCCAAAACCTCCATGGCTTCGAGGAGCAGAGCGGGTCAGGGCCTGGTGCAAATAGAGTCTGAAAGAAGTAAGAAAAGGAAGAATCATGAAGGCAAAACTCTTGCAGGAAGCACGTACAGCAGCCCGTACAATCTGAACGCGTCTCAATCAACCTGATTGGGCCAAGGCTCTTGACATGGCATGAGCCCAGACCTCAGTGGCAGTTTCGTGGCGTTGCAGTCCATATCAGAAGTGCAGCAGGTATGGCGGCCTCTTCCGCCTGAGAAGACATCCTTCCGAAAGGCTCCCTTTTGCAGTCCGTGTTTGGGCTGTGAGCTCAGTAGTAGTAGTAGTAGTAGTAGTAGTAGTAGTAGTAGTAGTAGTAGCAGTAGTAGTAGTAGTAGTAGTAGCAGTAGTAGGCAGCCCCCCCCAGCTACCCACTACCCCTTTTGCATGTGTTGCTTTGGGGGGGGGGGGGGCTGATAAGGTACAGGCAGCCTCGAACAGTGATGACCACCCATTTTCGAGTTTTCGCTGAAAGCCCTCGCAAAGGCAAAAGACAACGTAGCAAAGTCCAGAGGTAGGCTTGGCCACTAGAAAGAGGGCTGGCATCATGAAAGCAATGTAAATACCGAGTAAAATGGCTCTTCCGGGGTGTCGGCGTATCAATGTCGTCATCATTCTTCCCGCACCGCCCCCACCCCCCGCCAAAAGCAAGTCCAGAATCGGATGCGGGAGTTTGGAAACTCGGTTAGTAATGGAGTGTGACATGAGCAAAGTACTTTTTTTTCAGACCGAGTAAAACAGCCTTTCCCCCCACCCAATTTCGAGTTTTTCGCTGAAAGCCCTCGCAAAGGCAAAAGACAACATAGCAAAGTCCAGAGGTAGGCTTGGCGACTATATAAGATAGCAGACGTCGCGAAAGTACGGTAAATACCGAGTAAAACGGCTCTTCCGGAGATGTTGTCCGGGGTGTCGGCGTAACGATGTCGTGATCATTCTTCCCGCACCCTCCCACCCACCCGAAAAAGAAAAGTTCCGAAAACGATCCCGGAGTTTCAAAACTCGGAGGTGATTTTTGAGGCTTCAGAAGATGTTGCTACATGCCGAAAGTGCTGTAAATACCGAGTAAAACGGATGTGTGTTACAAGCGTATGTAACACGAGGTAGTGTGTAGGGGGGGTGGCTAGTAGTAGTAGTAGTAGTAGTAGTAGTAGTAGTAGTAGTAGTAGTAGTAGTAGTAGTAGTAGTAGTAGTAGTAGTAGTAGTAGTAGTAGTAGTAGTAGTAGTTGAAGAGCAGGGGCATCCCCTGACCCTTCAGCTGGAGCTGACATCTGACCTCGTCGCCTTCTCAGTATCGTTCCAAGTTATCGGATGATCCCCGAAGGAATCCACACAACCATGGAAGGAGCGCACAGCCCTCTACTTTTTTACACAGCAAAGAACGTGCTTGCAGCTCTAGGCGCTTCTGTGCATAGCCTAGGGTAAGCGATTACCGCTTCTGCATGGTTTGGCTTCTGCTGATCATGGCTTTAGCCCTGCATGCTGGCTTCTGCCTCTCATGGACCTAAGCCTCTGCGCGCTGGGCTTCTGCCGATCATGGCTCTCTGAGCCACTCCGCTTCACATACACAAAGGCACCTGACAAAGGCATGCTCCACACGCCTTCCTATACATGAGGGAGGCTTCAGGTATCAGCACCCCTCCTTGATGCGCCCGAAAGGGAGCCATCATTCCGTCGTTGCCTGAAGACTAAAAGAATCATCGGTCCCCAAGGTTATCGGGGTGGTTCCTCCAGTCATTCAAGCAGTACTGACACATCGACTTACGCACAGCTCTCCAAGCATTCCGAAGCCCATGGCAATCAGGCCTCAAGTGAGCTCTTTCGCCATTCGGACTCACAAACAGATCTCCCTCCCAGGGCTGTACGATGTACCGAATCTTCGGATCAACCGCAGACGGTCTTGCAGATGCCTTCGCGCTGTCCGGCGGGTCCACGGGATCCGTCTGTACGCCGCGGCTCCACTTCTCAGGCTGGAAACGTTCCCGGCTCTGGGCTTCAGGCCTCGGCGTGGTGGTAGTCGACGTAGAGCTCCTTCCTCGGGTGTCGCTGCCTGGAGCCGAAGTCGGCTTGACTTCGACCCCACTCAGCACACCGGGCGTCGTAGCCTGATACTTAGAGCTCAAGGCGCTTAACCTCGCCTCCTGCTCAACAGACCTCTCGTCTATTCCCAGCAGCGCGAGAAGCTCTTTGCCTTCTCCCTTTGACAGTCCAGATTTCGCCGACTTCTTCATCATCTTCATAGTCACCGCTCTCGTCACGCCACCAGCTGTACGCTTGCTCCATTCCCACACAAGCACAGTTGTAACCATCACCAACAACACAGCAATCCAAAGCTCATGCTCAGAATCCACACCAGTGTAAGCCTGATGGCCTCCAGTCTCTTCGCCCATCACACCAGCAAGCAAACCTAAACCTATTAACACCTTGGTACACCTACTCAGGGTCCCTTCATTCAGCATTGGTGCTGTTATTCCGGTGTCAAACTGTGTGGCTGCTGTAATGCTGGCTCGTGTGGCTGCTGTTGTGCTGGCTTGTGTGGCTGCTGCTGTGCTGGCTGCTTCTGCTGCTGCTTCGTACCTGCCCTCATCATCCGCAAACTTGATCGCCTTGATCTCGGCAGGCGCTGCCCCTTTGAAAAAGCCCCAGCCTTCCAACAGCTTCCATGAACGCTCCGAGCTGAGCTGCTTTGTGAGCCCGTCCGCTAACTGTTCCACACGCGGCTGGTGAATGAGCTGGTACTCCTCGGAATCCACCAACTCAACCAGCCAGTGTTCTCGAAGGCGTAGATGGCGTGTTCTCCAGCTTCCCCCCGAGCTAGCCACAGCGATAGCGGCTGTCGCATCAACCCTTAGCTCTGTCGTCCTTG